TGTACATACATACAGCAATAATTTACACATCACACATACCATTGCACTTATCTACACGCCCTCACGTGAAGATTTGAACGAGCCCTTACCACAGACCAAATAACTTGAAGCGTACGATTTCCAACTCTATGTCAAGGATATAAGAACACATTTACATTATTTCATTTTCGTCTCTAATTTCCTTTGACCACGAAACTTGAGAAGTTGACTAGAGTGGTAAATGTTATATACATTTCAATTGTATGTGGTAATTTAAAACAATTCTAAATTCGAATAACCGTGGTATTTTCAATTAAAACAAAGCATGTTTTTTTATTGTTACTAGTAATAAAATATTTGGGTATACCACTTAAATATAAAATATAAACATGAACCGTTCAAGTATTACGTAAGAACTAAGGGGGGGCTGGGGGTCTGCTTGTTTTGGATGACATGGGGGTTAGGGGAGTCAAAATAATGATTACGTCATCGGTAGTCATTTACATTTTTACACGAATGGCAACCCTCACATTGTCTTTGTTAAAGAAAAATATATTAATTGAAAAATATTATGGTAACATTTTTCAATTAATATATTTTTCTTTAGCGAAGACAATGTGAGGGTTGCCATTAAGAGATTTGCTTACTTTTGCTGACAAGGGGATGAGGGGGTAAATTATTGTAATATCTGCTTACATAATACTTGAACGGTCCTCGATGAACCTAAAACGACCTGTTACTGTTGTACCAGGAGTGGAACTCTCTACCAGCGTCTATTTTTCCTGCCTCTTACAACATTGGGTCTTTTAAGTCAAGAGTTAATAGGTATTATTTGAGCTTGCGTGTAACAGCTTAGACCACATCATCACTTAACATCAGGTGAGATTGCGGTCAAACGCGCTCAAATTATGATATAAAAAAAAAAAAACCTGTTGTTTCGTTGATTTACTAAACTAATATTTTATACCACATAAATATGAAATGTTGGCTTGATGAATAAATATACCACAAAAATGTTTTTTTTTTTTATAAACGCTAATTAAAAACTTTGTTTTATTGTTCTGTAATATATGAGACCGTTCAAATCTAAACGAAACTTCGAATTATAAGACACTATACAACTTCAGACGCGCGCATCTCCTTCCCGTGGTTCTCATGAAAATGTCTTTTACAATGTTTTGCATACAAAATTTAACATTCAAACTGCTGTTTGGTTTGAACAAATATTTAGTGGGTTATTACAAATACCATACAATGTATATGATAGAGTCATTTGTCAAAAAGAAATAAATAAATAAACCTGTACAATTAACACAGCGCCATCCAGTCCCATGGTAAGCAGAGCTTGTGTTGTGGGTACTAGACAACTGATATAAATACATAGATATATTTTTTCTAAATACATAATATACATAGACAACACGCAGACCGATACAAACAATCATACTCGTGAATATAAAATGTTTGTGCCGTGCGAGGACTCGAACCCGCGACCTTTGGAAGCAAAGCGGTATGCTAAACCGCTAGACCACAGGCCGTCAAAATATATAAAATAAAGTTATTGTCATATATATATATACATATATCATCATCTGATTCTTCCTTATCCCAATTATTTGGGGTCGTCGTAATATGTTTTTTCTCTTCCATTCATCTCTGTTCGCAGTCATCTCGTTATTCACTCAATTTCTTATCATATCATATATATATACATATTAATATAACCAATCATATACAATTGTATGACAACATATTCAAAACCACAATACAATATGCCAAAAAAGTCAATTCAAATACTAAATTTTGTATTAACAATAATAGTCAAAAACCAAAGGCGAAACCGAAATGAAACGCGAGATGTAATTTCAGTGTACAGTCAGGTAAAATATTACTCTATCCGAAAACAAATAAATTTATTACTGTTTACTCACATTAATTGTGTAATAAATAATGCAAACATACACTTGACTGTACATTTAGAAACACCTATTGGAGAGAAATGTAGTAATGCAATTTATAATGGTAAAAAATAATTTAAAGGTCACTCTATTCTCACAGATATGAATTTAAAAATGAATCTGTATTATTGTAAACATGTACAACATTTGTTTGAAAACATGTACAACATTTGTTATTCCGAGCTGGTTAAAAATTTCATGTGGTGTAACCACGGGCACAGTTAGTAATTATATATATATATGTCACTTCACTCTATCTACTGTACTATGTACTATTATTGAAATACCTATCCCATTATAAATAGATTACTACATTTTTCTACAACAGCACCCATATACTAAACAATTGTCTTATAAACATGATATTTGTATTAAATATTACATGTATCAATTTCTTGATATATTTATAAATATACCTTAGAAATATGTGTTCGAGAATTGTCGCAAATATTTTGAACTATAGCTTTGACATGATTCCTTTGTCATTTCATTATTTTATATAAAAAAAAAGTCAGTGAAATATCACACTGCTAGTATAATACTGGATTAAGTAAAAAATTACAATCTTTGGAATATACACTTTAAAGTTGTATGATTAAAGTTAAATTTCAATAATTTGAAATAATTATTATTCTGGAGAATTAACACAGCGCCATCTAGTTCCACGGTAAGCAGAGCTTGTGTTATTGGTACTAGACAACTGACATTGTCTCTAAATTATAATATCTTTGTATTATCTGTGCAATAAAGAATATATATAAATACATAGATATTTTTTTTGGAAATATATACATATATAGAAAACACCCAGAAAAACACAGAGTCGTACTCATGTATACAAAAATTTGTACCATGTGAGGAATCGATCCAAACAACTGATATAAATACCTATAATATTAAATATAAAATATACTTATAAATACATACATAATATATATAGGCATCGAACTCGCGACCATCGGAAAGTACAGCGATGTGTTAAACCGTTAGACCACCAAGGCCGTTTTTAAACTATTAAAATTAATCGAGTAATATACTAGTTTTCGATATATTGTCAAAACTTCAGTTTATTCACATTTATATGACAACCGTTAAACATTTTAGTTACAAAACTGTCCCAATTAAAAAAAAACCTCATTTTGCTGTAATTTTACATTATTTGAAAAAAAAAAACAATCTGCAGATTTTTCCAAGTTGAAGAGGAAACGCCACTACACATCCTATGTGGTTGTAGCCCACTCATGCATAAACGAAATATCTCCTTTGGAAAGTATACACTCTATCCTGAGGAGACAAAAACCATCGCTTCTAAGAATATCCTTCAATTCTTGTCCCTGACGGGCCTAGGTAGCGAACTTTAAAAAAAAGGGCGAGAACAATAGATCTATGTAGGTCGCAGTGATACAGGTCTACAAGACTATAGTACAAAATCCTCAATAATTTTTTTTTTAAAAACGATACAGAAAATAAGGCCTTGAGAAGACTGACTTTAATAGTATTATTAACGATAACTCCAAAACTACTGGTTAGAACTTGACTAAATCTATATGGAAAATATAAGAAATTATTATTATATTTTTTTTTGGACTGTATCGAAAAAAAAAACGTTTCGCGTGCTCATAATTTTATTCAATTTGTTCTCTGTATTATATATTTAAATTATACAAATTTACAGTCCATATATAAGGATTTGAAGTCTTTAGCTTAGGAAATTATGACACTATTTTTTTTATATTTGGGACAGTTTTGAACTAATATTTTACAATACAGGGTGTAAAAGTCTATGTAATGTTACAATAAAATTACCCTCTGTACATATCAGGTGAAGGGTAGTAACCGAAAGAAACTCAAACGCAGATGAAAGGTCCAGTAGAAGGGTGATAACTCCGCGGATGCAGGCCCTAAAAATAAATACAATTATCAGTCATTGTTATGTACAACTAGCTGTCCCGTTAATTTTTTTCCATATATAAATTAAGTACTAGTGCTACGTTTATATTCAGCCGCTTCTCCTGTCACTCGCGCTGCCGGAAATATTGCCGGGCGACAACTGAGCAAGAGGGCTGAATGTAAAAACACGCTGCCACTCGCGCTGCCAGTCCTTTGACTCGCGGACGGAAACCGATAAACGAGGGAGCGCCGGGCAGCGCGAGTGGCAGCGCCAATGGAATGGGAAGTGTTTACACTCTCGCGCTGCTCACTTCCCTGCCCACTCGGGCTGGGTGTAAATTGGGCATAATATCGTTATTAAAAATAGGGGTTGGTGGAAAAAGGGTGACAATTTGAGTATAAACACAAAACCAGTGATACGACAATTTTATATATTAGATAATAATAACATAACGTAGGTAATTAAACACTTTCATTGTAAAGAAAAATTATTATAAAAAACTAATTAACCCTGTAAACGTCGTTGTGTTTAATTTAATAAATTAAAATCGCTATTAGAAATAGGGGTTGGCGACAGAAGGGTGAAGAATCAGATTGAGTCGAATTTCCCTCCTGTGGGGCGTAGGCATCACGTTGAGAAACCAAGTTAACCTTTGCTAAAATAGAAAACGTAACTTTTCCTAACTATTGTAACCGTAACTGCTTGGGGGAAAGAGAAGTTTGTTGTTGGTAATGTGGATTGATGATCTTATTGCTAGTACTATGCCAAGTTAGGTTGACCTCCACGCGTTACCCCTGGAAACCACCGTGATAAATTCCTGTTGAATTTGTCACGATGGGCTAACTGACCTGACCTCATGTTCATCTCATCATCTTCCACTGGCGCCCCGCCAGCGTATACAGCGCAGGCGGGTGTACAATTCCATTGCCATTCATAAAAGAAACCTTTAATTGAATTGCCAGACGACTAATCTACCGTGACTGCCTTTCATTCAGCTGCCAGAAGACAACGGATCACTAAAATTTTGGCGATGCAAATGAGTGTCACGTGTCAGGTGAGAGTGCGGGCGGCGCCGGTACTGACCACTAGTGCGCGTCGGTCTGCGTGGCGCGGGTGGTGGTGTGCGCGCGCCGCCGCCGCCGCTACGTACCACCACCACCACCACCACCACCACCACCACCACCACCACCACCGCCACCACCGCCGCCACCGCTGCGGCCTTCCTCGCGCTGCTTGCTTATATACACCTGTATATACATATTCAATTAAAAACATCTTTATTCATTTAGGTCGATTACAGACTCTTATGATATGTCAACTCTACCGTTCTTCAGTTCCTAATGATTTCGAGATGAGAAAAACTAAGAAGAAACTCAGCTCGTATTCTTTGCAAATAAGGATACATGTTTACAATAATACAGATTCATTGTTTAATTCAAATTTGGGAGTATATAGTAGATACATGTCGATTAATCAAGGTACGTTTTCTAGAGGTAAGATTTTTTTATTTTTTAAAGTCGAGACAGACCATTAGTTTTATATATGTAACTAGATACTAGATGGCCCGGTAGTCGTTGTTATGCCATACACTTTAATATCACCATTAAAAATATAGATTTATGATGTATGTATTTTTAATTACTAGTCATAAAAAAACACTAAAATAAACTACTTGACGACCCAGGACACATGTGTCTAGCGAAGGACTAAGGAAAAATAGGGGTTGATGATAGAAAGTTGGTTGATTTAGGGTTGTATTTTTTAATGACACATAAAAAAATAAAATTTGTTCAAAAAATTTACAAAAATGTAAGGGGTCGACAACCTTATGACTTAGGGGTATGAAAAACAGACCGTAGCCGATTCATAGATTCAATTTTATAAAAATCGGTCAAGCGGTTTTGTAGGAGTATGGTAACATTGTGACATGAGAATTTTATATATAAGATACTAGCTACTCGCTCCGGCTTCGCCTAGGTGTACATGTATTATATATATAAACCTTCCTCTTGAATCATTCTATCTATTAAAAAAACCGCTTCAAAATCCGTTGCGTAGTCTTAAACATTTAAGCATAGATGTGGACGGACAGACAGCGACTTTGTTATACTATGTGATGATATCACTGACCTGCAATAAGCGATATTTGCTGACAGACAGATGTTTGAGGTGTGGCTGCATTCGTTCCTCTCCGAGCGCGAACGTGAATGCAACCATACAGAATACCGCGGCTTTACGCACCGCCGAGTTCTGATGGTCGGCCAGCTGCAACAAAACAATTACATGATTGCAAAAAAAAATTTACCCCTTGTATACCCTTTCCATACAGCTAGGGTTTACATCGATATTGTCGAAAAATCTGATATTTAAAAATATTAAAAGAAGGTAGTTTCATTATTACTCGGTATCGTTAAACTAGTTGCATATAACCCCCACTCATATCTTCTCTGTATAAAAGGGAGGGTTTTTGTAAGCCACGGCATCCCCTCCGATCGATCCCCCGCCCAATTCAAACGGGGATCGATATTACGACGGACTGAGCCGAGGTTCCAACCCCTAGTGGTGCCCTCAGACGAAAGTCGTATCCGTCAGGCAGGAGTTGGCCTTCAGCCGCTCCATAAGTCCTTTGGTTTGGAGTGCCATCTGCACTCGCCCCTTATCGTCCGGTGAAGCTGTAAAGGCCAGCTGCGGCCAACAGCATTAGAGTAGTCCGAAAAAAAAAAAAAGAAAATAGCCACGGCATTTGGAGCACAGGATGTGCTGGTTGTATTTTAATTGCTAAAGTGAATTGTGTTAGAGACATAGTTAAATTAATGTTATATAGTTGTTATTTTATTATAATACATACTTTTACTAGTACATAGAGTTGAAATATCTTACAATACTTTTTACGGGTACATACAATATGTAGTGTAAGAATATATAAATTAAAAAAAAAACATTCACATAGAATAATAGAATTAAAAAGAAAAGGAGCAACACACAAGTTTCTTGCTCGTTCTTCTTGTGATGAGACAGCTTTCCGAATGAGTGGTACATTAAAAAAAATATGTCATCATGACTATTCAAAAGTGCTTAAATTAAGTTTATTTGAATAAATAACTGTACTCGCGACTTCATCAGTGTGAAATATACTTAAATTTTCTAAAATAAAAGTAACTTAAGTTACTCCTTATTACATCAGCTACCTGCCAATAAAAGTCCCGTCAAAATAGGTCCAGACATTTCAGAGATTAGTCGGAACAAATAGACAGACAGACACATTGTTATTTTAGTGTATGTACCGTATTTATATTCATATGCATGTTGTAAAAAACGGTTATTTCAATATTACAAACAGATACTCCAATTTTATGTATAAAGAAAAATCACGAGATCTCATATTCAACAGAGGACTTCTTCAGGGTTGAGATGATGATGATGATGATGATGAAGATCCCGTGATTTTTCTTCATTGTACATACTAACAATCATTTTTATTATTATTATTAATAGTGGTACCTGTCCGACGCCCTCCATGAGCTGAGCCACCACATCATCTGTGAGCTCGTGACTCCGGGCCTTGGCCACTTCAGCAGCCAGCTTGAGAGCACACAGCGAGGTGGGATACCCTCGCGTGCGGATCACAGGCTTCAGCAGCGCCAGCACCTGCACACACATCACGTATTAACTAGCTGACCAGCGCAACTTCGTCTGCGTTTCATTTCCCCACCTTTTGTAATATTTTTCATTGCAGCTCCGCTCCTATTGGTCGTAGCGTAATGTTATATAGCTTAAAGCCTTCCTCTACAAATGGACTATCCAACAGAAAAACAATTTTTCAATTCGAACCAGTAGTTGCTGAGATTAGGGCGTTCAAACAAACAAACAAACTCTTCAGTTTTCTAATATTAGTACAGATTAAAGAGTATAGAATAAAATTTATTGAATCGTCTTGACACACCAATAATGACAAGAAAAAAACCGTTGACCCGCGGCGCGGCCAGTGCGTCCGAGTAGTGGAGCAGCCTGTATAGTGCGGTGGTCACCTGGGGCGCCGGCAGTGCGTGTGTGACCTCCTCGTGGAGCGGAGCAGGTCCGAGTAGTGGAGCAGCCTGTATAGTGCGGTGGTACCTGGGGCGCCGGCAGTGCGTGTGTGACCTCCTCGTGGAGCGGAGCAGGTCCGAGTAGTGGAGCAGCCTGTATAGTGCGGTGGTACCTGGGGCGCCGGCAGTGCGTGTGCGACGTGCGGCATGCCGGCGTCGACCGCCCGCATGACCTCCTTGTTGAGGGCGCCGTACGCGTTGATGAGCTTCAGCAGGATGAGGTCGAAGTAGTCGAGCCACTGCGCGCGCGTCTCCTGGCGGCGACACAGCCACACCAGCACCTTCACAGCCTCCGCCGCCGCCCGCTCCCCGGCCGAGCCCCACCCTGCTCCGCGACCACCACACATCACGACCACGACCAAACAAACAAACACCTAAGACTCAGTCTTTTTCGAGTCATTTTTAATCGATTAGCTGTTACTTTGCGGAAGTCCATTTCACTACTCGATGGATTTTTGTTATTTTGTTTAATTCCGCTACAATTGACATGTGTGAGACTACGAATATTCAAAATTAAAAAAAAAATTCAAACTATCTCTATTCATGTAGGTCTATTACAGACTCTTATGAATATCAAATCTACCGGTCAAATTCGGTGTGGAAACCTGACCAGCGCTACGACCTTCTCCAGTCTCCTTCGACGAAACCGCGACAAGAGCCGCAGTTTGGTCGCCGATGAGTCAACACTAGGCTTCCGAGCTGTACACGAACTCTTTAACGCCTGATGATGCCTCGTTCAGAGGAGAAACACGTGTCGCGATATGGGTGTAGACCAATAACGGTCGGAATTTGATCGCCACTGGAGAAGGTCGTAGCGCTGGTCAGGTTTCCACACCGAATATTCGTAATCTCACACATGTTAATCGAGTAGTTTTTCGAGTCAGTCAATTCCAATGGAGACATCCAGATAAATATACAGGAATAAATATAATTTGATTTGGTTTTCATCACTGTTGCATATCTAATTGACTGTTGTTATCTGATTGAACAGAGATTGAGTGCGTATCGGTTTCTATGTTGATTGTCGCACGCATTAAACGTCTAAGTCTATTGATCGCCGAACATCACTATTGTAGCGGAGCACCCTTTTTTGTATCAGTGACAGTTGCACTTGTCATTTTACTGACTGGAATAATCGTACTTCAGTGCATTTTCTGACATAAATCACACACAATTACAGATCAACGCACACTCGTTTTTACTTAAAAACTCAACAAAGAAACAGACACGTATCGATATAAATGACTATATGTGAAAATACAAATAACTGTTTACCCTTTTGTAAAAACGTAACAATATACCTGAAGTTTGTTGAGCATTGGAGATATTCTCAGAGTTTTCTTTATCACCGGAGTTTTCCTCTATTGATAGCGCGGCCAACGCTACCCGAACTATGTTCCTATAATAATAAAAAACACGAATTAAAATGTTAATACTGCAAATTTACCAGTACAGCCGACTTGCAGATCGCTTCGTTAAACTAATTTTTATATTATAGCTATGACCTTATTTCCATAGACTGAAGGTCCATTTTTATAATAATAATAATAAAACTCTTTATTGTGCATAAAAGAAACAAATAATTACAAAAAGGAAATATAAAAAGAAGGATATGCAAACAAAAGGCGGCCTTATCGCTTAAAGCAAACTCTTATAATTTTTTTTGTTTTTTTTTAATCCTGTGTTTCTATTATTTTTTTCACGCCTTCATTGCTCCGCAAATATACATTGTGGCTTCCCGCAGTTAATTTTTTTTTTTTTTTTCTTAATTTTTCTCTTTTGTGTTTTTTTTATTTTTATTTTAATAATTTAATAATAGAAAAGATGGATGGATTGTGTGAAAGATGATATGAATAAAAGAAGAGTATGTTTACATATGACGACCGATAGAGAGCAGTGGAAGAGAATGACGTACTGCGCCGACCCCAAATAATGGGATAAAGGCAAGACAATGATGATGAATACATTATATTGTTATTAGTGAATTTCCTACGGGGAGCCAACGACACTGGTTAGTTACTGTATACATTTACCATATTTACATTAAAATTTGTTAAGCTATTTGAAGGGTAAACATGATAGTAAAATTACAAGCTACGGAGCCAAGTCATCGTAATCCCACATGAGTGGTATCAACGGTATCACATGATAACATGATATCCAGGTTGTTGTTCATACAGGCGACAGCTGCCATTTACCATCAGGCTAATCAACTTATGCCTATACCTTACACAAAGAAATTTGTAATGACGTTAGTTTTAGTGTATGATATGCAATTCGGTGGAATAAGGGAGGCGGCAGTAACTCACTTGAAATACTCGCTGGGTTTCCTACAGTCACCATACTTGAGGATTTCGTGCGTGGCCAGCAGTAGGCACTCCCACTGTTCTGCTGGCGCTTGGGTTACGTCCAGCTTGCACAGTGCTTCCAGTACTTCTTGCTCGCGGAGACCAGCTGCAATACATATTTACAATAAAATAATCTGATTTCAAATTTGAAGACCCCTGTTGTCTAAATGTTTATCACACCATCTTACTTTCGATGGTCGACGGTTCGATTCCTCGCACGATACAGACATTTTTATATTTATTATTATATTATTTTCGTTTGGGTGTTTTCTATGTATATTATATATGTATTTAAAAAAAATGAATTTAAATTTATGCTCTGCACAAGCTATGCTTGATTTCGGACGAGATGATACTGTGAATTGTCCTGGCTTATTACTGTAAACAAATTTAAGTGTACGAGTGTATTGACTTAGTGGTTTCCTAGTCGGGGTAGGTCTCCGACTTACACCCACGAGGTCGTCCGTTCGAGGCTCAGTATCTTAGCTTTAGTACGATGCGTTCCTGTTGTAGGTTAAGGCGATGGTTACTGTTTACCATCAGGTGGCACGTTAACGACGTTTGACGACCTCGGTGGTCTAGCGGTTTAGCACACCGCTTTACGTCCAATGGTCGCGAGTTCAATTCCTCGCACAGTACAAACATTGGTATTCATGAGTATGATTGTGTAGTGTATATATCGGTCTGGATGTTTTCTATATATATGTATGCAATTACGAAAAAAAATATCTATGTATTTGTATCAGTTATCTAGTACCCATAACACAAGCTTTAGCTAGCTGAACTTGGGTCTAGATGGCGCTGTGTGAATTGTCCTGAGAAAACAAACTACTTTGCGATACCAATTATATGAAAATAACTGCAATAACTCACATTTGGTGATAATGAACCCGTTCTCGTCCGTCTCGTACGCTTTTAGTCTGTCGCGGCCCAGTTGGCTCGAATTGTAGTCACTGTACAAACAAACAAACATTATAATAGACACACTTTTTAAAGAAATAATTAATTTATTTAAACCAAAAACAAAGTTATAATAATAACATGTTAAATATAAACAACTACATTAGTTAATAAAAAAAAAAAATGGATTTGCCGGGTCCATAGTGTGGCAGAGAGCGAAACTCCGAGCAGTTCCCGGGATTTGTGGCCCTGGTGTACGTTTACAGAACCCCTTGCCGATGACAAAATAAGAAAAATTTCCGTAAAAATTACTATTGTTAGGGTTCATATCGATATTGTCGAAAAATCTGATATTTTGTATTAAAAGAAGGTAGTTTCATTATTACTCGGTATCGTTAAACTAGTTGCATATAACCCCCACTCATATCTTCTCTGTATAAAAGGGAGGGTTTTTGTAGGCCGCGGCATTCGATCTTTGAGCACAGGATGTGCTGGTTGTATTTTAATTGCTAAAGTGAATTGTGTTAGAGACATAGTTAAATTAATGTTATATAGTTGTTATTTTATTATAATACATACTTTTACTAGTACATAGAGTTGATAGGTATATCTAACACTATATGTACGGAAACAACAAAATTTTATTGGTGCTGTTTAATTTATAGACCGTAATGGAAACACTAGTGTATGTACGTGAATTCTATATGTTGTGAAAACTTAATAATTAAAACTGAACGTTTAAAATAAATTAAGATAAAATTAATTTATTTAAAAAAAGGCTTAAAAAACTACTGACCGACAAAGCTTACTATACAGCAAAAGATTTTTAACAGACGTACTATAGGAGCTAACTGGACACTACAACAGATCAAAATTTTAAATATCTATTTGGGAATGAGTCATCTACGAAATTGCCACACTCTTTAAACAGAGTCCATGTGTATTGTTAATTTATCATATGTAAATTTAAATAAATAAAAAGTTACGATTCAACCGGTAACCTACGATACCGATTTGTTGAATCGTAACTTCTTAAGACATGATGGCTGCAAATAAGTATGAAGTTAGTTGTTGTTACTTTGGTAAGTCTACAATAAATCCTAAATAACGTTCAAATGTATATTAATAACGCTCGGATTTCGATCATAGGGCGATCACTAGTTTGTATTGAAATTTACGGTGATGATGATGATGATGGTTCACCTGTGATGATGAGGGAAGTCGAGTCGGTTATGAGCCGGCACTGGTGATGACTCCTTGGTACTACTAGCCTCCTCAGAACTATCAGCAGATGCCGCGCGAGCAATCGCATCACTGTAATTTTTTTTATTGCAATTAATTGAATTAGTGCTAATTGGTAGTTTGTATTCACACACTTAAACTTAAAAATGTAAAGTAAGAATAAAATTATTTAAAAGAGCAACACGCAAGTTTCTTGCTCGTTCTTCATTTGACGAGACATCTTTTTGAATGAGCGGTAGATTAAAAAAAATGTGATGACTATTCAAAAGTGCTTCAATGTAAGTTTATTTGAATAAATGATTTTCTATTCTATTCTATGGACAACATTTGCATTCACACATTTCAACTTAAAAATGTAATATTTCAATCAAATTATTTAAAAGAGCAACACACAAGTTTCTTGCTCGTTCTTCTTGTGATGAGACAGCTTTCCGAATGAGCGGTAGATTAAAAAAATAACCCAGAACATTACTTAAATATAAATTTATTTTAATAAAGAATTTTCTAATCTATTTTAATCGTGACATTTTTTATATATGGATATATTTTTTTATTGGGTTGTTTGTGCTATTGTCAGGTGCATGGACCTGTAGCACTGCGACCTACATAGATCTATTGTGCTCGCCCTTTATCAGAGTTCGCTACCTAGACCCGTCAGGGACAAGTATTGAAGGATATTCTTAGAAGCGATGGTTTTTAAATCCTCAGAATAGTGTATACTTTCCAAAGGAGATATTTCGTTTATGCATATAGTGGGCTACAACCACATAGGATGTGTAGTGGCTTATTGTGTGATTTGTAAATTGGAGTATCTGTTTGTAATATTGAAATAACCGTTTTTACATGCATATGAATATATATACGGTATATACACCAAAATACCATTTTTTACAGTTTTTGTCTGTCTGTCTGTTTGTTCCGAAATACAAATCTAAATAATAATAAGTCTCTGAAATGGCTGGATCTATTTTGACGTGATTTTTTTTGGTAGGTAGCTATATAGTGATGTTATAGCGATATAATGATGTAGTAACCGTTTTTTACTACATGCATATGAATATAAATACGGTATCGAAATAACATTTTTTACAGTTTTTGTCTGTCAGTCTGTTTGTTCCGAAATACAAATCTAAATAATAATAAATCTCTGAAATGGCTGGATCTATTTTGACGTGATTTTTTTTGGTAGGTAGCTATATAGTGATGTTATAGCGATATAATGATGTAATAACCGTTTTTTACTACATGCATATGAATATAAATACGGTACATACACCAAAATACCATTTTTTACAGTTTTAGTCTGTCTGTCTGTTTGTTCTGAAATACAAATCTAAATAATAATAAGTCTCTGAAATGGCTGGATCTATTTTGACGTGATTTTTTTTGGTAAGTAGCTATATAGTGATGTAATAAGGAGTAACGTAGCCTACGTTACTCCTTATTTATTATTATTTAGATTTGTATATCGGACTACTTTTATTTCGGGTACTTTTATTTTAGAAAAATAAAGTTAAATTCCACGCAGACGAAGTCGTGGGTACAGCTAGTGTATAATAAATACTTACTTGTTGTAATGTCCGTTGGGCACGCCGTTGTGCGGGCGACCAGAGAGTGTCACATCGGACATCTGACTAATGCCGGAGTCCTTGCTCGACATATGATTCCCACACTCAGCTGCAACATCACAAACATGATCACACATATGCAACACTTCAAATGTGCTACACGAAATTATTATCATAATTTGACGACCTTGGTAATCTAGCGGTTTAGCACGCGTTACTTCCGTCGCGGGTTCGATTCCTCGCACGGCATAAATATTTGTATTCATGTGTATGATTGTTTGTATCCGTGTGGGTGTTTTCTATGTAGATTATATATGTATATACATACAAAAATATGTATTTATATCAGTTGTCTAGTACCCATAACACAAGCTCAGCTTACCGTGGGACTAGATGGCTCTGTGTGAATTGTCCAGTGGTATATATTGTTATTATTATTTATATATCAGTTGTCTAGTACCCATAACACAAGCTCAGCTTACCGTGGGACTAGATGGCGCTGTGTTAATTGTCCAGGGTTATTTATTAATATTATTTATATATCAGTTGTCTAGTACCCATAACACAAGCTCAGCTTACCGTGGGACTAGATGGCGCTGTGTTAACTGTCCAGGGTTATATATTATTATTATTATTTATATATCAGTTGTCTAGTACCCATAACACAAGCTCAGCTTACCGTGGGACTAGATGGCGCTGTGTTAATTGTCCAGTGGTATTTATTATTATTATTATTTCTCTATCAGTTGTCTAGTACCCATAACACAAGCTCAGCTTACCGTGGGACTAGATGGCGCTGTGTGAATTATTCTCAGATATGACTATTATTTGAATTGAATTTAGGAAAAGGTCTAACAAAACGTACCGTTGGAGTGTTGCGCGGTGTAGGTGTGTATTTCGGAGGTGGTCTTCCTTATCCTGGAGTACACGTCCTCAGCGTTGGCAGAGTTGCTGGTGCTGCTGACGGTACGGAGTGGGCTGTCGCTACCGGCTGGACGGATGTTATATACACATATAGTACCGAAAAATGTAGGAGCCTATATATATATTCGAGATTTCATTCGCGTGAATAGCCTATGTGTTATGTAGGTATAAGCTATCCTACTTGAATAAATGATTATTGGTTTGATTTCCAATGAACCAAATCGAGATAATGATTTTTTGATTTGATATCCATTGTCATTCACCAATCAATGTGAGACACTTAATGATTTTTGATTTAATATTCATTGTCATTTACCAATCAATCCGAGACACTTAATGATTTTTGATTTGATATCCATTGTCATTTACCAATCAATCCGAAACACTTAATGATTTTTGATTTGATATCCATTGTCATTTACCAATCAATCCTAGACACTTAACGATTTTTGATTTGATATTCATTGTCATTTACCAATCAATCTGAGACACTTAATGAATTTTGATTTGATATCCATTGTCATTTATCAATCAATCTGAGACACTTAATGAATTTTGATTTGATATCCATTGTCATTTACCAATCAATCTGAGACACTTAATGAATTTTGATTTGATATCCATTGTCATTTACCAATCAATCTGAGACACTTAATGAATTTTGATTTGATATCCATTGTCATTTACCAATCAATCTGAGACACTTAATGAATTTTGATTTGATATCCATTGTCATTTACGAATCAATCTGAGACACTTAATGAATTTTGATTTGATATCCATGGTCATTCACCAATCAATCCGACACACTTACTGAGTGCGGATATACAAGAATAGAAAAAAATGCCACTCACTGCTCGATGTTCTCCGGACATGCTGCTGCAGCACTCCGTTGACCATGCTCTGCGTCTCCGGAGGCAGTTCACTCATCAGCGCCGTGAACTGATGAACACCAATGTATTGTATTAGTTGTATTACCTACACTAGCCTATCTAGCGGTTTCAGGTAGTTTTTTTTTTATACTACATAAGTAGCAAACAAGCATAAGGCGTATCTGATGGTAAATGATTACTGTAGCCTGTGGACACCTGAAATGCCAGAGATTTTTTTCGGACTACTCTAACGCTGTTGGCCGCAGCTGGCCTTTACAGCTTCACCGGACGATAGCGGGCGAGTGTAGATGACACTCCAAACCAAAGGAAGGACTTATGGAGCGGCTAAAGGTCAACTCCCTGACGGATATAGGCTAGGGGTTCGAACCTCGGTTGAGGCCGTGGTAATTTCGATCCGCGTTTGAATTGGGGGATCGATCGCAGAGGGTCAGGGACGTGCGCGTTGCCGATCATAAAGAAACCTTATATTCCTTCTTGAATAGTGGGGTATCCCATGTTGTTAATACCATTATTGACCTTCACACGGTTCCCCTCGAAATTTCTGGTTAATTTATCAGAATGGGCACACTGACCTGACCTCATATTCCTTCTTGAAATACCCCATGCTGTTAAAACCATTATTGACCTTCACACGATTCCCCTCGAAACTTCTGGTGAATTTATCAGAATGGGCAAACTGACCTGATCTCATATTCATATTATCAGCCTCCACTGGTGCCCCGCCAGCGTAAAACGATAGCGCAGGCGGGTGCACCATTAAACAAAAACTGGTGAGAATGAGGTACTCACCGAGTTGACTCTATACAAAGTATACCTCTGGTTTACTTTGAACAAAGTCATTTCAGTGACCTCGGTTACCTCTGGTTAAGGTCATTTTGTCTCTCTAGTTGAAGTCCTTTTTATTAGGCACATTGATTGAAGTAGAAAAAGTATAATCCATCACATTTAAAATAAGTATTGTTGCTAAGTAACAGTTTGTGTGTAACGTGCAACTGCAATCGGAACGAAATAAATTATATTTACAACTGTATACGTAATCCACTGAATATCTCTATCACTTTTATCTCTGATGAAATATGGAGAACGTGAGGTAGGGTGACTGCTGCTATTCCATACCTATCTCCTCGTATATACGAGGGGAGAATATAGTGAGAGTGAGCAGTACCGGGCCGGGGTTGCAGTCGTACAGACAGCCGAGGGCTCTCCTTGCGGCCAGCCGTACATCTGCCGCCCGTAGGTCTGCCGCCTGCATTGCCACGCGCGTTAGTGCTCGCCCCGCTACTCCGTTCGCGCCGCCTGACACAAATGTATACCATTATATATTTATTATTTGAGTCTACTTTATTCATATTGTTAAACGTCCGTTCGTGAGTACGGATGATGCCATATCTAGAAGCACTAATTGTTAACATGACCATTCCCGAGTATGACGAATGATACAATAACTAAAAGCACTAGTAATTACCTCGATCGTTCTCAAGTATGACAAATGATAAAATAACTACAAGTAGTTATCATGGTCGTTCCCAAGTATGACGGATAATGAAATGGAGTAGTCACCGTGTAGTGCTGCTGCGAGGCTGGCGGGCGTGCAGTAGTCGTGGGCGAGGTCCGCCAGGAAACGTAGCGCGGCGCCCTTAGTCTTGCTGGTGGGGGCCGTCGCACCGTCCGCCAGGAACCTGTCATACACATAATAGTATATTACGATACAAGTGCGTTATTATGATTATAACACACAAGGCAGAATTTCAGACCGCGGTATAAGGTTAAATACGCGCACGCAAGCAAGCACGCACGCACTCAAACACGCACGCACGCACGCACTCAAACACGCACGCACGCACGCACGCACTCAAACACGCACGCACGCACGCACTCAAACACGCACGCACGCACGCACTCAAACACGCACGCACGCACGCACTCAAACACGCACGCACGCACGCACTCACACGCACGCACGCACGCACGCACGCACTCAAACACGCACGCACGCAAACACGCACGCACGCACGCAACACACGCACGCACGCACGCACGCACTCAAACACGCACGCACGCACGCACGCACGCACTCAAACACGCACGCACGCACTCAAACACGCACGCACGCACGCACGCACGCACTCAAACACGCACGCACGCACGCACGCACGCACTCAAACACGCACGCACGCACTCAAACACGCACGCACGCATGCACTCAAACACGCACGCACGCACGCACTCAAACACGCACGCACGCACGCACGCACGCACTCAAACACGCACGCACGCACGCACGCACGCACGCACGCACGCACGCACGCACGCACGCACGCACGCACGCACGCACTCAAACACGCACGCACGCACGCACTCAAACACGCACGCACGCACGCACGCACGCACTCAAACACGCACGCACGCACGCACGCACGCATTTGTTGTCTAAAATCTATAGTAGATCTGCAAAATATGTTTTAATACCTGAATATGTTGTGGAGTTGCAGATCAGCTGGGAAGCACTCGTGTATGACGTCCAATGTCTTCATAATCTTGCTCTGTACAGAGCCCAGTATGTCTGTACCTAACTTCATCAGCAACCTGCCGATAGAAATTTACGCTTGAGTTTCATAGAAATAGAAATAATCTTTATTAGTGCTACAACCCTATTTAAAAAATGCAAAACCTGGCAACATCGGAAATGACAAATTTGTCTCCGGGAAAACAGAATATAATATTTATTTTATTGAAAAATAAAAAATCTATTTTGATACAACAACCATATAATTATTAATACCTATACTTTATTAATTTTGTGTTAAATAAACACCCAAATATTATTTCTAAATAACCTATAAAAATGGGTAATTAATATTAATTTCCAATAGTGCCACAACCCTATTTAAAAAACACAAAATCCTGGCAACATTGGAAATGTCAAATTTGTCTCTTGGATTAAAAAACAGACTATAGTTATTCCATCATTGGTCATTTAGTTAAGGTAGACGGGTGCATTACAGTATCATCAAGAAAATACCATAGGCTACAGTAGCCATTTACCATCAGATGGGCCGTATGCTTGTTTGCCACTATCGTAGTATAAAAAAAACTATACAGACCTAAACATGAGCTGGTACAACCAGTCCTTCAGCTGTTCCCAGTGTACCAGGAGCAGCTCGCAGACCGCGTCCAGCAGCAGGGATAACACTTTGGTGTGGCCATTTACCATCAGATGGGCCGTATGCTTGTTTGCCACCATCGTAGTATAAAAAAAACCATACAGACCTAAACATGAGCTGGTACAACCAGTCCTTCAGCTGTTCCCAGTGTACCAGGAGCAGCTCGCAGACCGCGTCCAGCAGCAGGGAGAACACTTTGGTGTGGGCATCAACGAACATCTTGTTCAGCAGTTCCGTTAGACGCTTGAGCTGATCGTCCGACAGAAGCCGACCGCTGTTCAGGTAGTTGGCCTGGAAATAAAATACACATATACAACACACTGGAAGAAAAAGGAATTGTTAGTAATGGACTGATGATCTTATTGCTGGCAATGTACCATGTCAGGACCTCCACGCGTTTCCCCCTGGAAACCGTCGTCATAAATTCCTGATGAATTTGTCACGATGTGCAGTTAGCATCGTGACAAACTTTCGCCTAATATAAATACGGTACATACACCAAAATAACATTTTTACAATTTTTGTCTGTCTGTCTGTTCCGGCTAATCTCTGAAATGTCTGGACCGATTTTGACGGGACTTTTATTGGCAGGTAGCTGATGTAACGAGGAGTAACTTAGGCTAACCTCTGAAATGGCTGGACTGATTTTGACGGGACATTCATTGGCAGGTAGCTGATGCAATAAGGAGTAACTTAGGCTACTTTTATTTTAGAAAGATAAAGTCGAATTCCACACGGACGAAGTCGCGGGTACAGCTAGTCTAATATACATGGTATCGTTATCCCGCAAGGAATACAAATAATGTCCTTACTAGATGTGTGAGTCCGTCCTTCCTCTCTGTCCAGTGCGTGCAGGCGCACAGTGCGAGGATGTCGTCGGGGGGCGGGGGCGGGGGCGGGGACCCGCACTCGTACCCCAGCCGAGACGCGGACCCCGACCACGACACGCTCTGCAACACCATTAACATTACACCACGATATAACACATATACACATATAGGGTAAAGCATAATTTATTTTTTATTTATTTATTTACTACAGGCTATTTATTATCTATACATATAAATAAAATTGGAGTATCTGTTTGTAATATTGAAATAACCGTTTTTACTACATGCATATGTATATAAATACGGTACATACACAAAAACAACATTCTTTACAATTTTTGTCTGTCTGTCTGTCTGTTTGTTCTGGCTAATCTCTGAAATGGCTGGACCTGTTTTGACGGGCCTGTTTTGGCAGGTAGCTGATGTAATGAGGAGTAACTTAGGCTACTTTTATTTTAGAAAAATAAAGTTAAATTCCACGCGGACGAAGTCGCGGGAACAGCTAGTATTATATTATAAATATATAATACCTTACAGACTAACATATATATATAACAACATCATCATTCTTCGTTATCCCATTTATTTGTGATCTTCGTAATATAGACAATATCATTGTATTAGTTTATAAATATTATATTATATGTATGTTAGTCTATAAGGTATTTATAATATGGGCCTATTTGCCTGAAATAAATAAATAAATAGAAGTATGTTTTTCTCTTTCATTCATCCCTGTTCCCAGTCATCTCGTTATTGAATAATATAATTAATAGAAAATCTTATATATAAAATTCTCGTGTCACAGTTTTCGTTCCCATACTCCTCCGAAACGGCTTGACCGATTCTCATGAAATTTTATGAGCGTATTGAGTAGGTCTGAGAATCGGCCAACATCTATTTCCCCTAAATGTTAGGGGTAGTCCAACCCTAATTTTTTTTTATTTTAAGGCAAAACAACGTTTGCCGGGACAGCTAGTAAACTATAAATTGTCTGTGTGATCACGGCACTGATGATGGCAAGATATAGTTGACAGTATGTACTGTCAACTATATCTTGACCTACATATATAAGTTCTTGTTATACGAATAGAAAGATGTATTAAGTCAGAGCCAAAATAATCGATTTTTAAGTCCTTTGTACGAGACTAAATGTTTTAAGGTTGGCAACCCTGTTTTTTTAATGTGACGAAAATTTATCTTGGAGACCAGTCTATCCCAGGAGTTGAATGGTTGTGTCATTGAGACTCCTACTCCCTAAAACCCGCCAACAACCCTGCAAGCCTCTATAGTTCCTCAACGCGTGAAGCAAACTTCCAAGGTCCTCCACTTCTGCCTACTGTGAAAGAGACGCATCAAAATAGACTCGACTCCAGTTGACGCAACTGGAGTCGAGAATCGTATCTTATTGTATACGTATCTTACTTTCTATAGTAAATAATTAAATATTTACATCGTGCCGCCTGTAAAAGTCCAAACTCCTCTCGGAGCACACGCTGGAAGCTTCAGAATCATCATCTCTTCCTCGGAGTCCGTCACACCCCGAGTTGTCATCCGGACTCTGTTCATCAAACAGATATTAAATCATATCATTATTACATAGTATAAAACAAAGTCTATAGACTTTAAGCTATATAACATTACGCTACGACCAATAGGAGCGGAGCTGCAATGAAAAATATTACAAAAGATGGAGAAATGAAACGCAGACGAAGTTGCGCAGGTCAACTAATCACTACATAGTATAAAACAAAGTCGCTGTCGCCGTCTGTCCGTCCCTATGTATGCTTATATCTTTAAAACTACGCAACGGATTTTGAAGCGGTTTTTTTTAATAGATAGAGTGATTCAAGAGGAGGGTTTATATATATAATATATGTACAGTAATGTACACCCATGCAAAGCCGGGTCGAGTAGCTAGTTAATATTACAAACGTGAAAGTTTGTGAGTATGGATGTTTGTTACTCTTTCATGCAAAAACTGCTTAACGGATTTTGATGAAACTTTACAGTAATGTAGCTTATACATCAGAATAACACGTAGGCTTAAAATATGAAGCGAGTGAAGCGGCGGGAACAGCTAGTATAACATAAATCCATTAAAAAAAATTCTACTGCCCGTCAACTGCAATAGAAAATAAAGAGGAATCCAACACTACAAAATATAACTCGGTATGACTTAGTACATATACTAAATATATACATAGAAAACATCCAGACTCATGAATACAAATGTTTGTACCGTGCGAGGAATCGAACTCGCGACCTTCGGAAGTAAAACTATGCGTAATATACACAGAAACATAATCGTGGATACAAAATCATGTTCTCACCCTGAGGGCTCCCTCGGCGTCCCTGGTCTGCTGCAGCAGTCGCAGCGTGGCCGACGGAGTACGACCGCGCTCCAGGGACTCGCGGCGGCGGAGACCAGCTCCTAGTGCTGGACCTGCTGCACTGCCAGACCTACCAGACCTGACAATAATAGTATATGTCAATACCAAAGGATATACTGGAATTACCCTTAAATAAATTCAAAACATCTGTTAAATCATATTTACTGAGCAAAGTCTATTACTCACTAAACGATTACTTGAATGACGAGCGTTCATGGCAATACAGTGGACCCCCGGTAGTCCGACAATCATTTTGCAGGGCAGTGTCGGACTATCGAATTTGTCGGATTATAGAGTACTGCCTAAGACCCCTTATAGTCCGAATTTTTTTACAAAAGAGTACCTTGTAATCCGACAAATTATAGATCCAATGATGATTCTTTACATTATATACATATACAGTGGACCCCCGGTTATCCGACAAACGTTTTGCAGGGCAGAGTCGGACCATCGTATTTGTCGGATTATAGAGTGCTGCTTAAGGGTCCTCTGCTTATAGTCCGGAATTTTTTACAAAAGAGTATCTTGTAATCCGACAAATTAACAGATCCAGTGATAAGATTCTATGTTATATATGTATGTATGTATTTGCACTCTGAAGTATATTGTCAAAGTAATATTCAATAACAAATAATAGACAATGTCGGATTACAAGGAGGGCCGGATTACCGCGAGTCCACTGTAGTTGTTCATGCACGGGATTTTCATTTAATGTTAGACATAGACACCTATATGAATATACATTGTAAATAAACTGGCATTAAAAACAAAAAAGTAATTCAATTGAGTTTCTTGCCAGTTCTTCTCAATTGAATCTGTATATTGAACTGTACAGTAGGAAAAATATTATAATATAAAAAAAAAATACGTTTATAAGCGACTAAAAATTCTTGTGTCACAGTTTTCGTTTTCATACTCATCCGAAACGGCTTGACCGATTTTCATGAAATTTTGTGAGCGTATTGAGTAGGTCTGAGAATCGGTCAACATCTATTTTTCATCCCCCTAAATGTTAGGGGTAGTCCACCCCTAATTATATTTTTTTAGTTAAGGCAAAACAACGTTTGCCGGGACAGCTAGTAATAATAATATCTCAGGACAATTCACACAGCGCCATCTAGTCCCAAGCTAAGCAGAGCTCGTGTTATGGGTACTTGACAGCTGATATAAATGCATAGACACATTTTTTATTGTAAATAAATACATATTGTACATAGAAAACACCCAGACCGATACAAGCAATCAAACTTATGAATACAACTTTGTGCGGTGCGAGGAATCGAACCCGCGAGTATCGGTCGTAAAGCGGCGTGGTAGACCGCTAGAGCATCGAGGCTGGGGTTTGAACCGAACTCAAGTCCACGTGGCGACCGACCTGGTGGGGCTGGTCTCCCGGGAGCCGGCCAGCGAGCGCGGGATCCCCGAGGGTCTGCGGCGCGCGGACACCGACTGCGGACCACTGCTGCGGGACGACGGCGACGACGACCGGGACGTCGCTGCGGAAAACAAACATATTCATATTGTTAACACCAAAGTTTCTGAATAGAATAAAATAGAATAGAATACAAAATCATTTATTCAAATAAACTTACATTGAAGCACTTTTGAATAGTCATAACATTTGTTTTAATCTACCTCTCATTCGGAATGCTGTCTCATCACGAGAAGAACGAGCGAGAAACTTGTGTGTTGCTCTTTTAAATAATTTATTCTTACTTACAATTTAAGTTTAAGTGTGTGAATACAAATTATCGATTAGCACTAATTCAATGAAATAATAAAATAGAAAAACATTCAATACACAACAACTGGTTAAACAATTAACAAGAGAAAATAAGTCATAGTGATTAGAGCAGACCAGTCCTACACAAGCAGCACCCGTTCACGAGCATGACGGATGAGCCAGCCACCACTGCGCTCGACCATATTTTAGGGAGCCCAATCACCAGTAGATTAAAAAACGCCGCCACATGTCTGAACATTTTTTGAATAAATGACTACTCAAAACACCATTCCACGTCATAGCTACTCACAATTGCCATCTGATGTTTATAGTATTCACATTTCACATAACAATGCATGCGGCAATCAATACAAAAACCGCTACGCTTTCATATTTCTAAAATAATTAAATCAAGAAAGCAATGAGATAAACAAGTTATAACGTTGTATGCTAATAAACTTATTATTTACTTGATATGTTGTCATGTATGAGTATGGATGGATGTTTGTTACTCTTTCACGCAAAAATTACTGAACAGATTTTGATGAAACTTTATAATAATATAAATAACCAATGACTATTCAAAAGTGCTCAATGTAAGTTTATTTGAAGAAATGATTTCTATTTTTATTTATCTACCGCTCATTCGGAAAGCTGTCTCATCACAAGAAGAACGAATATAGTAGTAGTAAAGTAATAGCTAGTAGTAAATATGTTTTTAAAGTCGGCAACGTGCACGTAATAATTCGATTCAAAATATCTTTATTCATGTAGTAGACCTACATAAATTTGATTTTAAAAATGAATCTGTATTATTGTAAACATGTACAACATTTATTTGATAAAATAAAAACGAGTGTAGATACGTACGCTGCGACTGCGAGACTCCCGGTCGGGCCCGCGACCGGCCGGCGCTCCGCTCCGGGCTCGGGGGGACTCCGCCCGCGGACGACACCGGGGAACGCTTCGCGCGCGCTGCAACCGACATACAAACACTTGTAATACATGTGACATATATACACAATTAACACTACGCCGACCGTAACTTTCGGAGTTCAAAAAAAGAGGGAAGTAAAATCAAATTTCCATAAAAATAAAAATAGCGTGTTAAACTAGGTCGCCCTAATACTATATAAAAAGTGTGCGTAGTAAAAAAAAAAGACAGCGAGCGAAGCTTGGTAGCCTCAGTACTATATATTTCCATAAAAATAAAAATAGCGTGTTAAACTAGGTCGCCCTAATACTATATAAAAAGTGTGCGTAGTAAAAAAAAAAGACAGCGAGCGAAGCTTGGTAGCCTCAGTACTATATATAAAGTGTGCTTAGTGACAAAAAAAAGAGACAGCGAGCGAAGCTTGGTAGCCTCAGTACTATATATAAAGTGTGCTTAGTGACAAAAAAAAAAGAGACAGCGAGCGAAGCTTGGTAGCCTCAGTACTATATATAAAATGTGCTTAGTGACAAAAGAGACAACGAGCGAAGCTTGGTAGCCCCAGTACTATACATAAAGTGTCCTTATGACAAAAAATAAAGTGTCCTATATATAAAATGTAAGTGACAAAAAAAAGACATCAAGCGAGCCTCAGTACTATACATAAAGTGTCCTTAGTAACAAAAAGACATCAAGCGAAGCTTGGTAGCCCCAGTACTATATTAAAAGAACATTTCCATTTCTAAGTTAAATTATCTTAATAATATTAAAAACGCGAAAGTTTATGAGTATGGATGGATGTTTGTTACTCTTTCACGCAAAAACTACTGAACAGATTTCGATGAAACTTTACAGTAATATTAGCTTATACATCAGAATAACACATAGGCTATAATTTAAAAAGATATTATATATGTGTGCGAAATATAATGATATATTTCAAGTAAGTGTGATGCAGCTAACATATATATATGTATATACTTTTTTTTTTATTTATTTAAATACATTTTTCCACAGACATATTCGTCCGTGCCTTTTTTAATTTACTTTAATATTATAATATTTATTTAATTTCCACTTTTGTACAACTCCAGCCGAGATGTTACAATTTGCCTAACAGTGGCACCGAGGCAGACCTTATCCGTCTGGCCCAGAACCACCGCTGGCCGGCCGGGTGAGTTGACAACATGCAGTGTCACCTGTCATGTATATACTTATATTAATATTATAAAGCTGAAAAGTTTGTTTGTTTGAACGCGCTGATCTCAGCAACTACTGGTTCGAATTGAAAAATTATTTTCGTGTTGGATAGTCCATTTGTCGAGGAAGGCTTTAAGCTATATAACATCACGCTACGACCAATAGGAGCGGAGCTGCAATGAAAAATATTGCAAAAGATGGAGAAATGAAACGCAGACGAAGTTGCGCAGGTCAACTAATCACTACATAGTATAAAACAAAGTCGCTGTCGCTGTCTGTCCGTCCCTATGTATGCTTAAATCTTTAAAACTACGCAACGGATTTTCAAGATGTTTTTTATTAGATAGAGTGATTCAAGAGGAAGGTTTATATGTATAATACATGTACACCCGTGGGTACTTTGGAATAAATAAATTGAAAACAGCCAATAAAAAAATATGTTAAAAATATAGGAATGTATAGCTATCCGTAAACACATAAGCAGATATGGATACAGTGCGTAGAGTAAGCGAACGAGTGCATACGGGTTATTTGTATATATTACGAGTACCTTGTTGTGCCATTTCGCCCTCTTCAGTTATGCATATAAAGTATATAATAATTATTTAACAATATTGAAAATATTAATAAAAATATATATAATAGAATAGAAAATCATTTATTCAAATAAACTTAATTTAAGCACTTTTGAATAGTCATAACAATTTATATTTTTGTCTACCACTCGTTCGGAAAGCTGTCTCATCACAAGAAGAACGAGCAAGAAAATTGTGTGTTGCTCTTTTAAATAATCCTTGTAAGTTTACATTTACAAGTCGAAACGTGTGAATACAAACTACCAACCAGCACTAATTTTTTGGGTCAAATAGGATAATATACTGTAGCCTAAGGTCTAACTTGGCTAGTTTTCATATACGAAATATACTGTAGCCTTCGCAAGTTCTAAACATGTTACTTGTCAGTTCCTATTTTAATATTAGTAGTAACTAGCAATCGAAAGTAATAATTGGTATATGAGAACTGGCCAAGTTAGAACTTAGGCTACAGTATATTATCCAAGTTATAAGAAGAAATGATATTTTATATTGTTATAAATACATTTCAGGACAGACCATTGAACTTGGCACCCATTTAGATCTCATCTCTTTTGTCGTAGAAGTCAACAATCAAGGCATATATCATAATATTAAACTCGGCTATCATTTCACATTTATGTTTTTGATGGGATACTTTTAAAATTAAATTTAACTACAGTTAGAAATTTACAAAAAAATCAATACCAGGTAAGAATGGGGGGGTCTACCCAAAACCGAAAAATATGGCAAGGGGTCTACAATACAAAAATGGGGACCTCAGGTCTAGACTCTGTGAAAAGATTTAGGCTACTTTTTAATACGAGAAAAGGGTTGTAAGGGGGTTGAAAAGGATCATTGGTGAAGTTAGAATGATGAAACTTTTTTCGTTGGCTCTTTTGGGATACATTATTATTTTATACTTTCCAACGGTAGTATAATCTACCATCAGAAATGTTATTCTAAATGGGGTAGTCAGAGATGTCAACTGTGAGAGTTATGATGAACGCAACTAAACTTAGATCTCTACTTCTTAATCATTACATAGTACAAAACAACCAAGCATTTATCATTGCACCATTCTGGGACTTCTAGGTCCCGTGTGTGGGGGGATCATTATCTAAGATTGTTATTATAATAAATGATAAAAGTGTGTAGGTGTGGGGGAGATGTGTTGTATACTGACGCATGCTGGCGGTGCCGGCCGCCATCTTGGCGCGTGTCATGTGCGAGTAGAGCGCCCGTACACAGTGTGTAGGTGTGGGGGAGATGTGTTGTATACTGACGCAGGCTGGCGGTGCCGGCCGCCATCTTGGCGCGTGTCATGTGCGAGTAGAGCGCCCGTACACAGTGTGTAGGTGTGGGGGAGATGTGTTGTATACTGACGCAGGCTGGCGGTGCCGGCCGCCATCTTGGCGCGAGTCATGTGCGAGTAGAGCGCCCGTACACAGTGTGTAGGTGTGGGGGAGATGTGTTGTATACTGACGCAGGCTGGCGGTGCCGGCCGCCATCTTGGCGCGTGTCATGTGCGAGTAGAGCGCCCGTACACAGTGTGTAGGTGTGGGGGAGATGTGTTGTATACTGACGCAGGCTGGCGGTGCCGGCCGCCATCTTGGCGCGTGTTCATGTGCATGTTTTTAACGCCTTTATACACAGTGTGTAGGTGTGGGGGAGATGTGTTGTATACCTGACGCAGGCTGGCGGTGCCGGCCGCCAAAAATTGGCGCGTGTCATGACACAAAAATGAGCGCCCGTACACAGTGTGTAGGTGTGGGGGAGATGTGTTGTATACTGACGCAGGCTGGCGGTGCCGGCCGCCATCTTGGCGCGTGTCATGTGCAAGTAGAGCGCCCGTACACAGTGTGTAGGTGTGGGGGAGATGTGTTGTATACTGACGCAGGCTGGCGGTTTGGCGCGTGTCATGTGCGATAGAGCGCCCGTACACAGTGTGTAGGTGTGGGGGAGATGTGTTGTATACTGACGCAGGCTGGCGGTGGCGGCCGCCATCTTGGCTCGTGTCATGTGCGAGTAGAGCGCCCGTACACAGTGTGTAGGTGTGGGGGAGATGTGTTGTATACTGACGCAGGCTGGCGGTGCCGGCCGCCATCTTGGCGCGTGTCATGTGCAAGTAGAGCGCCCGTACACAGTGTGTAGGTGTGGGGGAGATGTGTTGTATACTGACGCAGGCTGGCGGTGCCGGCCGCCATCTTGGCGCGTGTCATGTGCGAGTAGAGCGCCCGTACACAGTGTGTAGGTGTGGGGGAGATGTGTTGTATACTGACGCAGGCTGGCGGTGCCGGCCGCCATCTTGGCGCGTGTCATGTGCGAGTAGAGCGCCCGTACACAGTGTGTAGGTGTGGGGGAGATGTGTTGTATACTGACGCAGGCTGGCGGTGCCGGCCGCCATCTTGGCGCGTGTCATGTGCGAGTAGAGCGCCCGTACACAGTGTGTAGGTGTGGGGGAGATGTGTTGTATACTGACGCAGGCTGGCGGTGCCGGCCGCCATCTTGGCGCGTGTCATGTGCGAGTAGAGCGCCCGTACACAGTGTGTAGGTGTGGGGGAGATGTGTTGTATACTGACGCAGGCTGGCGGTGCCGGCCGCCATCTTGGCGCGTGTCATGTGCGAGTAGAGCGCCCGTACACAGTGTGTAGGTGTGGGGGAGATGTGTTGTATACTGACGCAGGCTGGCGGTGCCGGCCGCCATCTTGGCGCGTGTCATGTGCGAGTAGAGCGCCCGTACACAGTGTGTAGGTGTGGGGGAGATGTGTTGTATTACTGACGCAGGCTGGCGGTGCCGGCCGCCATCTTGGCGCGTGTCATGTGCGAGTAGAGCGCCCGTACACAGTGTGTAGGTGTGGGGGAGATGTGTTGTATACTGACGCAGGCTGGCGGTGCCGGCCGCCATCTTGGCGCGTGTCATGTGCGAGTAGAGCGCCCGTACACAGTGTGTAGGTGTGGGGGAGATGTGTTGTATACTGACGCAGGCTGGCGGTGCCCGGCCGTCCATCGGCACGTGTGTATGTGCGATGTGTTGTATACTGACGCCTGGCGCGCGCTGGCGCGTGCGCGGCGCCCTGGCGCGCGCTCGCCGACACCGACCGCGCCGCGCCCGCACCTCCCGGAGATCGCTCTGTACAGACAGACAGACAACCTTATCTTACCAATACTGCACTTATACAACATACTCGACAAGTTGGCATGAGTGTTTGTATATTTACAATTCAATATAAACGTAAATTATTTAATTTGTCAGCTGTGAAATTAATACTAAAATTTAACAGTTGATATATGCGGCTCCCACAATCCTCCGAATCGGGTGTTAGAAAATGTGGAATGAATATTGTTTAACTACTGACCCGCGTTTGTCTCCTCTGTGTACAGCACACGTGACGGAGGTCATATAACCACAAATATGCACATAATGTACATATATTATAACATATGTATATGTACATTTTGGAAAAAATAATCGCAACACAATAGTGAAAACTGTATCAAAATCAGTTACGTGATTTACAACCAGTAAATAGAAAAATATACTAAAACAGCGACTTTTCTTTAATATTTTAATTCAGTAAGCGTAAGTTAATTTAAGTCATTACAAGTATTTGTTAGATTTTTTTTAAGCGTAATAATAAATGTAATTATGTAAGTTATAAGTCAGTGTAAGCACGATGAGTTATATTAGATCGTAGTTTTATCCGTACACCGTCGTTTACGGTACATCACAAATGTTATAAACCGTTTTAATTATTCAATAAGCGTAAGCACGTGTAAGCTAATATAAGTCAGTGTAAGTACGATATGTTAAATGTACATAAGTGTGGTGATACGTCACAAATCTAGTAATCCATCTGTTTATATTAACCAATAAGCGTAAATACATGTAAGCTAATGTAAGTCAGTATAAGTATATATTAAATGTAATATAAGTCAGTGTAAGTATGATATGCTATATGCATATAAGTGTGATAATGAACCTCTCATAGCAACGGGTATGTGTGATATCGGTGGTCGTTCCTGCGAGGCGCGGCGACGTCGCAGCGAGTTGGTGCGACTCACGCCCGACACTAAGTTCTCGGTTGACGCTTATGATGATAAGTCAGTGTAAGTGATATGTGTGATCAAACCATTTTATCCGGATGTTGCGTGGAAATAGAGAAAAAATTTGGTTAATTATTGTAATAGTACTAACAAAACAAATCTTATTGGTAATAATGTACCCTTACCAATATTCCAAATGTGAAAGTAGGTTTTAGAGTAGTAGGTTTGTTATGCTCTCACGCAAAAACTACTAAACCGATCGTCATGAAATTTTGTACACATGTTCTTGGAGGTATTAGAATGAATATAGGATACTCTTTATTAAAACTATTTTTATTTTTATTTAATGGATTCAATGTGAGCGAAGCCGCGAGTAAAAGCTAATACGAAATAATATAAAGAGATAGAGATAGTATAAGGAGGGGTGGAGGAGGGTAAGGGAGAGAGAGAGAAAGCAAATATAGAAAAGGAAAGAAACATCCAGAGCCACTGCACCGATTTCAGAAATTCTTTCACCGTTTGTGAGATGCGTTATACCAGAATGACACAGACTATATATTACATTAATGAACTGCCTTTACACACACGTTCTTTTATACGCAAATTTGTGTTCACGCAGGAAATAATGTATCGAGTCCAACAGACCCCATGACCATCGGAAATGAAGCGACGTGCTAAACCGTTATACCATTGAGGTCAAGTTATTGAACTGTTCTCCCTTTCTTCAGGTACATCATTATCACTCTGCCACTCCTTTTAAGTAACTCAAATGTCTGTACCGTGCGAGGAATCGAACCCGCGACTATCGGAAGTAAAGCGGTGTGCTAAACCGCAAGACCACCGAGGTCAGTTATTGAACTGTTTTCTACCTTTCTTTCAGGTACATAGTAATCCTGCCAATGTTGTTTTTTTATGTAATTGGATAGACAAACAGTGGATGGTAAGTGGTAACCGTTGCTCACAATATCACGGCATCATGTGACGGTGCCATGGTAACTCACATGTGTTGCCATTCCAGAGTACTAAGATGTCACGCCTCTTATCCTGTAATTTCACTTCCTAATCTGCACCCTACAATAGAAACAGCTTACAAAGCAAGCTGCTTGACGGCTGAAATAGGTGAGATTGAGGTGACACACGCAGACTACCTAGGTAAAAACCTTTTTTTTTTAATTGAAAATAATGTAATGGTGCACCACGCAGTTTACGCTACCAGTGGAGGGATAAGATGTGAAAAGGTCTGGTCAGGTCAGGTTTTTTAATTTATAAAATCTTGACATGATACTTTGGGGATCCTAGCAATGGGATCATCAGTTCACTTACAATCCCCTTCCCCCCCCCCCCTGGTAAACACCTGTATTTTTTCTTATAGATGATAATGGAATAGTGCACCCGCCTGCGCTAACGGTCTATGCTGGCGGGGCGCCAGTGGAGGATCATAAGATGAACATGAGGTCAGGTCAGTTAGCACATCGTGGTAAATTCACCATGAATTTATCTTATGGTTTCCACGTGGATGTAACCTGACATGGTACATTGCTAGCAATGTTAGCTGGCAGGATATGAAGGACGATTCCAAGGGACCTCGTGGATGTAAACCTGACATGGTACATTGCTAGCAATGTGATCTGGCAGGATATGAAAGACGAAAGTAAACCTGATATGGTACATTGCTAGCAATGTGATCTGGCAGGATATGAAGGACGATTCCAAGGGACCTCGTGGAAGTAAACCTGACATGGTACATTGCTAGCAATGTGATCTGGCAGGATATGAAGGACGATTCCAAGGGACCTCGTGGAAGTAAACCTGACATGGTACATTGCTAGCAATGTGATCTGGCAGGATATGAAGGACGATTCCAAGGGACCTCGTGGAAGTAAACCTGACATGGTACATTGCTAGCAATGTTAGCTGGCAGGATATGAAGGATGAGGGACTTGAAGCTATGGAGGGGATATAGACGATAGGGCTCGGGAGGCTAAGGGTTGTATACCCTTACATCCCTTACTGTAAACCGGACATGTCACTACAGTAAAACAACCCTGACTTTTAAACAGACAATACCGTTCTATTTATTAGGTAATTGATATAACAATATATACATAACAAAATAAAAAAGCAATACGTAATATTCAATTGTATTCTTTAGACACTTAGTAATTAAAATACAAATTTGCTTGACAATTGTCAAATATTCTTAATAATATAAACATATATTATGTTTAATGTTATTATGTGCTATGAAATTAAATTATCGATAGACTGTCGATTATCGAGGTCAAGCAACGTTCATCTTTAGTCGGGTGATCATCTACAGGTCATATACTTGATGGCCACCGTCAATGGTCAACATTAAAGGTCCACTGCTCGCCACGTTTCATATGAGAGAAAAATATTATTATTTACATTAATATGTCGATAGACTTTGAATACTAATGTAGTATCATCAGCAAACAGAACTATGTCAGCTATCTTTTCTACCATGTAAGGAAGATCATTTATGTAAACTAATAATAAGAAAGGACCTAGAATAGAGCCCTGAGGAACACCCATTTCAACACTAGTTCCCTCAGACTTTACACCATTTATTTCAACAACTTGCATTCTATTATTTAGATAGGATTTCATCATGTTTAGTGCTTCATATCTAATACGATAATGTTCAAGTTTATGCAAAAGTATTTCATGTTCAACGCAATCAAATGCTTTTGAAAGATTACAACATACACCGACTGCATCATAGCATTACGAATTATATAGTCGTATTTTCTTAATTAAATTTGTAATAGTTATAAACAAGTCTAATAATCACCTGACACGCTGGCAGATGGACTGCGAGGACTAGTGATGGCTCTTCTCTCTGAAAATAAAAAAGACATATTTATAGCGACAGATGTAATCGAAGATCGACCCAGCTATCGTTAAATAACGCTATGTACAAAACTGCTATACCACCACGTTATTTAAACTAGAAAATTCTTCTTGATATAAAGTTAAATTTAATATTTTTTTAATAATTATACTTATTTATTTAATCTACGGCTCAACTGGAAAGCTGTTTAATGTTTGTTCTTTTTGAAATGAGATTACAAAAAGAACAAACGTTAAATAAAACTAGGTACTAAAATGCTAGATCAGCACTTTCTCTACTTTAGAGTCAAAATAACATAATAAAACAATATCAGGACAATTCACACAGCGCCATCTAGACTCAAGTTAAGCTGGCTAAAGCTTGTGTTATGGATACTAGATAACTGATACAAATACATAGATATTTATTTCGTAAATACATACGTATTATATATAGAAAACATCCAGGTCGATACAAATAACTCATGAATACATTATGTGCCGAGCGAGGAATTCAACCCGCGACCATCGGAATTAAGGCAGTGCGCTAAACCGCTAGACCACCGAGGTCGTCAGGATATAAAGTTTACTTTAGTTTATCAAAGATCAAGTCACTCACCAGTGCCAACATGGTGCAGACTATCCACACTGCCGATGTTCCTCTCTCTCTCTAACTGCTTCTGGGCAGCCACGTCCAGCCTCTGGAACAGTTGTTCCGCGTCCTCGGGGAAGTGGCGTTTGTACGCCCAGTACGCTCTGATGGCATTTAGGAGGTAGGAATGAAAACCACAAAACACCAACATGATTAATAAACTTATTAGTTACTAGCTGTACCCGCGACGTGGTCCGCGTGGAATTTAACTTTATTTGTCTAACATAAAACAATTTTTCTTAAATAAAAGTAGCCTAAGTTACTCCTTATTACATCAGCTACTTGCACTAACATGCAGCTATTGTAATAACAGTTTTTTACTACATGCATATGAATAAATACACAAATATAACATTCTTTACAATTTTTGTCTGTTTTTCTGTTTGTTTCGGCTAATCTCTGAAATGGCTGGACCGATTTTGACGGGACTTTTATTAGCAGGTAGCTGATGTAAATAAAAATCGAAAAATAAAGTTAATATCCACGCGGCTGAAGTCGCGGGGTACAGCTAGTAATAAATTTCAAGTAACTATGATACAAACAAAAGCACCTAGTTACAAGGCCTATGAAGTTAGAACCAAAGACCTACCTCCTGGCGCAGGTTCTAGCGGTGGGGTCAGCGTCAACGCAACCACGCCGTATTGCGTCTCTGACTGCCGTTTGCTGCTTCTCTATGGTCGTTGCAGACCACTTGTCCAGCAACAGAACTAAGACCTCGCTGCAATTGGGAAACCACACCAGGTCATAAGTACAGGGTTTCTTTGAACTAACGTCGCCTTATTGTAATAATCATCTGTTTTCACAAATCTATACAGGTTTTCAGGGAATTTTGTTACGGTACATTGTTATGTAAGAAACACTAATTAATCATGACGATTTAGGCTTTGAAGCCGGCTACCGCAAGGGAAACCCCAAGTAGCGCCCGTGACTTGTGACACGGGTGTAGGTTTAAAAGGCCCTTTTAGAATGCATTAACACTCATCTTCACTACTTGCAGCTTCCCCCCAGGCCCAACTAAGACCGGGATAAACCCATTTCTAATACAATTCATTTTAATATCTAAAACACAACCGGCACGCTCTGCGCTCGTCGACTGAATGACGCGGCGCATCCAACGAAAGAGGATTATTCAACTACCGACCTCCGTATTTATAAACCGAAGTCAGTGTAGTAGGAAGAGAAGCGGGGGTAATGGTTATTGTATGATAAACAACTTAGTTCGGTCTATAAATACTAGATGGTGCTATTTACAATATTTGTAATAATCTTTACATTGGGTACTTCATTAGTACTAAACACAAACTACCTTCTTTTAGTATCTTTTTAATATATCGGATTTTTTTTTTACTACTATGGTGGCAATCAATCATACGGCCCATCTGATGGTAAATGGTTACCGTAGCCTATGAACGCCTAAAACACCAGGGGTATCACTTGCGCGTTGCCGACCCTTAAGAAACCTTAATATACCCTTCTTGAAAAACCCCATGCTGTAGTCTCGTGAGAAAACCTCAGCAGGAAGTTCATTCCACAATCTAAGTGTACAACATTTCTACAACATTGATGTTATCTCTAACATTTAGCAATGGAATCATCAGCCTACTTAAAAACAATTCCCTAGAATAAACCGAGAAATTCAAGGATTTGTAATCAATCATAATTCTTGTTCAAATTCAAATTCAAATTCAAAAATCATTTATTCATGTAGGACATTTTAGCCGCTTATGAACGTCAAATTTTTACATTATAATTTTATTTTTTTCCCTACCGTCCAGTTCGGTATATAGATCCAATTGAGAAGAACTGGCAAGAAACTCAATTGAATTACTTTTTTTTTTTAAAGCCAGTTTACAATGTATATTTATATAGGTGTCTATGTCTGTGTCTCTGCCATGCACACTCGTCATTCAAGTAATCGTTTAGTGAGTAATAGGCTTTGCTCAGTAAATATGATTTAACAGATGTTTTGAATTTATTTAAGGGTAATTCCAACATATCCTTTGGTATCTTATTGTAAATTTTTATACCTATTCCCATAAAAGACCTATTAACTTTTTCTAAACGATACTTGGGGACAGCAAGTTTGTCTTTAAATCTTGTATTAATATTATGAATATTGCTGTTTTTTGGAAATAAATCAAGATTTTTATGAACATATAGGATATTTGAATATATAAATTGAGAAGCAACGGTGAGAATATTTGCCTCTTTGAATTTCTCTCTTAATGAGTCACGACTCTTCATACAGTAGATCGCTCGAACGGCACGTTTTTGTAATATGAATATATTTTTAATATCTGCCGCTTTTCCCCATAGTAATATTCCATAAGAGAGTAAACTATGAAAATAACTAAAATAGACTAATCTAGCAGTATCAGTATCAGTGTACTGTCTAACCTTACGCACGGCAAAAGCTGCTGAACTTAGTTTCGCTGCAAGGCTTTGAATTTGTGCACCCCATTGTGTTTTATTATCTAGTGTGATTCCTAGAAAGACAGTAGATTCTATAAATTCGAGAGATTCGTCATTTAATTTAATATTACAATTAGTATTAAAACTTTTAGACAGAGAGAAATTAACACATTTTGTTTTTTAGCGTTTAACATAAGATTGTTAGTTGTAAACCAGTGCAGGAGACGCCGTAAAGCACTATTTACATCGTCATAATTATTAGTCATTCTATTAACTTTAAAAATCAATGAAGTATCGTCTGCAAATAATACTATGCCGCATCTATCCTGCATGGCATATGGGAGATCATTAATGTAAACTAGGAATAAAAATGGACCGAGAATAGATCCTTGAGGTACACCCATTTGCACAAGTGACCCGTCAGACGTAGCGTTGCTAACCTTCACTTTCTGTATTCTATCAGATAGATAAGATTTTATTAAATTTAAAGCATTGTCTTTGACGCCATAAAAAGCAAGTTTTTTTAGCAATGTATTATGATCAACGCAATCAAAAGCCTTAGAAAGGTCACAAAAAACACCTATCGCATCCATTTTAGTTTCCCATGCAGCAAATACGTGTCTAAGCAACTCTGTACCTGCGTCTGTAGTTGAACGACCTTTGGAAAAACCGAATTGACTATTGTGGATTAAATTATTTAAATTGAAATAACTGACAAGCTGCAAAAGGATTATTTTTTCAAAAATTTTACTGAGTGCTGGGAGTATAGATATAGGTCTATAATTTATTGGGTCACTCCTATCTCCAGATTTAAAAAGCGGTATGATTTTACTAATTTTCATTATGTTAGGAAATTTACCTTCATCTATACATTTATTGAAAATAAAAGCAAGAGAGGGCGCAATAATTTCCATTATACTATCTAGTATTTTAACAGATATACCCCATAGATCCTCTGTTTTTTTATTATTAAGCTGTTTGAATATTTTCATTATTTCTACTGATGATGTATGTCTAAAGTTAAATACAGCTGATGACTTGCTAACATTGTCTGTTAGTAAAGTTTCAGCAGCAGACGGGGAAGATTTTAGAGCCTGTGTCGTAATTAATGGAATATTAGTGAAATAAGATTCGAATGTATCCGCGACCTCTGTGTCGGAATTTACCAATTTGTTATTAATATTTAAAGCTATTTTACTATTTTGAAAATTAACTTTTCCAGTTTCGCTATTTATTACTTTCCAAGTGGCTTTTATTTTATCTTTAGATTTAGTTATTATTTTACCTAAATAGAGAGACTTAGCTGTATGACAAACCTTTTTAAATATTTTCGAATAAGATTTTACATGTTCATGAAATAAGGGATCGGATATATAGCTTCGTTTTTCGTAAAGTTCGTAAAGATTAGCCCTAGACTTATAAATACCAAACGTGGCCCAGTCACAAAACTTCGATTTTACACTAGTTGAAAAGGTTTTTGTTTTAAATTCACTGCTAGCTTCATGTTCAATTAAATTAAAAATATGTTCACATACAATGTCCGGGTCATATTGAGGTACTATGACACTAGATATTTTATGTTCAATTTTATTTTTAAAACGTGCCAAATTCTTTTGTGTTATTTGTCTGCATGTAATTGTTTGAGTCCCTTTGGATCCCTTAGTTTCAATTATAACTTTTTGTCCATAATGATCAGATCCAAGACAGTCGAAATTCATTTTCACCTTTACTTCACAATTACAAAAAACATTATCTATACAAGTGGCAGAATTTCCTGCGACCCTAGTGGGTTCTAAAAAAAGATTGTGCAAATTAAATGATTTAAATAAGTTAATCAATCTTAAGCTTATTGAGCATTCCGATAATAAATCAACATTAAAATCGCCACATACAAATAATGTTTTATTCCTCCGTGCGACTCGTCTCAATGCTTCCTCCATAGCCAGTTCAAAAGAATCAAAACAAGCCGATGGCGGACGATAAACGCAAATTATTATACAGGTAACTAATTCTACGCAAGATAGTTCAATTGTTTGCTCAATAGAAATATTTACAATGTCTTGACGGTTTTTATATTCTACATCATTTTTTAAAATAATAATTGACCCGCCATGAATGGCATTGTTCCTAGCAAAAAAACTAGCTATATTATAATGTTCAAAAGGACAAATTATTTCATATTGTTTAAGCCAATGTTCTGTCAGACATAACACCCGTACATTGTTAGATTCTAACATTGTTAGATTGTTAAACCGAGACGGGTCGTTATTAAAGAATAATTGTAGTTTGTATGTAAAAGTAACCCGTCCGTACCTGAGCGTGGAGCGTATCTCCTTGGACTTGTGCGTGGTGAGGTTGGTGGCCAGCACCGGCAACAGCCGCGGCGAGTGCACGTGCGTCACGATGTACCGCACGCACACCGTGCCAGCAGACGACACCACCTACCACACGGTACACACCACTTATACACTTTCATATTACAAAAAAGAACTAATAGAAAGAAAGAAAGATAGAAAATAAATAAAAACATTTATTGACCACCTCGGTGGTCTGGCGGTCAAGCACACCGCTTTACGATCGGTAGCGGGTTCGATTCCTCGCACGGCACAAACATTTGTATTCATGAGTATGATTGTTTGTATCGGTCTGGGTATTTTCTTTGTATAATATGTGTGTATTTACAAAAAAAAATATCTATGTATATGTATCAGTTGTCTAGTACCCATAACACAAGCTCTAGCTAGCTTAACTTGGGTCTAGATGGCGCTGTGTGAATTGTCCTGAGATTATTATTATTATTATTATTGACAACCATTACTGATATGAACATACATTAACACATTTTCACATTACCAATGTCAAAATGTGTAATTTATTGTTTATTTTATTACCATTAAACATATATATATCTATGCACACATATATTATATATCTATATATTACAATTAATTACGCAGTAGTTTTTGGTTGGTGCCCTTTTAAATATGGATAATAAGCAACATTTTTGACATATCTTACTGTTTTACTACAGAATGAGCAAAAACGCTGTTCTGCCAGAAAATTTTTTGAAAATTTTTTAAATGATTTCGAGATGAGAACTGAAAAGAAACTTATTATTAAATCCAATAAATCTATTAAAGTAAAAAAAAATGCGGTGAACTCACCTTGGCGGCGTTCTGTATCAGGTTTATGAGTTCTTGCAGTATATACAGACTGAATTGTTCCAATTTGTTCCTTAACACTTTGGCCATATGAGCTATAGTTATGCACGCCTCGCGGACCACCTGCAAACACACAGATACAATGTACAATCATCGTCATCAGCATCACCTCACGGAAGACGTCCACTGCTGGACATAGGCCTCCTCCAAAGATCACACCGATCGGTCCTGCGCTGCTCGCATCCAACGCCTTTCATAATGTATACTAATATTACAAAGCTGAAGAGTTTGTTTGTTTGAACGCGCTGATCTCAGGAACTACTGGTTCGAATTGAAAAATTATTTTTGGGTACTAACAGCCCCTCCGTTAGTACCCAAAAATATGTCGAGTTTTGACAGAAATATTACACGTGTAGACACAATATTACAAGTGTAGACAAAATTGTAATTCTAAAAAAAATAATGTATACTGATCTGAACTTAAATCTTTTATCTGGAGAGGTACTAATGGAATGGAATGTCGAGTGTAGACAGTAAAGTGTAGATACAATAGAAATCCTAAAAATATAATGGTTATTGACCTGACTCCGAAGGTCCTTGATGACGACGAGAAATGGCACAGACAAGTCTTTTAGGTGAGCAGCAAACTCAGTAGGGTACTGTATGTGAGCGTTTGCTGTGAGCAGGGATCTTATTTTCTTCAGCTGTAACAACAATTTACATACATTATTATAGTTTAGTTCACAATATGGCACGTTAATGTGAGTAACTCACAAATACAAATTTTTGAGTTCTTGGAAAATCAACTGTAACACTAAAGACATAAAGTCCAATTTCAAAGTAACTACTCGTATAAAGGTGTGATTATAGCACATCGTTATTACACAAAAACCTTTTTTGGAAAATCTACTGTAACACTATATACTTAAAGTCCAGTTTCAAAGTAACTATATGACGATAGTTGCCACTTTGCGGTACTCTTAACAACAAATCGCCAACTCAAAAATCAAATAAGAGTGTAGTAATAAATCGTCATAACTCATAAATCTCAAATTTAAAAATCAACTTTAATCCTGCAGTCATAAGGTCCAATTTCATAGTGACTGCACGTATAAGAGCGTGACGATTTGTTACTAACAAATCATCCTAACTCTCAAATTACATTTATTTGTAAAATCAACTGTAATCCTATAGACATAAGGTCCAATTTCATAGTGACTGCACGTCTAAGAGCGTGACGATTTGTTACTAACAAATTACATTTATTTATAAAATCAACTGTAACACTATATACATAATGTCCAATTTTAATGTGTCTGCTCAACAACAAATCGTCCTAACTCACAAATTTCAAATATAAACAACTTATATCGTATAGACATAAGGTCCAATATCCAGTGAGAATATAAGGTCGGGTGCAGACTGACCGCGTCGACGCGGCGCTCCCAGTCGGCGGCGCGGTCGCCGAGCAGCGCGGCGGCGAGGCGGCACAGGTCGTCGAGGCCGCGCGCGCCGTACACGGCGGCGGGGGCGGAGCCCGCGAACGCCGCCTCGAACGCCTCGCACGACACCGCGCCCGCCTCGCCCGCGCCCGCGCCCGCACTCGCGCCCCACCCGCCGCTCGACACTGCCACGCGACAAAGTATTGTTCATCAAGACCGAAAACTTAAAACACCCTGTATATATAGTAATATATTATTACTATATATACAGGCTGTTTTAAGTTATCACTATGTCAGTCACATTTGAGTTATATATTTATATGTCGGATTGCCCGCTCCAGAGACACTGGAAATCGCTGCCTGGACGTGGAAACAGACATAAATATATGAATCAAATGAATAAAATCTTAATTTACTAACATAGTTCATAAGTTATTTACTAACATAATATAGATACATATCAGAAATAAATAAAAACTTATAACAGCCTGTATATATATTACTATATATACAGGCTGTTTTAAGTTTTCGGTCACGAAAACTTCCGAAACAATCGAAAATAAAACGGTGTGTTAAATCGCTCCGCCCGCGCCCGCACTCGCGCCCCACCCGCCGCTCGACACTGCCACGCAACAATACTATATATACAGAGTGTTTTTTAATTTTTCGTCCTGTGAAGCTGTAAAGGGCAACTGCGGCTAACAGCATTAGAGTAGTCCGTAATTTTTTTTTTCGATCATGATAAACCGTTACAATCGAGAGGAGACAGAAAAGTTTTCGGTCATGACAAAGCGTTATAATTGTGAAGGAGTGGATACGGTCTTGTGGTTATCACACCGCTTTACTTCCAATGGCCGACGTACCAATAAAATATACACAGGCTGTTTTAAAAGATTTCTTATCACAAGAACTCCCGGAAATAAAACGGTGTGTTAAACCCGCACCCACACTCGCGCCCCACCCGCCGCTCGACTTTGCCGGACACACCAGTCGAATATACAGAGTGTTTTCAAAGTTTTCGGGACGGGTATTGACGGTCAATGCCAATACAATATATACAGGATGTATTAAAAATTTTCGGGACACTGTCAATACAATATACAGAGGCTGTTTTAACATTTTTCGGGACGCTGCCAATACAGTATACAGGCTGTTTAAAAATGTGCGGTAATGAAAAAGCGTTAGTCGCGTGGAGAAACAGATATTGACGGTCTTGTGGTTATCACACCGCTTTACTTTCGATGCCCGATGTACCAATAAAATATACACAGGGTGTTTTAGAAATTTTCAATAAACATCTAACTATAAAAAAAATACGTACCACTACCGGCGCTGTTTATTTTTGCTGGCGGAGGTTTCCTGGTCGCTGACGGTAGACTGTACAAACCCGGCACAGTCCTCTTTGGTGGTTCGCACGCTGGTGTGGTAATTATAAAATGGCCACATTTCCCGAATATGTACGGTGAAATATTGCGTGTGATAATTTAGTTAATTAAAATTAAGATAGTATGGTATATTTTTTAAATTCCCACACATTATTAATTGTTATAACAATGTTAACAATTGTGATAGGCGTCATTTTTTTTAACGACGTTAAATGTTTTTTTTTAAATTTCAATCATTATTAATAACAAAATTAATTCATAATGATTTTTCAACGATATTGCATTAGAGAATAACAATTGCAATGAATTACATGCCAATTTTAGTTGTGAATTTGGAAATGTTACATGTCATTCGTCAGCAAAGTGGTTGTGATGTTAGATGTTCCGATGATGATTATCCGGGGTGATTAGTCCAGTTATGATGATCCAGCGGTGATGACGGGCATGGTGGAAAAAGAAGACTTGTGTTATATGACATATTATTCTAGAAGTACGTTTTTATTTATCTATTTTGATTCAGGCACCTAAATATTTATTTATATAATTAATTAAAAATATTAATTAGTATTTATGTAAATATATTATTATTATTACCAAAACTGATATAATATATTGTTTAAAAATAGAACATCGGCTCGACTTGTTCGTACAACTGTGTTTTTCAATCGTACCACCTACATAACATGCCAGAGAAATTACTACTTTATTTTCTTTACAATATAGTATATAATCAACTGATCTAGCATTATTAAACCAGAATGTGATACGACTTGTCAGTACAATTCCTACCTTATTATCTCTACAATACAGTATGTTATTTCTGTGAAGTATTTTAAAATCGGACGGTGGTGTTACATGGCTGGCCAGTGAAATTAGCACCTTATTAGTTTAACATTAAAATACGTTTTTCACTGACCTGGCGTGGATCTACAATACAGTATATTATTTCATTGAAGACTTTTAAAATGGGACGGTGGTGTTACATTGCTGGCCAGTGAAATTAACACCTTATTAGTTTAACATTAAAATACGTTTTTCACTGACCAGGCGTGGATCTACAATACAGTATGTTATTTCATTGAAGTATTTTAAAATCGGATGGTGGTGGTACATGGCTGGCCAGTGTAAATAATACCTTATTAGTTTATGATTAAAATGTGCTTTTCACTGACCTGGCGTGGAGGCGCCTGATGAATCTCCGTCCCTGCTCCTGGCTGAGGTCGGTATCGTCATGGTCCTTTTAACAGTCCGCGATACAAAGTCAGGTTCGTCGGTAGCTTGCGTTGCTGTAATTATATTATATTATGTACTTCTGAACCCGTGACTTCGTCTGCGTTTTATTACTGTATAATATAAGATTTTAGCTAAAATATAAGTAGCCTAAATTACTCCTTATTACATCAGCTAAAGTCCCGTCAAAATCGGTCAAGCCAATTCAGAGATAATCCGGAACAAGCAGACAGACAAAATTGTAAAAAATGTTATTTTGATTTATGTACCGTGTTTATATTCATATGCATGTAATAAAAACGATTATTACAAACAAACACTCCAATTTTATTTCTATGTATGTATAGATGTATAGATTTTTTATGATTTATACTGTAAAACAGTTAACACCTTTCAAATCATCATAGAACTGTAATAATCATGACGATGATGATCATCATCATCATCATCATATTTATGTGAAGATTGTTTAAGTTTTACATTTAGCACACGTTAGTATGTATTGGTACTAGCTGGTACGCATTACAAGTTGGTACTAGTCACCAAGCAGATGACTTTGTACAAAGTCTTACATTTATCACATTTTAGTATGTAGTAGACTAAGCGGTATGCACTACACGTTGGTACTAGTCACCAAGAAGATGACTTTATACAAAGTCTTACATTTACCACACTCTAGTATGTAGTGGTACTAACTGGTAGGCACTACAAGTTGGTACTAGTCACCAAGCAGATGACTTTGTACAAAGTCTTACGTTTACCACACTTTAGTATGTAGTGGTACTCACCAGTCGGCAGTAGTAACCCCGCCTCCCGCGCCTCGTCAAATTTTTGTTCCAAAATAGCCAGTTTCTGAGGCGGTATCAGTTCCTTCTTCTTCAAATCAGATCTTAGTCTTTCACCTGTAACAGAATAAAAACATTTAAAAGCGTTAAAGCTATAAAAAATAGGGGTTGATGATAGAAGGGTGAACATTTAGGATTGTATGTATTTTTGTATGTTGTATCATAAAAAAATAGAAACTAAAAATTTAGTCTAAAAAATAAAAATTTAGGGGTGGACTACCCCTACCATTTAGGGGGATGAAAAATAGATGTTGGCCGATTCTCAGACCTACTCAATACGCTAACAAAATTTCATGAGAATCGGTCAAGCCGTTTCGGAGGAGTATGGGAACGAAAACTGTGACACGAGAATTTTATATATAAGATAACTCAAAGGTGACTGACATAGTGATCTATCAACGCACAGCGCAAACCTCTGGACGGATCGGGCTAAAATTTGGCATGCAGGTAGATGTTATGACGTAGGCATCCGCTAAGAAAGGATTTTGATTAATTCTACCCCCAAGGGGATATAATAGGGGATGAAAGTTTGTATGAAACTTTGTCAATTTTAAACCGATCGGACTGAGACTTTGCATGCATAAAGCTACTATGACGTAGGCATCCCCTAAGAATAGATTTTGATAAATTCCACCCATAAGAGGATAAATTAACGCGAGCGAAGCCGCGGGAAAAAGCTAGTCTATATATATACTATACTAATATTATAAAGCTGAAGAGTTTGTTTGTTTGAACGCGCTAATCTCAGCAACTACTGGTTCGAATTGAAAAATTATTTTCGTGTTGGATAGTCCATTTATCGAGGAAGGCTTTAAGCTATATAACATTACGCTACGACCAATAGGAGCGGAGCTGCAATGAAAAATATTGCCAAAGGTGGGGAAATGAAACGCAGACGAAGTTGCGCGGGTCAACTAATATACTACACTACTCGCAAAAATTAAGGGAACAGAAAAAAATCTAAATTTATGGGTGATTTTCAATATAATGTACTAATCATAACTTTTGTTTCAAATGAAATAAAAACCCTTTATCCATTATGAATGGCAATTTTTTTTATTAGAATTATTTCTCTACTGTCCAGTTCAGTTACAGACTCATTTGAGATGAAAGCTCAAATGATTTTTTTTATACGCCAGTATTTATATTGATATTAATGTCTTTAATATGTCAAATATTAAATGAAAATCCCGTGCATGAATATACTAATTTCAAACTGGTCTTAATCGGTGATCAGTCGCAAAGCATAACCGGTATCACGTGTGTTAGGAAGAATAAATAAAAGATTCAAGTGAAGAATGAATGAAAATATGAATTACATAATGAAAGAAGAATGAAAAAATTAATAGAGAAATCTGACGACCTCGGTGGTCTAGCGCACCGCTTTACGACCGATGTCGTCGATCGTCGCGGGTTCGATTCCTCGCACGGCACAAACATTTATATTCATGAGTATGATTGTTTTTATCGGTCTGGGTGTTTTCTATGTATAACATGTATGTATTTAAAAAAAAAAAAACTAAGTATCTATGTATATGTATCAGTTATCTAGTACCCATAACACAAGCTTTAGCTAGCTTAACTTGGGTCTACATAATGCTGTGTGAATTGTCAAAAAAAAAAATCAAAGAATGTATAAACGAAAATACAATTGAAGAATAAATAAAAATATCAATTGAAGAATGAATTAATGATAAAATCAATGATGTATGTATTAATGATAAAATGAATGTAACAATGAATTAATTAATGACTGATTGAATGAATGGACGAATGAATGAATGAATAAACTAGTTACGTACCGACGTGCCTGTAGACCTCTAGAAATAGCGTGTGCGCGGCGTCCCGGACGGCTGCGTTGGGGTCCCCCACCAGCGCGGCCAGGGTCGGTACAGCCGCACGCAGCTGCAGCTCAGCTGCCCCGTGACTGTACACAGACGAACACACAATACATTACTATAATCTGTCTGGTCATCCACACCTAGAGAGGTGAAGTTTTTTTTAATAACAATGGAATGGTGGACCCGTCTGTGCTAACGATGAGCTGGCGGGGCACCAGTGGAGGATGATAAGATGAGGATGAAGTCAGGTCAGTTAGCACATCGTGACAAATTCATCAGGAATTTATCACGATGGTTTCCATCTGTCTGGTCATCCACACCTAGAGAGGTGAAGTTTTTTTTAATAACAATGGAATGGTGGACCCGCCTGCGCTAACGGTTTACGCTGGCAAGGCACCAGTGGAGGATGATAAGATGAGCATGAGGTCAGGACAGTTAGCCCATCGTGACAAATTCACCAGGAATTTATCAGGATGGTTTCCATCTGTCTGGTCATCCGCATCTAGAGAGGTGAAGGTTTTTTTAATAACAATGGAATGGTGGACCCGTCTGTGCTAACGATGAGCTGGCGGGGCACCAGTGGAGGATGATAAGATGAGCATGAGGTCAGGACAGTTAGCACATCGTGACAAATTCACCAGGAATTTATCACGATGGTCTCCAGGGTAAACCGCGTGGAGGTCAACCTGACCACATTGCTAGTAATGGGGCCATGACACCACATTACTAATAATTCCATCCCCTGGGAGGTGAAGGTTGGACTCGAGAGGAACCCTATTGCCCCGGCATCGACTCCGGTGGCAACAACTCCCAAGTGACTTGCTCAAAGCCCCTAAAGTAAGTATACATTAAAAAAAAAGAAAATTAAAACAACTTAAGCTATATGGTATACTTTAAGCTCGCTCGCTCGTAAGAATATCCTTCAATTCTTGTCCCTGACGGGTCTAGGTAGCGAACTCTGAAAAGGGCGAGCACAATAGATCTATGTAGGACGCAGTGCTACAGGTGATACACATCTGACAATAGCCCAAACAATCCAATAAAAAAAAAACTTTAAGCTCTATACTTAAGCGTATGATATTAAACGTAGTACCATACTTGAGGACAGTTCTTTTATAATATACTAGCTGTTCCCGCGACTTCGTCCGACTGGAATTTAACTTTATTCTTCAAAAATAAAAGAGTTTTTCTTAAATAAAAGTAGCCTAAGTTACTCTTTATTACATCAGCTTTCTGCCAAAAAAGTCCCGTCAACATCGGTCCAGCCATTTCAGAGATTAGCCGGAACAAACAGACAGACAAAATTTGTAAAACATGTTATTTCGGTGTATGTACCGTATATATATTCATGTATATGCATGTAATAAAAAAACGGTTATTTCAATATTACAAATAGACACATCAATTTTATTTATATGTATATATGTATAGATAATATACATATATATACACTATCAGACCCGGCCACGCGTTGCTGTGGCTAAGGTTCTTGAATAAAATAATATTGTGACTATAAATTGAGATGTAAGCTATCCTATCTTTCAAGTTGGATCAAATTGCACACAATGTGCAAATCAAATTTGCAATCGGTTCAGTAGTTTAGGAGTCCATCGCGGACAAACAACGTGACACATAATTTTTATATAAAGAAATAAAGCGGTCCACTGACGTCTCGAGCAGCGTCTGTATGCAGCGGACGGCCTCCTCCCTGGTGTGGGGCGCCTTGTGCTGCAGCGCGGGCGTGAGCCGCGCCAGGAGCGCCCGCGGGGGGGCCGCCCGGCTCTCCCCGAGGGTGGCCAGGCACACGCGCGCCATGTGACGCACCCCCTCCTTGGTGTCTGCCAGCCTGCAACAAAATCATTGTTCATCAAAAACCTATAAATTTTATTAACATCATTATCCGACAAACGTTTTGCAGGGCATTTTGTCGGACCATCAAATTTTCGGATTATAATTTTATTTTTTTCCCTAGGGTCCTGTTGCGGGTATATAGATAAGATGTTGAACTGGTCGAGACGATGTATATTACATATGATGATAAACTGACAATGTGTACATAGAAATGTATATTTATATACTAAATAAAAATAGTTAAAATATAAAACAGTTTAGTCGCTCAGTGCTGTCTAGACAATATTGTTTGTCTTTAGACATTATTAAATGCAATTATTATTTATACTATAGTCCGGAATTTTTTTAATATATATATATATATATCCGAAAATTACAGATGCAGTGATAAGATTCTATGTTATATATATATATATATTTGTATGTATGTAGGTATATGCACTCTGAACTATATTGTAAAAAAATATTCAGTAATAAATAATGTTACTCATGTCGGATTACAAAAACGGATTTGATGAAACGGGTCCACTGTAATATATTTGTTGTCTAGTACCAATAACACAAGCTCTGTTTGGAGATTTGCCATTTTTTCGTGATTTTGGGTAGACAAAAGGTTTGACAAAAATCACGAAAATATCACAAGAGGAAGGGGAGTGTAGTAAGATATCACATGTATTTATTTTTTCCATTTTTATGGCAATCAAAAACAACAACCTACACTTTTATCATGGTCCTTAATAAAATACATATAAATATAGTTTATATCTGTTTGTAATATTGAAATAACCGTTTTTACTACATGCATATGAATATAAATACGGTATATACCCAAAATAACATTTTTCAAAATTTTTCTTAGGGTATATTCCGGCTATCTCTGAAATGGACCGATTTTAACGGGACTTTATTGGCAGATAGCTGATGTAATAAAGTCTCAGTCCTACTTTTATTTTAAAAATACAAAACAGCTAGTCATAAAATTTCATCCCTGTATTTTATAATATAAAATAATCAAAATCCTTTCATAGCAGATGCCTACATCATAACATCTACCTGCATACCAAATTTCAGCCCGATCCGTTCCAGTGGTTTGGACTGTGCGTCGATGGATCACTATATCAGTCAGTCACCTTTGAGTTATATATATAGATAATAAATATAGTTAGATTCAAAGATAATATTTTAAAAAAAATAAGATTCTTTGCTAGCACTAAAAATACACGTGATGTTGGGGGGATGGGTGGGGGGGGGGGGTTGTCCTAAACCTCACTACGTCCCACCAAGGGGGAGAAAGGGGTTCAAAAATGCTAAGAAAATATCACGTGATCAATGGACGGCCTATTATCTTGGGACTAGACGGCCTCTCCAATAGGTAGGTAGGTATGTTCCTGCTGTATTGACAATTGTAAACATGCATAATGACTGTCCATCCGTCCATTGTTTCCCGTGACTCATATACTTACATAATTATAGTAGTTATGAGTCAGTCACACTTGTTTTTGTCGAATTGGAAAATTACAATTATAGTTTACTTTTATTATATATATTTATTTATTTATTTATTATAGTAGTAGTAGTATTATAGTAGTAACACACTGCCCAAGAAATCAAGCGGTGATACTCTATAATAAGTTACCGAAGGATCTTAAATTCTTGAATAGTTTGAGTTGCTTTACAAAAAAATTATTTATTTATTTAAGTCTTAAAATCGTCTTACATCATTCTTTTTTAAATAAAACTATAATAAAAATAAAATATATAAATCTACCCTCTACATATAAACCTTCCGCTTGAATCACTCTATCTATTAAAAAAAACCGCTTCAAAATCCGTTGCGTAGTTTTAAATATTTAAGCATACATAGGGACGGACAGACAGCGACAGCGACTCTGTTTTATACTATGTAATAATGCTCAAACGCGATTGCGTAAGGTTTTACAACAAAATACCAGAGTCTGTTATAAATATGCCTGAAAAAAAAATTTTAAGTCAAATAAAACAGTTCCTTTGCAAAAAAGCTTACTATAAAATTGAAGAATTCGTTAACGATAATAATGTTTTTATAGAAAAACTTTATATCCATAGCACTGACAATATTATCTGATTACATTAATAATGAGTGCGTAGCGATTTCTATGTTGATTATCGCATGCAATGCAAAACACATCTAGTTAAAACAGCAACACACAAGTTTCTTGCTCATTCTTCTTGTGATGAATCTGCATTACGAATGAGTGGTAGAATCAAAATATGACTATTCAAAAGTGTTTAAATTAAATTTATTTTAATAAATGATTTTCTATTCTATTCTATTCTAGTCATTTTGAACTTGGCGTCGCTTACGCTTCTTACATGCGCAGACGCATTCCGAGGTTTGTATCTATGACCTCACTTAGTTAAGCCTGCACCTACATTACTTAACTACTCATTCGATACTGCTCGGTTCATCCGTCATACTCGTGAACGAGTGCTTCTTGTAGGGACTGGTCTGCTCTCATCACTACGACTGATTTAATCTTATTGCATATTTATATTTGACCCAAAAAATTAGTGCTGGTTGGTAGTTTGTATTCACACGTTTCGACATGTAAATGTAAACTTACAACGATTATTTAAAAGAGCAACACACAAGTTTCTTGCTCGTTCTTCTTATAATGAGACAGTTTTCCGAACGAGTGGTAGATAAAAAACAAATTGTTATGACTATTCAAAAGTGCTTAAATTAAGTTTATTTGAATAAATGATTTTCTATTCTATTCTATTCTATTCTATGAAGACTAATAGACAATCTAGATAGACTTTTATTAAGTTTCTTTTTATGAATTAGTCTGTAATCCGAATATTTAATATCTGTTTTTATTTGAAGCTTATTTCATGTTGTATGTGAACAGTAATAGAATGTAAAAATCTAGAATACAATAGACCTATATTTAAATGTATCAAGTCGTCATGCCGTGAAGGTATACCCTGTATGGTTAGTTTATTTACTATAATTCTGCAAAATAAGGATTGTGTCCAATTTAACATACAAATTATTATCTAACTACTTAGAATTGATATTTGTTTCATCAGCATGCATTTATTAAGGACTTAAATTTAATGCTGAAGGCATCGTTCAAGCTGGGCCCGCGGTTAAGACGTCGTTCAAGTATTACGTAAGCAGATTTATTACAATAATTTACCCCCTCATCCCCTTGTCAGCAAAAGTACGCACAGCTCTTACCCCCTCCCCCATGCTTACGTAAATTTCAATTAATGTATTGTTTTTTAGCAAAGACAACGTGAGGGTTGCCATTCGTGTAAAAAAGTAAACTACTACCGATGACGTAATCATCATCTAGAATAGAATAGAAAATCATTTACTCAAATAAACTTACTGTTCAAAATCTACCCTGTACCATCGTAAGCACAGATTATTATATTAGAGTCCGTTAGTTTCTGTTCCCGCGCTTTTCCTTCCCCTCCCTTACCTAGTACAGAACTGACCGTACGGCGGCCATGACGCGCGCGCATTTTTTGTATATTAAAATAAATTAAAACTGAGTTAAACCTACTGTGAAACTGGAAAGCTAGCGAAAATATCTTCGAGACCCTTAAGCCCGAGAAATCCGCAGAACCATACAGGTACGAGACAGACTGTTCCACATAAAGTATTTTCCCTAACACTTACATTGACTAAATCTAGATTCCCCTACCCCCATGTCATCCAAAATAAGCAAAGCAAAGACCCCCCCGCCCCTCATGGCGCTTACGTAATATTTGAACGGCCCGTCACTCGTGTCGAGTCCATTTTCACTTGACCCCCCGTGGGGCATGGGCCCCGCGTTGGGAAACACTGCCGTAGTCTATATACGCCTGTAACATGAACATATAAGGCTGTTCGCTCACCTGTCGATTATGTGCGGCAGTACAGTAGGCACGTAGTGTGAGAAATCTGGGCCCATACGGTCGGCCAACGCGGCCAGCACCTCGAGGCCGTTCTGCGCCACCTGTAACAATTTATATATATTTATACTTCTTCCGTCATACTCGTGAACGAATGCTGGTTGTATAGACTGGTCTGCTCTAATCACTATGACTGATTTCCTCTTATTAATTGTTTAACCAGTTGGTTATATATTCAATATTTTTTCTATTTGAGTATTTAATTGAATTAGTGCTAATTGGTAGTTTGTATTCACACACTTAAACTTAAAAATGTAAAGTAATAATAAAATTATTTAAAAGAGCAACACGCAAGTTTCTTGCTCGTTCTTCTTGTGATGAGACAGCTTTCCGAACGAGTGGTAGATTAAAAAATGTAATGACTATTCAAAAGTGCTTCAATGTAAGTTTATTTGAATAAATGATTTTCTATTATTATTATATTAATAGAGCGTCTATTTGTAATATTGAAATAACAGTTTTTTACTACATGCATATGAATATAAATACGGTACATACACCAAAATAACATTTTTTTAAATTTTTCACTGTCTGTCTGTTTGTTCCGGGTAATCTCTAAAATGGCTGGACCGATTTTAACGCGACTTTTTTTGGTAGGTAGCTGATGTAATAAGGAGTAACTTAGGCTACTTTTATTTTATAAAAATTGTATATAAAAACAACATTATAATCTGTCACTTCACTGTCTACCATCTTACCATTAAATACATTTTTCCAGTCACAAATAGTTTTACCACACACTTCTACAACAAAAATAAAGTTAAATTCCACGCGGACGAAGTCGCGGGAACAGCTAGTAATAAATAAAAACTATCTTCATATATTACAAGAGCACTGCCTACCTCCCAATGTCAATGTAACCTTGAAGATATCCAGTTAGGAGCGAGTGAGTCGCAGCCTGCCGCACAACTGTATCTACTGCTGATGTTCATATCAAATAAGATGAGCGGTTATTCTCAATAGATTTATTAATATCGAGTGGTTTCCGATCGATATATGAATTTTTTTATGTGTGTGGACTAACTAACATGTTGACTGGCTGGTGGTAAGTGGCAACAGTCGCTATATGCAGGACTACTATCTATACATAACTATAAAAAAATTGGGAGTGTCTATTTGTGTTATATTTAGTGTAGAAATGTATATCACAGATTATAAACAAAGTTAGAGTTTAATTGTTTATAATCTGTGTCAATCTATACATATAAATAAAATTGGAGTGTCTGTTTGTAATAACCGTTTTTTACTACATGCATATGAATATAAATACGGTACATACACCAAAATAATATTTTTTACACTTTTTGTCTGTCTGTCTGTTTGTTCCGGCTAATCTCTGAAATGGCTAGACCGATTTTGATGGAACTTTTATTGGCAGATAGCTATAATAAGGAGTAACTTAGGCTACTTTTATTCTACAAAAATAAAGTTAAATACCACGCGGACGAAGTCGCGTGTATAGCTAGTAATAATAAATAATAATTTAGATAACATTATTCTCTCGTATCGTATTCTTTCTTTCTTTCTTATTTATATAAAAAAACATCTATTAAAAAGAGCAACACACAAGTTTCTTGCTCATTCCTATTGTGATGAATCTGCATTCCGAATGAGTGGTAGAATCAAAATATAACTATTCAAAAGTGCTTGTAATGAGTTTATTTGAATAAAGATTATTTCTATTTTACTGATTTTCTTCCTATCGTTCGATAATCGAGATGTAGAATAGGCCGCGCGCGATGATGCGCATCGGACCCGACAGTAATGCTCCACCGCAATCAGACTGTGTATGATACATGGCCCAGCATTGGATAGGTATGACCAAAAATTATAATCGATTATGAAATTATCGATATATAATTAAAAAAAATTGATTAAAAAATAATCATCGATTGGGGAAAATTTAGATTAATAATTAATAAAAAAAATATTAATAAATAATATCTGATCATAGATAAAATCTATTAATAATTAATAAAAAAATCTATTAGAAATGTATAATCGATTATGGAAAAATTCGATTCGAAAAATTAATCGATTATGTAAAATATCGATTATCAATGAACAATAATAGGTTCTCGATATAACAATGAAAACCGTAACAAAATCCGTTGCGTAACTTATAAAGAGTAAAGTAAGCACAGAAACCAGACCGAGAATTTTTATATTTTTATATTCGAATATTTCAATAAATAGAATAGAATAGAATAGAAAATCATTTATTCAAATAAACTTAATTTAAGCACTTTTGAATAGTCAACATTTTTTTTAAATCTACCGCTTATTCGGAAAGCTGTCTCATCACAAGACGAATAAGCAAGAAACTTGTGTGTTGCTCTTTCAAATCAATCATAAATAACATTTTTCATATAATTTTTTTTTCTGACATTCAAATGTAAGACCATGTATTTACCGAGCTAGGGATGTAACATTTCGCATAATAATCGATTATTAATTAATCGATATTACGGAATAATCGAAATTTTGATCTTTTGATCTTTTTGTAGTCCTGATTGTTGACGTGTTTTTGACCTCCAAAAACACGTCAACAATCAGGACTACAAAAAGATCAAAAGATAAAAAATTCGATTATTCCGTAATATCGATTAATTAATAATCGATTATTATGCGAAATGTCACATCCCTAGCTCGTTGCGATAAGTACCGCAAGTACTGAGATTAACGTAATAACTATTTATACTAGCCAATTATCCCAACATCGACTGCGTTGACCAACATTTTATATAAGATCAAATTAGAAATACAAAAAAGATGGATGTATTGTGTGAAAGATGATATGAATAAAAGAAGAGTATGTTTAGATATGACGACCGATAGAGAGCAGTGGAAGAGAATCACATACTGCGCCGACCACAAATAATAATAATAATCTCAGGACACACACGGCGCCATCTAGACCCAAATCTTGGAAGAGGTCTATGTCCAGCAGTGAAGTGCTGTGGACTGATGACAATGATAAAAACTCTAAGAAAATAACTAAACCGTGTCCAGTGGCGTTACCTGGGAGAGGCCTATATCCAGCAGTGGGACTGCAGTGGACTGATAATGATTAGTTGCAGGTAAAAACTGGATGAACAGGGCTAAAGACCGTGCCCAGTGGCGTGCCTTGAAAGAGGCCAGCTGCATGTCCAACAGTGGACTTCAGTAGGCACATGATGGTGATGATTGCCGGTAAAAACTGGAAGAACTAAAGATCGTGCCCAGTGGCGTGCCTTGGGAGAGGCCTATATCCAGCAGTGGACTGATGAAAATGATTAGTTGCCGGTAAAAACTGGAAGAAAAGGACTAAAGACCGTGTCCAGTGGCGTGCCTTGGGAGAGGCCTATATCCAGCAGTGGGACTGCAGTGGACTGATGATCACGATTAGTTGCCAGTGAAAACTGGAAGCAAAGAACTAAAGATCGTGCCCAGGACGTGCCTTGGGAGAGGCCTATATCCAGCAGTGGACTGCAGTGGACTGATGATAATGATTAGTTGCCGGTAAATACTGGAAGAACTAAAGATCGTGCCCAGTGGCGTGCCTTGGGAGAGGCCTATATCCAGCAGTGGGACTGCAGTGGACTGATGATAATGATTAGTTGCCGGTAAAAACTGGAAGAACTAAAGATCGTGCCCAGTGGCGTGCCTTGGGAGAGGTCTATATCCAGCAGTGGGACTGCAGTGGACTGATAATGATTAGTTGCAGGTAAAAACTGGATGAACAGGGCTAAAGACCGTGCCCAGTGGCGTGCCTTGGGAGAGGTCTATATCCAGCAGTGGGACTGCAGTGGACTGATAATGATTAGTTGCAGGTAAAAACTGGATGAACTAAAGATCGTGTCCAGGACGTGCCTTGAAAGAGGCTTATGTCCAGCTCTAGACTGCAGTGAACTGATGATCACGATTAGTTGCCGGTAAAAACTGTACAAAAAGGACCAAAGACCGTGCCCAGCGACGTGCCTTAGGAGAGGCCCATGTCCTGCAGTGGACTGATAATGATTAGTTGCAGGTAAAAACTGGATGAACAGGGCTAAAGACCGTGCCCAGTGGCGTGCCTTGAAAGAGGCTTATGTCCAGCACTGGACTGCAGTGAACTGATGATCACGATTAGCCGGTAAAAACTGTACAAAAAGGACTAAAGACGGTGCCTAGCGACGTGCGTTAGGAGAGGCCTATGTCCAGCAGTGGACTGATGATAATGATTAGTTGCCGGTAAAAACTGGAGGAAAAGGGCTAAAGACCGTGCCCAGTGACGTGCCTTGGGAGATGCTAGTCCAGCAGTGGGATTGCAGTAGGCTGATGACGATGATGATGATTACTTGTTTCTAAAAGAATTCAGCTCACCTTGAAGTTTCCTCCATTTAGCCATGACACCAACGCGTCTAGCAGTTGCGCGGCTAAATCCTGGGTGATCTCCGGCTCGCGACGGACCAGAGCCGTGAGCTGCTCGCCCAGCTGCTGGCGGAGACGAAGGTCTGGCCTGCTGAGCAGAGGCAGCGCGGCCTCCAGCGACGCCGGTTGGGGATAATGCGCCATCTGTATTCAAAACAATAATAATCTCAGGACAATTCACACAGCGCCATCTAGATCCAAATTAAGCTAGCTAAAGCTTATGTTATGAGTACTAGATAACTGATACAAATACATTTCTTTTTATCTTCTTTCGTCTCAATGGCAACTAAATGTATTTTCCTCAGAATGTTGCGACGACTTTTGCGCATACTGTCGCATTTTTAGATGTTCCTTTGTGCAGGATGTTAGGCACAAAAGACAGGTCAATAGGAATAATAATATAATAAACATACATAGCATTTTTTTGAGTAAATACATACATATTAAACATAGAAACACCCAGACCGATACAAACAATCGTACTAATGAAATAATATCGTGCGAGGAATCGAACCTGCGACTACTGGAAGTAAGGCTGTGTGCCACAAACCGCTAGACCACCGAGGCCGTCAAATACTAAAATGTTAAACAATAGCTTTAACATTTTCAGTTAACAACTGAAGCAGGCTAGACTGAATGGTTGGGTTAAATCTAGAAGCATGTTGCTTAGTGGTTTACCACCCTGAATTATGACTAAGAGGTCGTGAGTTCAGTATAAAAAATAATATTATTATAAAAAAACTTATGGTCGCTTAATGGTTGAAGTTCTATGTGGTCGGTAGGTATATAAATATATAAAATTCAGTAACAAAACGTTACAGCCTAGTGCTTTACTGTACTAATTACGAGGTCGTGACTTCCAATCTGACCGACAAACAAAAAAAACTTTTTGTGTCTATTTACATTTCTGACTGAAGAAAACACTAACATGAAATCAAAAATTATTCCTTACTAATATTATATATGTGAAAGTAACTCTGTCTGTCTGTCGCGCTTTCACGCCAAAACTACTAAACCGATTTAAATAACATTTGGTACAGAGATAGTCCAGACATTAGGAAAAGGTTATTTTTTGGAAGCATCCTCATTTTAAGCTTTAAAAATGAGGGTACTTCCATACAACCTTTCATCTCCTTTTTCGTATTAAAAAATAGCCTTTTCCCAATTGAAATATGATATGATATTGAAAGTTTGTAAAGATTTTAGATACATTTTTTTATAAAAAAAAGTAACATTACATGTGGACTGAGTCGCAGGTAGCAAAAGCTAGTTAATATAACAAGTGAATATTTAAAATGTAAAGCTCCCATCAATAATACCAAACAGTCGTTTAAAGCTATTTAAATAAATAAAACCCAGTTAAAATATAACACTTAGTTAAAATAAACAAAATCCAGTTAAGTTATAACACTCACCGTTTACTGTAGTCTCGGAACTAATTCCAAACAATCCCACAGGGTCCCAAAATAAGTCCAGACCGTGGGATCACTCATCGCACAGACCCTGCCAACTGTTCACTAGCACTATGTCACACACTATAGCCGTATGTACACTATCACATATTTTTATGACCACATTTGTTCACTGTCTGTTGAAGAATACATTATCAGAAATGGAAATAAATATTTAAGTATTAAGGATCATCATCATCGGCTTCTTCCTTATCCCATTTATTTGTGGTCGGCGTAATATGTTTTTAGCTTCCATTCATCTCTGTTCGCAGTCATCTCGTTATTTACTCCCTTTCTTACCATATCATCTTTCACACAGTCCATCCATCTCTTTTTCGGCCTTCCTCTGCCCTTATAACCATCTACATTCATATGTAACACCTTTCTTAAAATATTATCCTCATTCCTACGCATTACATGTCCATACCATGATAGACGATTACTCTTCAACCTCTCTGACACCGGTGCCACTATCATACTTCCTCTAATGTATTCATTCTTTATCTTATTCTTTTTTTTAATTTCTTAGCAGCAAAAATGGTATAATTTCAAACACAATATAAATTGTTACTTAATAAATAAATATCAAATATTGGACAAAATAAGCGTAACTATTATTATAAAATAAAATTATTTACAGTTCAGCACTTCTCAATACAAATTCCTATGTTTATATGAAGTTTTTTTTATTAAACTCTATACTAGATAATACATTTAAAAATACCTATCACATATATATATATATATACTAGCTGTCCCGGCAAACGTTGTTTTGCCATAAAATAATAAAAAATTTAGGGTTGGACTACCTCTAACATTTAGGGGGATGAAAAATAGATGTTGGCCGATTCTCAGACCTACTCAATACGCTCACAAAATTTCATGAGAATCGGTCAAGCCGTTTCGGAGGAGTATGGGAACGAAAACTGTGGCACGAGAATTTTATATATAAGATATTATAATATCATATTACTGTTTCTTAGTCCTAATATGTGCTTTTGCAATAGCAGATACTGGTGGTCACTCCATGCTCTCAAATTTGAATTTAAAAATGAAACTATATTATTGTAAACATGTACAACATTTATTTGAAAAGAATACGAGCTGAGTTTCTTATCAGTTCTTCTCATTTTGAAGTCATTCCTGTTGTAGTAATAAGAAAAAAGACTTGGTAAAATGGAGAAAATATATTAATAATAGACAACTAACATATTAGGAACAGAAAGAATGAATCTTGTATAACATTGTCAATATCAGCTAAGTTTTCAACAGTCGCCATAACTGCATTTTTATATTACTCTATATTTTCAATATCTGATAGACTTCATCTATATAATCTTCTCTATGCCAATCTACGCCCCATTCCTCTGTCTTCAAAAGCATCTTGCAGCGATGTCCATGCTTCGGGCTTTATTGAGCACATTTTACGTGGACTACTGCTCCACCGACTACCGTGAGGCATTACTATACATATATTTTCTCCGTTTACCTAGTCTTTTTTCTTATTACTACAACAAATCCCTACTGACGGTAGATTTCACATCAGAAGTCTGTAATAGACCTACCCGAATAAAGATATTTTGAATTGAATTGAATAATAAATAAAAACAAATGTTTTGTATCACAAAAGAAATCAATGCATACTTGTTACGTCATGATTAGCATGTTTATGTGTTATTGACAAGTTAAGAATGTGTGATAATGCTTCTATTATAATTTACACTATCTCATTCAGCTGCTAATGTTATCAGTGATATTTTGTTATCACAATGACCTTGCCCCATTAGCATCGAGGGTTTTGAACTGACTGCAAAATGAAAATAACTTGTTTATACACTTGTATTAAATTTTTCTTTTAATTGAAATAGAAATAGAAATAGAAATAGAAATAATCTTTATTCAAATAAACTCATTACAAGCACTTTTGAATAGTCATATTTTGATTCTACCACTCATTCGGAATGCAGATTCATTACGAGAAGAATGAGCAAGAAACTTGTGTGTTGCTCTTTTTAATAGATGTTTTTTTTTTATATAAATAATTACAGTGTAACAAGTAAGAGGCATGCGACAATCAACATAGAAATCGCTACGCACTCATTATTAGTGTAATCAGATAACATTGTCAGTGCTATGTATTTAAAATTTTTCTAGAAAAACATTATTATCGTTAACGAATTCTTCAATTTTATAGTAAGCTTTTTTGCAAAGGAAGTGTTTTATTTGACATTTAAATCTTTTTTCTGGCAGATTTATAACAGACTCTGGTATTTTATTGTAAAACCTTACGCAATTGCCATAAAACGAATTACTAACTTTAGCCAAACGACATTTAGGTAAAATCAGTTTGTTATTGTTACGTAAGCTTTTATTAGTGCAATCACTAACTCTTTTGAAACTGTCTATATTCTTCCTGGCATACATGATATTTTCATAAATATATTGAGAAGAATTTGAAGGGCTTCCACCAAACGAGATGATTTTTTCGGGCTACTCTAATGCTGTTGGCCGCAGCTGGCCTTTACAGCTTCACCGGATGATAGGGGGCGAGTGCAGATGGCACTCCAAACCAATAAAAGCCCCGTCAAAATCCGTCCAGCCAATTCAGAAATTAGCCGGAACAAACGTCTTCTGTCTGTTTGTTCCGGACAGACAAAAATTGTAAAAAATTCTATTTTGATGTATGTACCGTATTTTTATAATTTATATTCATATCCATGTAATAAAAAACGATTATTTCAATATCACAAACAGACACTACAATTTTATTTATATGTATAGACTAGCTGTCCCGACAAACGTTGTTTTGCCTTAAAATAAAAAAGAAATTTAGGGGTGGACTACCCCTAACATTTAGGGGGATGAAAAATAGATGTTGGCCGATTCTCAGACCTACTCAATAAGCGTATTGAGTAAGTCATGAGAATCGGTCAACTGTTTCAAAAACAAAATTGACACGAGAATTTTATATATAAGATAGATTACTGGAAACCAATGAGGAATCAGGACCACCTATTTTTTTATCTGTCTGTCCCACGTCTGTTTTTTTTTTAATCTCAGAGACAAATTTGACACATCTCATATTGCCAAGTTGCTGTATTTTTTAAATAGGGTTGTGGTACTATCAGATATTAATATTAATTATAGATTATTCAGAGATAAAATTTGGGTGTTCATTTAAAACGCATTAACACAAAATTAATAAAGTATAGGTATTAATAAATATATGATTGTTGTATTAAAGATTTTTTTATTTTCCACCAAAATATAGACTAACTGCCTTTTTTATAAAACAAATTATATATCATTCTATAGTGTCATCACTACATAATATAAAACAAAGAAGCTGTCGCTGTCTGTCCGTCCCTATGTATGCTTAAATCTTTAAAACTATGCAGCAGATTTTGAAGTGGTTTTTTTAATAGATAGTGATTCAAGAGGGATGTTTATATGTATAATACATGTACAACCATGCGAAGCCGGGGCGATTAGCTAGTATATCATAAAACAAACACCTATTTAAAATGTTTAGCTGTTTGTATGGAAAATGACAAACATGAACCGAACTGATGGTAGATTTGACATATCATAAGAGTTTGTAATAGACCTACATGGATAGAGATATTTTGAATTTGAAAAATTTTAACTATGTTTAAATCCAAAGAAAAGTCATGTATGAAGTTGACAACATTGCTTTGTTGGATAGTATAGACTACAGTTGCCAACCGTCCTGCTTTCCCGGGCCATGTCCTAGTTTTTGAAGTGTCCTGGAATGTCCTGAATAGTTATTTGTCAGTGTACTGCGTTTTTAAAACATCACCTCTTAATTGCACCTCTTAATTACTGATTTTCAACAGTATAATGTTAAAAAATACTTATTATTAAAAACCTGATTGCATTAATGAATTGAATTTTAGTACATATTAAAATAACTATTACTGATTTGTTTTTGAACTGGTTAGTCCTGTTTCTTTTGACTTTCAATGATGGTTTTTTAATTTAAGGCCTGGTAACCCTAGTGTAGAGGGAATGATTAAGAAGTTGAATATACTAAAATTATACCCACAGTATGTATGTACTGTGGTACATGGCCCTCATGAACTAATATGGTCAGTAAGGTGAACACCCACACTTATATGGCAGAGATCAATGTGAATGGAATGTGTGAATCAATAACATATCTACAGTGTTATATTATATATAAATTAAAAATATATCATATACACTCCAATTTTATTTATTTATATATATATATATATAAATAAAATTGGTGTCTGTTTGTAATATTGAAATAACCATTTTCTACTACATGCATTTGAATATAAATATGGTACATACACCAAAATATTTTTTTTATAATTTTTGGTCTGTCAGTTTGTTTGTTCCGGCTAATCTCTGAAATGGCTGGACGGATTTTGATGGGACTTTTCTTGGCAGGTACCTGAACTTAGGCTACTTTTATTCTAGGAAAATATATTAAAATTCCACATGGATGAAGTCGCGGGGACAGCTAGTATTATATATAAATTAAAAATATATCATAAAATTAAACTAGTAACCTGACCTGGCTTCACATGGGTGTATTATAAATCATTTATTTAGTCTACCATTCCATAGTATAATGCATACATTTTTTTATGGATGATAATGGAATGGTGCTCTAACTGCTTACCCTGGCGGGGCATCAGTGGAGGATGGTAAGATGAGCATGAGGTTTTCACTAAGAATTTATCACAATGGTTTCCAGTAGGAACAGCATGGAGGTCAACCTGACATGGTACAAAGATCATTCTGGAAAAAACTGTTCAAAATCCGTTGCATAGTTTTAAAGATTTAAGCACACATAGGGACAGACAGCGACAGCGACTTTGTTTTATACTATGTAATGAAGATTGCAGTCCTTTGTGACCATAACCATCTTTTTTAAAATAGTCTGTGTGCTATGATATCAAAGTACAAAAAAATTGTTTTTAGATAACACAATTTTCATTGATGTATTAATATGAAAACATAAAAATATGAACACCAGAGCAAAGCTTGGATAGGTAATATAGGTTTCAAATACATTTTATTATTTTTGTAAATTGAAGTGAATTATTTACTCACAAAACACCCTAATTGTGTATTTAAAATGTCTTTTTTTTTTACAATCACACCGAGGCATCTAGACCCAAGTTAAGCTAGCTGAAGCTTGTGTTATGGGTACTAGATAACTGATACAAATAAATAGATATTTTTTTTTTCATAAATACATACATATTATACATAGAAAGTACCCGGACCAATACATGATACATACTCATGAATACAAATGTTTGTGCTGTACGAGGAATCGAATCTGTGACCATCGGGTGTAAAGCAGTGTGCTAGACCGCTAGACCACCGAAGTTGTCATTTAAAATGCATAATATTCCTAAATATGTACTATGTTTGATATCAATTGTAATGAAGGTAAAATTGTATATAACTTTGTTTTGCCATATAATTTAATAACGCTATAAAAAATAAGGATTGGTGATTGAAGGGTGAAAATGTAGGATTGTATGTATATTGTAATGACACATAATAAAAAATTTTGCCTAAAAAATAGAAAAACAATATTAAGGGTGGACAACCCTTATCACATAGAGTACGAAAAATGGATAGTGGCCGATTCTGAGACCTACTGAATATGCATATAAAATTTCATAAAAATCTGTCAAGCTGCTTCAGAGGAGTATTGTAACTAACATTGTGACACGAGAATTTTATATATAAGATAATATTATACATTCAATGTTGCCTCTGTACGTAATGATGTCACCACCATATTATAACCAATTGAAATTGTGATTCCATCAACAGAAAAGTCACAATGACAACGTCGAGTTTTAATATCATTCATATAATATCCTTGAAATATTGCACGTCTGTTATATTTGTACGCAATACAGTTGAAGGGGAGTTATTTTGGACACAGAGACAGTGGCGTTCGATTAAGTGTACAGAAATAAAAGGAGTGCAATAGAAAATAAGTAAAGATGTCTCACGATATGTCAAAATAGCAAGAGATTTTGCGAGCCGTTACAACAATTTTTACTTACAGCAATATTAAAATGATAATAATACAGTCATATTACGAATAGATTACACGTCAATCACCACGATTATGTTTTAATGAAAAGAAATAACGGATAATTCGTTAAAAAACACCTTATGATATTTCCATTTCTGATTTGACCTTACGAACAAAAACACTTCCTTGCAGGCACAAATAGACACTGTTATGTATTCACTGGATATTGAGCGTTCAGATTGTTAATTAATAACAAATAATTATGTTTATATAATTATTATTTGTAGAATAAATCTATTGCCGTTTAAAAATGACGAATAATCCACCAATATCGCGCATGCCCAACAAAAATTTACATCACGTGACCTGTCATGGCGTCATAAAAATTACTTTTTTTTTTAGAGATTTGCGTGTGGCAAAGGATGTATACATTCATCCATGTCTACAGATACCTTATAGGTAGCAATTTTATTTATAATCTAATATTAAATCATAAATGTAATATTGTTTTAGCAAATAATGCAATTGTGAATAGATATAATTTAATTATCCACTTTTGAACGTAATGTTGCCATAATAGCAAAGCGCATGCGTATTAATGAATGCGTTCGAAATATCAATCTGTCAGAAGGGAATGGTTAGGGTTTGCACAAACAGTAAATGTGACAGTAACAATGATTACAATGTTCTTCAATAGGTACTTAAAACAGACAGTTCATCGTTCGATGCTAATCTAATTGCATAATCAGCGATCTAAATAGAGACGTCTACGTCTCTATTTAGACTGATTATGTTATTAATTAATGTTTCTATGGATTAAATAGATTTAATCCATAGAGTTTAAACATTTTGTCCACTTATCATTAATAGGGTAAAATTAATACAAACACGCTATAACGTCAATGTATGAATTTATGTAATTGCAGTTTATTTATTCATACACAATTATTATTGTAATAATAAAGTTTAGGTGTTGATTTTTCAATTAATGTACTTACTACAAACTACACAGTATTTTATATCTTTTCTATTTTTTTTATTATTGAATTTGTTTTTCAATAATAAAAAAAATCAGGCCGCGGATACGGCATCCAACAAATGGGACCAAAATTCAAACAATTCGAAAACATACATTTTCTTCTATTTTTTCTTGAAGCAATACAATTACAGGAATGATTTTCTTTTACATAATTTTCCGTCTTTCTTTTCTTTGACTGAGGAGTAAAACCTGGTGCTGCAGCTAAAGGTCTACTTTGTAATATCTGCGATCTATCTTGAGAATTTTGATTTTGATTTTCCTGTATTCCGACTCTATTTTGAAGGGACAAAGTTGTATTTTGAGCAGTTGTCGCCATTCCTCTTGGGAACTGTACACCGTGAATAGAGTTTGTTGTTCTTAAATCTTTTCCCGAACCATTGACTATTGGAGTACTATTTTGACCATAAACAAATATATTTTGGATAGGGTCTGTGGTATTAATTCTCGGTATAGGATTTTGATTTGCTACAACTGACGTAGGTCTAGGACTTGCATTTAATGTTTGATTCCCTTGAAATTCTCCTTTAGAAGTTTGCATAGTTGGGGTTGGAATATAGACTTGCTCTGTTGAATAAGGTCTAAAGACATTAATATGAGGTGATAACTGAATATTTTGTTCATTAGTAATTTTGTTAACTTGTTTATTTGACATATCTAGTATATTTGGATTGGCGGTTGTGGAGTCTAATGTTAGCCACTGCTCACTATATTGAGGTAGATTTACAGGAATGTAAGGAAATATTTGACCATTTGAAGACAGTACAGCTGGATCATAATTTCCAAATGCACCGATACGGTTTTCATAACTAGAGTAGCCATGTCTCCGAAGTAATTGATTTGTATTTATTACCCTATCTGAAGTATCGGGTTTTCTTATGGGAGATGTTTTTCTATCCATTTCATTATCTTTAAGTTTATTCACAAAAGCATCAATTTCTTTAGCTTTAATTTCTATTCCCAGCTTCTTTATGGATCTAACTATTTCCTCTTTCATTGTACTATCATTGGCACAGTTGTGACCTCTTTTTTCTATATCATGCAACCTTTTTGCTAAGCTGGACTCTACTTGTTTTGTTAATTTTTTATCCTCTAATTTGTTTGGTAGTGAATCATTAAAAAAATTCTCTACTTCTTTTTTCATCTTTATTTCTAGCACTTCTTCTCTAATAATTTCTTCACTAGGTATCGGTATTTTTGACAATTCACATAATAATCGATTTCGTTGTATCAAAGGATCGATTGTCTGTTCTGTTCCTTTATTATCAGCCACATCTTGTAAATATTTTAGTAGAGCATCATGGACTTTGAACTTGAATACTTGTCTATCCTCAATATCATCTTTATTATAACTATATTGAATAAAATTATTCAAAATATCTTCTCTAATGTCATTCAATAGAGCTATTTTATTAGCGTCTATATTTTCAGGTTGTTCTAACATTATAGATATAGTATGTTTAAGTTCTTCTTTATATTCATAAAGCTCTCTTTCCGTTTTCATTAAAGGTTTAACCGAGTTCAGAACTTCTTTTAATTTACTTTTTCTAGCTTCTTTACTTTGTTGAAATACACAGCACGTTGGGATCGTAGCTAATGCATTTTCTAATTCGTCGTCAAAAAAATGATTAAATAGTATTTCATTTCTGAAAGTTGTAGGATCTGCATTAAGTTTACTTATTATAATAATAATTTTAGTAACTAGATCATTTTTTATTTCATTTACATCTATATTTTCTTGTTTATTATTGACAAACAGTGGTAGATCCGCACACCAATTCTCAACAATTGCTAAAATTAAATCAGCAGCCTTTTTTTGTGGGGCTGGTAAACTTTGGCAACAAGGTTGTTGTGTAGAAGATGTCATTGTCCTGCACACTCTACTAGCACTACTAGGACCTGCAATTTGACTAGTATCTAAAATACCTTTGTTTTTAGACTTTTTCCGTTCTTTATGACTTTTTGAGGAGCTATTATTTTTATTTCGATCACATTTCCTGCTGTTTTTAGTAGCTCTTAGTGTTGTGCACAATTGTTCAGCATATTTTTCAACATTAACACTTTGTTCTGAAATTATAGGTAGTCGAGACAGCCATTTACTTATTTCTTTTTGAATTTTTATGTCTGGTGTAGATTCATTGGTCTCTATTTCGTGTATTCTTTTTGCTAACAAAGATAATATTTTGTCCCATTGTAAAAGTTCATCAAAGGAAGCAACTTCTTTCATTGGCAAGTTATTAAACCAGTCTTCGATTTCACATTTTGTTTTAATTTCTTCTACTTGCTCTATGACAGAGTTTTCATCAGGAATAGGAACTTTGTACAAAGCACTATAAAGTTCATTGTATAAGTTATCCCTACTTATAGGCACAGCGTTTCGTTTCTGCGCTTCTAAAAAATATTTATCTACCTCATCTTTTATTTTATTTTCATATTTTAACTTCTCCGTATCATTTCCACAGTCAAAATTTTCTAATATAAACATACTAGCTAAATGTTTTTTATATATTTCGAATCCTGGGTCTTGATATTGATTATTTTGTAAGGGAATTGGTATTGACGTTTCAATAGTATTATCAAGTTGTTGTTTGTAATATTCACCACTGTATTTTGATTTTATCATTTTCCTTGCCTCCACAATGTTTTGTATCAATGTGATTTTAAGTTTATCCCAGTTATTCATTAGAACAGTAGTTCTAGGCAAATTTTCTAATATTGTGTCGATTTCATCATCAAGAACGTCTTGATATAATTCGTTATCATTACAAAGTCTTGGATCTAGATTTAAATCTCCAACCCTTTGATATAATTTCTTTGCTATATCATCTTTGAATTCGTTAACTTTGTCTTTAGTGGCTCCTTCAATTGGTAGACCACGACACCAATTTTCAATCAATTCTAGGATCAAATCACCTGGATTCTTACTTTTTAAAACTTTGTTACAATTTAGCGCATGTTTGGACATTTTATTGTGGGATTTACTTTTTGTACTTTTATTTGTATTATTATTATTACTGTTGTCATTATTCATTTTTAATTCATCATGAGACGCTTGTTTATTACTATCTACTCTGTTTATTCTTCTAATAAGTTGTTGTACTGCTACAGGCATAGAAAATTTTTTTCTATTATTAACTGGTAGTTTCGATATCCATTTTGTAACAAGATTTTCTAATTCCGCACTATTATCTGACACCTGTTCATCATTACCAACTTTCTTTTCATCTATTTCGGAAATCTTTTTAGCTAGGTCACTAATCATGTTAATTCTCAAATCTTTATCATTTGAATTTTTAATAGGAAGCAAAGAAAAATTATTGAGCCAATCAGATACTTCTTTCGCATAAGTTAATTCTTTGCCAAAATTGTTAACAATTTTGTCTTCACTCGTGGGAATCGCACTTAATTTATTATATATATCAGACTTACACAACATTGCTGGATCTGTACTATTATGAATAATATTCTTTACTTCTTTCAGTACTCTATTTGTCCAAGCATCTAATTTTACTTGATCATCAGCAAAATCTTTGCTATTTATATATATGTATTGTTCTATAAAATCTTCCAAATTCTGTTCTTCTATTGAATCGTCATTACAAGATCCTTCTTGATTAATATCTTGGCAGCAAGATAAAGGTGACTGAATTTCGACTACTTTACAAATTAACTGATCAATAATTAACTTAATATTACCTACATGTTCTGGAAGAAAAGGTAATTGGTCCATAAACTGACTTATAATCGAAGCTAAATATATATTATAATCCATAGCCTCAGATGATTCTGTTCTGTCCATTTCAACGTCACATATATTTTTAGCTAAATTAGTCACAAATTCGACTCGTTTTTTATTTCCAGGTCTATTGTAAGAATAATCTATTGGTATATTCTTTAGCCAGTCGGATATTATTTTAATGTATTGTAATTCTTTATTTAATCGCTTTAACGGATAATTTTGACATGTTCTAGACTTTGCAAAATTTTCATATACTTCTTGTCTGGTGGGTGGGCTCAAATTTCTAAATTCAAGTTTCAGTAGTTGACAAAATGCTCCTTTTGCCATATTATCTTCAGAATCAAAATTATGCTCTATGAACTTATTAATCAATTGCATCAAAGTCTTATCAACATCTTCACTATATATTGGCGTATCTCGTACATCAGTGTTACCGTCAGTTTTAGTTGTGATGGTTGGTTGTATAATTACACCCTCCTGTTCTATTTTTTTATGTAGATTGTTTGCTAAAGTTGTATCTTGTGGTAATTTCATTACTCTCTCATTGAGCTGGCTAGTTAATATGTCAATGTTTCTTTTTTCTTCAGGTACTATTATATTATTCAACCATTTAGCTATGTCTGCCTTTATTTCCGTTTCTGATTGCTTATTATTTAATTTAATTCGTAAAGTTTGTGCTAATTCATGTACAATTTTATTTCGGTGGTCTCTGTTCTCCTTTAAATAAATATCAGACGATTGTTCGTTCATCCAAATAGAGATTTCATCTTCTAAAATATCTATTCCTTTAGGTACAAATAATTCCTTACGAGCCAGCTCTCCGTGCATATGTTTAATATTATCCATTGCCTGTCTATTTCCATGTTGAGGTTTAGTCATATCAGGTACTGTTATTTCGCTTAAACGTGTTAAGAAGTCATCTAAATAGGATTCCGAAACATTAACATCTCCAAAAATATCAAATTTAAATAACCATCTCAGTATCAAGTATTTTATTATTAAATCTCTGTCAGTGTTTGTATGTGGGGCAATTTGCTCTAACTTTACTTCATCCGTTATATCGCCAGCTAAATCATTAATTATAGTTTCTTTAAAGTTTTTGTCTTCCGGATTATTAAACTGTACAGGTAGTGTATTCATCCAAGACTTTATAACTTCTAGAACTTTACCCATATATTTTATTTCTTCGTTATTAAGCTTTGAAATTTCTTCTTTAACTTTAGCATTTTGTTTAGGAGTAGATGTAACGGGATAATTAGAGAGTGGAGAAATTTCATGCTCCGATGTAAGAATGAAAACACTTCTAGAACGACTAGGCTCCTTTAAAGATCCAGTTGGTAGAGTAGTATTACATAATACTTCTGCCGCGCGTTTTGCTTTATTAACTAAAGATACAGCTATGTTAGAAGCCTGAAGTTCAGGTATATCGCGACAGTTTCGTAAAATGTTGCATATTTCATCTTTTGCATATGAATCTTTAGTTGAATTAAGTGAATGAAGATTATCAATTAAAACATTTGATATTCTATCTTCAATGTTATCAAACGAGTCAATTTCGTTATTTTGCAAAACACTTCTTACTTTTCCAATTATCATTCTTTTTATGTCATCGCCATATTTAAAGATACTGTTATTATTTGAAACTTGATCTTGACTTATTGTTTTATTAATATCATAATGATTATAATTTATATCATCCAATTGAAGACTTACTAGTCTGTCAGTTAAATCTTGAGCATATTTATTACATAAGGATTTTTTATTATGTGCACAATTAACAGAAATTGGTAACTCTTGTAAAACTTTTATAATTTCAGCTTGCAAAATTAATTTATTCTCACATGTTATCGTACCTTTCAATAAAGGTGTGAGTCGAGTTATGAGCAAATGTTTTATTCTATTCCTATTTGTAGTTACTTCGTGCTTGTTAGATTTATTAAACTTTATTTTTAAAAGCCAATCATCAATTTCAGCAATTATAAAATGATCATTTTTATCTATACATACATCGTTACTACGTCTGATATTTAAATAATCTTTTTTATGAACACCATTTGAGTTATTATGATTGTTATTAAAATGATCACTAACTTTATTAAGTGATTCATTATTTAAATATTTAATTTTTTCAAGTAGATTTTCTGTTAATCCTTTAACAAATAATTCTTGATCGCGTTTCGCTCCTGGATGCCACATTGGTAGGTTATTTAGAAAAATATTTATATTCCTTTTAATTTTCTCATCATACGTTTCACAATTAACATCGACGGACTGGCTATATATCTTATTTAATAAATTATTAACCATGTTGTCTCTCATTTCTTTCGTTGACGGATCGAAATTTGGATATATTGGTATTTCTTGCAGCCATTTCATTATAACGCTTTTCAAAGCATCTTTATAATTATTTCTTGGTGCAATTACATCCCAAGTGTCCGTTTGTCTTATAGGTGTATTAGTGGCAGTATTATTACTAACATCAGTACCTACATTGTTATGTGTTTTACGATTAATATTTTTAAATGTAGAAACCTGATTATGAACACTGTTTCTCGATCTTGGGATGTTTGAAGTAGTATTTGAGGACGGCGATGTGGAAACCTATAACAAATATAAGTAGTTTTAAGGTTTATTAAGGGAAATTTTATCTTTATGTTTTCTTTTATTAACATAAATTCATTAAAAAATACTTAAATTATCTGTATCGTTAACATATATTGTAATAAGTTATTCAAAAGAATGTTGCCGGCTGATGATACCATTGTATTAAAAAAACCGTTTGATATGCCATTTAAAAATGAGCCCTATTCATATAGTGCGAGATTCTTACTTTGCCGTAACACAGTTATCTAACTAGCACAGGAGGTAATGAATTTTAACTGTATACCATATACAATGATTTTTTTTATGGAAATAAATATTATAAAATATTATTAGGGGTGTCACATGCGCGTTGCGTAAGTTTGTGCCACAACATTGTCTCCATCAAATTTCATTCCTTTTTCCCATCTCAAACTGGATTAGATTACTCTTTAGAAAAAAGATAGCTTTTATCCGTTTTTGTAATACAATCGTCAAATCAAATTTCATTACAATATTTTCGATCGTTTGTCGTGAAAAGATAAAAAAGAAATAGACACATATGCGCATAGTGTAATTTTGCTGAAGTCCATTTCAATATTTAATGGATTGATAAAATTTTGTTTAATATCTTTTCTTTTTTTCGGACTACTCTAATGCTATTGGCCGCAGCTGGCCTTTACAGCTTCACCGGATGATAGGGGGCGAGTGCAGATGGCACTCTAAACCCGCGGAAGGACTACGAAGCAGCTGAAAGTCAACTCCCGCCTGACGGATACGACTTTAGTCTGAGGGCACCATTAGGGGTACGAACCTCGGCTCAGGCCATCGTAATTTCGATTCCTGTTTGAATTGGATGGGGGATCGATCGGAGGGGTCATATTAGCATGTGTGAGACCATAAATATGCAGTACGGAAACCTGACCTACTGGAAGCGTTACGATATTCTCTATTGGTGATCAAATTTCGACCGTTAATTGAAATGGTGGTCAAACTGCGATTATCGCAGTCAACACTACACTTCCAAGCTATATTCAATGCCTGATGATGATGATGATGTAATATGGATGTGGGTAGATATAATAAAAATCAATGAATCAATATGCTAATGGTAGCGAAAATAAACAAAATAATACCTCGACGGACGACGGTGACGACCTCGGTGGTCTAGCGGTCAACCACACTGCTTTACGTCCGATGGTCGCGGGTACGATTCCTGGCTCGGTACAAACATTTGTATTCATGAGTATGACTGTTGGTATCGGTCTGGGTGTTTTCTATGTATAATATGTATGTATTTATGAAAAACATAAATCTATGTATTTGTATCAGTTATCTAGTACCCATAACACAAGCTTTAGCTAGATTAACTTGAGTCTAGATAGCGCTGTGTGAATTGTCCTGAGATTATTAAAAAAAAATATATGTATATATAAATTAATTTACATCATTCAATCAAATGAAAAATCGTTGTAACCATGTAGGACATTTTAGGCACTTATAAATATCAAGTTTTTTGTATTAATATTTTTTCACTACCGTCCAGTTCATTATACAGATTCAATTGATAAGAACTGGCAAGAAGTTCGAAGAAGAAAGAAGAAGTTAGAAGAAGTAAGAATTTCTTTTTTATTTTAAACTAGCTACTCGCCCTGGCTTCGCATAGGTGTACATGTATTATATATAAAATCTTTCTCTTGAATCGCTCTACCTATTAAAAAAAACCGCTTCAAAATCCGTTGCGTAGTTTTAAATATTTAATCATACATAGGGACAGACAGCGACAGCGACTTTATTTTAAGAAAGAAAAAAAGAAAGAAAAACATTTATTGTCAACCATTTTTACATATACATATATACATACATACATACACACTTAGAACAATTACAATAACAAATTACATAAACAATTTTATACTATGTAATAATGAAAAGAATGAAATGAAAATTATATAGGTGTCTATGTCTAACATTACATGAAAATCCCGTGGATGAACAACTATTGCCGTGCACGTCGTGTCGTCATTCAAGTAATCATAATGATATACATTTATAATATTACCACAGATAACAGTAAGGACAGAATGGATGAACACCTTTGTTTTTAAATATAAAGAATCGTTAACTAACCGATCTTCTGAGAAGAGGGTGTGTGGAGGACTCCTTTCGTAATATTCCTTTCCTGGCTATTTAAAAAACAAATAAAGGCTGTAAAGATCAGTTATTATCTGCTTTGCTTTAAATATAATCAAATAATTAAGTTAAATTACTAACAAATCTTACGCAATTAAAACAAACAGATTTAACCTCTCTGATTTAATACACTACAATAGTATGTATTTCTCTATTGACAAACATAAACTTAAAATATTACTTTAAACAAGAATAACAACAATAATACCTATACACAATTCACACAGCGCCATCTAGTCCCAAGTTAAACAGAGCTTGTGTTATGGGTACTAGACAACTGATAGAAATACTTAGATTTTATGTAAATACATACATATTATACATAGAAAACACGAACGATACAAACAATCATACTCATGAATACAAATGTTTGTACCGTCCGAGGAATCGAACCCGCGACCATGGGAAGAAAAACGGTGAGCTAAACTGTTACGCCACCGACGCCGTCAAAACAATGTAACATTAAATTTACCTTTAGATCTCCCCTCAACAGTTTGTGAACTCTGCAACAAGGAAACAACTGTGAATAACTCAGGTCTTGTCACCTAACTGCTACCGTGACACATTGTACGGATAAAGATAAAAAAACATGCCTGAAAGGTTTCTGAACATCTGAAAAAGTAAGTAAATAATTTTGAATTTGTATTTGATACACATACGAGGCAAACAATTCAAATTCAAATTCAAAAATCATTTATTCATGTAGGACATTTTAGCCGCTTATGAACGTCAAGTTTTTTACATTATAATTTTCAATTTTTTCCCTACCGTCCAGTTCAGTATATAGATCCAATTGAGAAGAACTGGCAAGAAACTCAATTGGATAAAAATTTTTAAAAGTCATTTTATTTACAATGTATGTTTATATAGGTGTCTATGTCTAACATTAAATGAAAATCCCGTGCATGAACTATTGCCATGCACGCTCGTCATTCAAGTAATCGTTTAGTGAGTAATAGGTTCTGTATAGTTAGACTACGATGAAATTATGCCTATTTAATACTGATGTATATGCCGTGGTATCACTAGTGAGTTGCTAATCAAAATAATTAAGATCTCACGTCCTCTGGACTCTCAATTTCATCTCACATATGCAATTTGTTTTTATAGAACAGGCGACAAACGGGGCAGCGGCACATCTGATGGTAAATGATTACCGTTTCTAGAAAACCGCACTGTGGAGGACCGCCATTCATCCAGATGATCAGGATGTTATTTTCGTTTCTGGCGGATGGTACTTACGGTGGTAAACTCAGAAAAGAATGACCACCAGTATTGAGCGACTACTAATGAAATTATTTAAAAGAGCAACACGCAAGTTTCTTGCTCGGTCTTCTTGTGATGAGACAGCTTTCCGAATGAGCGGTAGATTAAAAAAATGTTATGACTATTCAAAAGTGCTTCAATGTATGTAAGTTTATTTGAATAAATGATTTTCTATTTCTATTCTAGAATATGTATATATATATATGTAAATATATATACTAGAATAGAATAGAATACAATTACAAAGCTATCCCATAATATGATCTGAAACAATAACGGAAAAACGTTCTGTTTCTAATTTATAATAATAGCTAATGTAAACAAAATAATACAAATCCATTATTATACTATATTAATTGAATTAGTGATAGTTGGTAGTTTATATTTATACACTTCAACTTGCAACAAAATTATTTAAAAGAGCAACATGCAAGTTTCTTGCTCGTTCTTCTTGTAATGAGACAGCTTTCCGAATGAGCGGTAGATTAAAAAATATGTGATGACTATTCAAAAGTGCTTCAATGTAAGATTATTTCAACAAATGATTTTCTATTCTATTCTATTAAGTAACTACATTTTAACTGCACTGTACCATATCATAAAGTGATTCACGTCTGTGTGTGTTCGAAGATTTAGAGATTGTTTTCATCTTGTGATGTTCTTCACGGTGCTCATCCAGTCTCTCTCTGATCATTGGGCAGACTTCTTGGTTACAAGACTGAAATGACAAAACAATCGGAGAAGTGCGACACTAAAGTGGCAATGCGCAGGGTACATAGCTCGTAGGACAGATTGTTGGGCTAATAAAGTCCTCGAGTGGCGACCACGGACCGGAAGACGCAGCGTGGGAAGACGGATCGATAATCTGGTCAAGATCGCTGGAAGGCATTGGATGCGAGCAGCGCAGGACCGATCGTCGTTCCTTCTCCTTAAATCTCTCTATCTATCAAAAAAAAACAGCTTCAAAATCCGTTGCGTGGTTTTAAAGATTTAAGCAGACATAGGAAAGAAAGAAAAGAAAGAAAAAGAAAAAAGAAAGAAAGAACAGAAGGGACAGACAGCGACAGCGACTTTGTTTTATACTATGTAGTGATTTCTTGTAAATTATTATTAATATTTAACTGCGCTCAATTCTAATTTACTTAATAATTATTGATATAAAAGTAAATTTTAATCTGTAATGTAATTTGTAATTTATGTCTCTCAATAAATTATAAAAAATGTATTAATAAATAGAAATAAAGAAAGCATATTCATTCTCATTATTCTTACCTTAAAACCGATAATTCTGTCCAAATATTCCACGATTATTCTTTCTTGCATTCTATAAAGATTATCTTCTCTAGAATGCATTTTAATATTTACCCTACATATTATATTAATTGTTTATGAAAAGCTGCAAGAAATACGTTATATTATCATGTTGTTTTTTTCTGGTATTACTCTTTGCTTTACGGGAAAAGCAACAGCTAAAAGTCGTACAGCCATATCTGCAATTGTCACGTTTACGTCAAGTTTTGTCAAATTCTCATAACTTAATGGAACCAAAGAAAGAAAGAAAGAAAAATATTTTATTCAGTGCAATGTAAAAAATACAATATAAACAACCAACGAAAAAAAAAGGAGCAAATAAAATGTACATATAATTAAACTTAATTTACCGTGTAGATAATTAAAAATAAACATAAAATAATATAATATAAACCACAGATGATGTAATATTACATAACTATGTCACTTCTTTCAAAATTATGACGACCTTAGCTCAATTTTGAACCTCTAGCGGTGCCCTCACATTAAAGACGACTTTAGTTGTTGGCCTTCAGCTGCTCCATAAGTCCTTCCGTAAGTTTGCAGTGCCATCTACACTCGCCTCTAATGGTTCGGTGAAGCTGTAAAGCTGAACTACGAAATAAACTTCTTTTGATTTTACAATCTAAATATCATTAGTTAAAATCCTAGGGACTTTTGATTTCATTGTATTTGATTTTTATATTAGAAATTTTCTATCATCTAATGTTGTTCAATTAGATTTTTGCTTCTGCTAGAATCTACCATTAGAATAATAATAATCTCAAGACAATTCACACAGCGCCATCTAGACCCAAGTTAAGCTAGCTAAAGCTTGTGTTATGGGTACTAGATAACTGATACAAGTACATAGATAATTTTTTCGTAAATAAAAATACATATTATACATAGAAAATACCCAGACCGATACTAACAATCATACTTATAAATACAAATGTTTGTGCCGTGCGAGGAGCGAACCTGCGACCATCGGACGTAAAGCGGTGTGCTAGACCGCTTGACCACCGAGGCCGTCATTAGAATTATCATTAGGATCCTACATTATTGTAGGAATTTCATTTTTTTTATACTTCGATGTTGGCAAACAAACATACGGCCCATCTGATGGTAAATGGTTACCGTAGCCTATGAACGCCTGAAACACCATATCTGTCCCTTAGTTGCGGAGCCTATTTAATGCAAACAAACAATGAAATCTTTCTTCTTTATCTATACTAGATAAAAATTGACTAAAACGAAGTCTTCAATTATTTAAAAATATATATGATATGAATATAGTATTGAATTATTAATTAAAACTAGATTTACCCATTATTAGGCTTTAATAAACTAAAAATTGTACACGACTATTTGACAGATAAAATGTAACTAAAATCTTCTTCTTATATTTAATGGCTTCACGACATTCACCCGTGCCTTAGAAATCTGTTTGATAATCTTGGAACCGATTAGGTGGGCGACGTAGCCTGGTGGAACGACGTGAAGATATATTTGCCTCAGCAGGGGATGGAAGTGCAGGAAATTGATCTGTAAGAGATTGATTAGTAGGAGATTCTTCTGCGGGAGATTGGTCTGTTAGAAATTGGTCAGCAGTAGATTGATCAGCATTAAATGATTCAGTTTCTGCGTTCGGGTTCTGTTCTCTTACAGGTTCATTTAACAAAGGAGGATTAGCTGGAGCCAAGTACCTATTTGAAATTGTAGTTTCTCGACCATTCTGCAAACGCACTTGAGAATAATGTGGGTTTACATTAAGTACCTCTACTTCTTCTACAAACGGATCGTACTTACTCTTCCTCACAAGATTTTTCATGAACACTGTACTTCCTTCCGTTAGCCATGTTGGCATTGATTGGCCATTGGATGACCTTCGTGGATGAGAAAACATTCTCTCGTGGGGTGTGCACCCAGTACTGGTGCATAATAATGAACGAATGCAATGTAATGTCTGAGTAATAACTGACTCCCAAGCACTTATAGGTAGCTTAAGAGACATAAGTGATAGTTGAATAGTTTTCCAAATAATCCCATTATAACGCTCTGTTTGGCCATTTCCTTGAGGATTATAAGGTGATGAATAACTTGTAGCTACTCCTAAGCTACATAAAAATTCCTTTAATTCTGATGAGACAAAGGATGTTCCTCGATCAGAATGCACAAAGGTGGGTACTCCAAAGATTGCAAATAATTGAGTTAATTTTCTTTTAACGGTTTCAGCTGTTAAATCTGGACATGGAAAGGCAAATGGGAAACGAGAATATTCGTCTACTACAGTTAGAATATACTTATTTTGAGTTCTACTTGGAAGAGGCCCCTTAAAGTCCATTGAAATTCGCTCAAATGGTGTAGTAGCCTTTATTAAAGTCCCAGAAGATTTTATGAATCTAGGTTTAATTTCAGCACATACGGGACATAATGTATTTATGCGTTTGATTTCTTCAACAGAAAAGGGCAAATTTTTAGTTCTTACCCAATGTACCATCCGTGTAATACCCGGGTGACAAAGACTGTTATGTAAATCCATTAATGAATTTCTCGATGTCGAAGCTATGACAGTATTTGCTCGTGACAATGCGTCGGCCACGACATTTTCTCTTCCCGGTCGATATATGATGTCAAAGTTGTAACTACTTAATTCAAGACGCCAACGCTGTATCTTCTCATTTTTGATCTTTGATGTATGTTGCTGGTTAAACATGAATGATATAGAACGTTGATCTGTAATCAGTTTGAATGTTCGTCCTATTAGTAATTGTCTCCATTTTCTCAAACTTTCTACAATTGCCGAGGCCTCCTTTTCAATAGCAGGGTGACCCCTTTCGGTAGCAGAAAGTGTTCTTGAAAAGAAAGCTACTGGCCGACCTTCTTGAGATAACGTAGCTGCAATAGCGTAATCTGAAGCGTCAGTTTCTACAGTCATTTGTATGCCGCTTTCAATAGCAGCTACTGTAGATTTAGCTATCTCTATTTTAAGATCTTCAAATGCTTTTATAGCGTCCTCCGTAAGCGGAAATGTATTATGATTGACAAATGGTTGTATTTTGTATGAGAATTTAGGAATCCATTTAGCATAGTGCGCAAACATACCTAGTGCTCGTCGCAAAGAAACAGAATCAGTAGGAATTGGTAGTTCTAGGAGAGGGCGTAAACGTTCCGGATCAGGTTTAATCACTCCGTTACATATGTTGTATCCCAGAAGATTTATAGTAGTCTTTGAAAATTCACTTTTTGTCACGTTTAATGTAAGATTATATTTTGTAGAAATTTCTTCAAATTTTTTAAGTTTTTCATCGTGATCAGTCTGATTTATCCCACAAATCGTGATATCATCGAGATAAGCATAAACTCCTTCTAATTGCTCTGATTTTATGATATTATTAATTGCACGTTGAAATGCGGCCACTCCATTGGTGACACCAAACGGAATTCGTCGAAACTGATATAAATTTCCTCCTGCTTCGAAAGCAGTATATGATTTTTCGCTTTCCAATATAGGTACTTGATGATACGCGCTTTTAAGGTCTATTTTACTGAATATTTTATGTTTAGATACCTTAGCTATAACATCTTCAATAGAAGGGAGTGGATATGCATCTAATAAAGTAAATCTATTTATTGTTTGTGAATAATCTATAACCATACGTTTTTTATGGTGTTCACTACTAGTAACAAGGACTTGTGCTCGCCATGGAGACTGACTAGGTTCAATTATTTTATCTTTTAATAACTTTTGTATCTCTTCATCTATAAATTTTTGATCCATCTCTGACTGTTTCCTAGATCGAATCGCAATAGGTTTCTCGAAAGGTAGTAAATTACTGAATAAGCTAACAGGTTTTATTTTGGCTTCTATAAGAGTACATAATTGAAGCGAGGGTTTAAAACCACCAAATTGCATTTCTAATGATTTATGTTCGCTTAACATATCATGACCGAGAATAACATCAGAACATAATCCTTCCATCACCATAAGATTGACTTCCACCTTTTGTTTTTGTATTTCTATAGTTAATGCACATCTGCTTTTTACATGTGATATAAGGTTTGACTTGGCCATTGTTATCTTTTGGTGATATGGTGTTTCAATTAAATCATAGTGGTTAACCAGTCGTTTGTCAATAAAACTAGCTGTACTGCCTGTATCTATTAGTGCTCTAGCCATAATTTTGTTATTGATAATAATAGGAACAGTCGCTTTACTTAAATCTGCAGCAGATAGTATGCAGGAGAGTGTTTCGATTGACTGATTTTCGTTGGAGGTAGCTGCGTTGCGTTGAGATTTATTTCGACAGACTTTAGCAAAATGACCCCTCTTACCACATGAAAGACACGTTGAACTGGCTGCTGGACAGAATCTTCGTGGATGTCTTTTTCTCCACAAAAGTAACAAGACTCAAACGTATTTCTATAATTTGGTGTTGCAGCAACGGTGACATCAGTATTCTTATTGTCAGCAGACATAGAATCCTTTAAAACTGGAATATTAGAACAGTTATTTGTATTATTTATTACAGGATTAGTGTCACGTAGATAATTCTGATTATGAATTTCTGCTAACTCCAGTGATTGAGCTTGCTGGAAGGCCGCATCTAGGGTTAAAGTACTATTTTCTAACAGTCTTTGACGTATTACAGGTGACACCAGTCCGCCTATGAAAGCGTCTCTTATGTATTCATTCATTCTGTTCTGCTGTAACTTTATGGAAGTTACATTCTTTCGACAATAGTTTAAGAGCTTGTATATATTGATGAACTGACTCACCGGATTGCTGATATCGCTTCATAAGACGATGTCTTGAATAGATTTCGTTTACAGGTTTTGTAAATAATTGATTTAATTTAAGAATCGCTGTAGTGTAGTTGTTACATTCTTTGATATGTGCATAAAGAATCGGCGATAAGTAATTGACGAGTACTTGGTATTGCTGCTCTGGAGTAATAGGATTATCCTTAGTATTTATAGCACTAATAAAATTCTCAAAAGTTTGTTTCCAATGTATCCATAGCGGAGATTGATCAATATTTGCTGACGGATCTGCATCGAATCTTTCGGGTCTTAGATACTTATCCATTATAGATTATAAGTAATTTTTAGTTTATTAAATTGATATGAATATAGTATTGAATTATTAATTAAAACTAGATTTACCCATTATTAGGCTTTAATAAACTAAAAATTGTACACGACTATTTGACAGATAAAATGTAACTAAAATCTTCTTCTTATATTTAATGGCTTCACGACAATATATATATTTAATTTAATTAAAGTTGTTTTACTTTTTTATTATGGACTTTATAGGCAACGGAACGGTATTAAAACATATTATCATTCTGCATTCTTTCTCTATAAAAACTATATGTATATTCTCTTTATATATTCGCGCCATTTTCGTAAAAAGGGTTATACAATTTTTGCTTTGCATATTAATATAAATGACTATTCGGATGAGAGACGACTGCATGCAACTGAAATGCGAATGTTGAGATGGATGTGTGGTGTGACGAGGATAGACAAGATAAAGAATGAATACATTAGAGGAAGTATGAAAGTGGCGCCGGTGTCGGAGAGGTTGAAGAGTAATCGTCTATCATGGTATGGACATGTAATGCGTAGGAATGAAGATCATATCCTAAGGACGGTGTTACATATGAATGTGGATGGTTATAAGGGTAGAGGAAGACTGAAAAAGAGATGGATGGACTGTGTGAAAGATGATATGGTGAGAAAGGGAGTAAATAACGGGATGACTGCGAACAGAGATGAATGGAAGAGAAAAACATATTACGACGACCACAAATAAATGGGATAAGAAAGAAGCAGATGATGATAGATGACTATTCTCTGGCTGAATACACGTCTGTCCGTCACATATAAAGAGGAAACATTAAATCACACAATTGACAGACATATCACATCAGTCTTGTGTAAATTCTAAATCATTTAAGTTAAATTCTATTTGTCAATATATAAATTTCGGAATGGTTTGCTAAAATATTATTTTAGAAGAAGCAAAATTCTGGGCGAATTGTGAGTATTGTTAAATTATTGACGTGTACTATGGATATACCATAGACTGATTTAATCTTATTGTGTTTTTATATTTGAGCCTAAATAAATTAGTGCTGATTGGTAGTTTGTATTCACACGTTTCGACTTCTAAAATGTTAACTTACAAGGATTATTTAAAAGAGCAACACGCAAGTTTCTTGCTTATTCTTCTTGTGATGACACAGCTTTCCGAATAAGCGGTAGATTTAAAAAAATGTTGACTATTCAAAAGTGCTTAAATTAAGTTTATTTGAATAAATGATTTTCTATTTCTATTCTATTCTATTTCATAAAGAATTGAAATTATGTTCATAAGATAAGACAGATTATATGAACGTTTTATAATGCACAAGTTTTCTTTAAACAAGTTTGTTTTAGAATTGTACGTGACTAAACGCGTTTACCGCTAAAAACAATCCAATTTATCTTGCTTCCTCAGTTTCAAGACACGATGCTTGATGTGAAGCCAAATCTCGAGGTCCTTGTCGTTAATATATCCAGTGACGTTCAGTTTTGCGGTCATTTGGAGGACAAGGCTAAAATAGCCTCAAACAAGTTAGGTGTGCTCAGTAGAGTGAGACAGTATTTCACGGCGGTTCATTGCTTGGAATTATACAAGGCGCAGATCCGGCCGCACATGAAATACTGTTCTCATCTCTGGGCGGAAGCACCACAATACCCGCTACTTCCATTTGACCGCATTCAGAACCGAGCAGCCAGAATCATTGGTAATCAACGTCTATGTGACAGACTCGACCCGTAAGTTCTGCGGCGAAATATTGCATCTCTGTGCATTTCTACCGCATATATCACGGGGAGTGTTCTGAGGAATTGTTCGGATTAATACCAGCTGCTGAGTTTCACCACCGTACCACCCGCCAGAAACTAAAATACCATCCTGATCATCTGGATGAATGGCGGTTCTCCACAGTGCGGTTTTCTAGAAACTTTTTGCCACGCACAACATTGTAGAATCACCTTCCAGCAATGGTATTTCCGAACCGATATTGAAATCTTCAAGAAAAGAGCTTATTTCTTCTTAAAAGGACGACAACGTACTTGCAATATCGCTGGTGTTGCGGGTGCTCATGGGCGGCGGTAATCACTTACCATCAGGTGAGCCGCATGCTCGTTAGTCCTCTGTGTTGTAATAATGTAATATAAAAAAATAATGAAATGGATTTCTTCAAAAACAAATTAACCAATTTAGTTTCAAATGTAAATTATAAAGAGCTTTACTGGAAAAACAAATTTTAAGTAATTGAGAAACTGAATATTAACATGACATACGTGTATCATAGTCTCATGGGTGCCTATGGGCCTGTACTCGTATATACTATTACATACTGTGATTATAGGCGGTGACACGGATTGGCTGTTCTTTTTATCTTGTAATTTTTTTTTTATTTTTTTTTTCCTTTTGATACTGTTATTGTAACTGATTTCGGTTTTTGTGAGCATTGAATATTGTAATTCATTCTATATATATTTATATTTGTGTATCCTAGATCTTATTTAATATATATTTTTTTGTGTTTAAATTATATGTATCTGTATGTAGTAAAAAACCCGCATCTTAGTTTTTTTTTTTATGAGTAATAATTTTTTTTATGAATAATTTTTTTATGCCTGAAAACCAGCGCTGTATAGGTCACCTCACTAAGGTTGTGCTTATATCAGCAACAGCTGAGGCAGCTCCTATTACCAACTTCCATGTTATTATTTATTTCTTGTTTTGTGTCTTATTGTAAATTGTATTATTTGTGTTATGTTGGCAATAAATCAATTATCTATCTATCTAGCTATCTATCTAACACCTAATGTAATAATATATATACGTTATTTTCTTTCATATTATCATTGCTTGGTTTCAGTACAACTTCATAACAAATAATTCTCTGCTACTGGTGCTGGTATGGAAGGTGGTGGGGGCATGGTGGCGGTGGTGCGGGGTCTGAAGGATGCAGGGCTGGCGGTTACTTTGCTGGATGGCGGGAGACAGTACACCCTCGTCCCAAATGGTAGTGAGATTCATCCTGTAGAAATCACTAAGGAGGCATTCATAAATTAAATTCAAATTCAAATTCAAAAATCATTTATTCATGTAGGACATTTTAGCCGCTTATGAACGTCAAGTTTTTACATTAGAATTTTTTTTCCCTACCGTCCAGTTCGGTGTATAGATCCAATTGAGAAGAACTGACAAGAAACTTAATTGAATTACTTTTTTTTTAAAAGTCAGTTTATTTATAATGCATAGGTATTTATATAGGTGTCTATGTCTAACATTAAATGAAAATCCCAAACATGAAAACTATTGCCATGCACGCTCGTCATTCAAGTAATCGTTTAGTGAGTAATAGGCCTTGCTCAGTAAATATGATTTAACAGATGTTTTGAATTTATTTAAGGGTAATTCCAATATATCCTTTGATATCTTATTGTAAAATTTTATACCTATTCCCATGAAAGACCTATTGACTTTTTCTAAACGATACTTTGGGAATTACGTGAGATGTTTAAGGGGGGGAGGGGGTCGAGTCAGATCTCATCTTATCTTACGTTGGAGAGAGGAGGGGTCTCGGCAAATATCACTGTTAGGAATAAATCAGTTTAATTGTTACAGTAGACGATTCTTAGAACTACTGAATATGCGTATAAAATTTCATAAAAATCTGTCAAGCCGTTTTGTAGGAGTATTGTAACTAACATTGAGACGAGAATTTTATATATAAGATACTAGCTACTCGCCCTGGTTTCGCCCGGGAGTACAATAACATATATCTTATATATAAAGTCACAGTTTTCGTTCCTATACTCCTCCGAAACGGCTTGACCGATTCTCATGAAATTTTGTGAGCGTATTGAGTAGGTATGAGAATCGGTCAACATCTATTTTTCATCCCCCTAAATGTTAGGGGTAGTCCAACCCTAATTTTTTTTTATTTTAAGGCAAAACAGCGTTTGCCGTGACAGCTATATATATAAACCATCCTCTAGAATCACTCTATCCATTAAAAAAAAACTAGTAGTTACTACTAGTAGTTTTAAAGATTTAAGCATACATAGGGACAGACAGACAGCGCCAGCGACTTTATTTTATACTATGTAATGATGTTTAATTGTTACAGTAGCCGGTTCCCAAGTTCCACCAAGTTCTTTTACTAACAAACAGATGACAACAGAATCTTACACTGACTCTACAGTACATTGTGATAATAGTGTTCAAGTGACTGATGGTAGATACACTAGTATGTATAAGGTAAGAATATTCCTTTATTTATATAACAGGATTTTTTTATGTTTCTAGCTATACCCGCGACCACGTTTGCTTGGAATTTAACAGAAAAGTTATTTAGTTTTTAAAATAAAAGTAGCCTAAGTTACTCCTTATTACATCAGCTACCTGCCAGTGAAAGTCCCGTCAAAATCGGTCTAGCCATTTTAGAGATTAGCCGGAACAAACAGACAGACGAAAATTGTAAAAAATGTTATTATGGTGTATGTACCGTATTTATATTCATATGCATGTAGTAAAAAACGGTTATTTAAATATTACAAACAGACACTCCAATTTTATTCATATGTGTAGATTATATTATAATGTAGATTAGTAGGTACTAAATTTTTTGTTAATGTTTGTGGGAAAATGAATTTATATATAAGTTTTTATCCAGACATCTCATTGCAACGTCACGCCATCTTCTCCATTCGTGGAGTTGACAGAGTTTCCACCACAGCGCGCTGAATTAAGTCCCGGTGAGTACCGTTTAATCTTGAAATTATCGCAAATAATAATATATTTCTTAATTATCATTACATTGTATAAAACAAAGTCGCTGTCGCTGTCTATCTCTATGTATGCTTAAATCTTTAGAACTACGCAACGGATTTTGAAGCGGTTTTTTTGATAGATAGAGTGATTCAAGAGGAAGGTTTATATGTATGTATAATATATGTACACCCATGCGAAACCAGGGTTGGTAGCTAGTTCATTATATAAAATAAAGTCGCTGTCGCTATCTGTCCCTATGTATGCTTAAATCTTTACAACTATGCAACGGATTTTGAAGCGGTTTTTTTGATAGAAAGAGTGATTCAAGAGGAAGGTTTATATATATAATACTGGTTAGGTAAGGCGTGTAGCTAGTTAGTAATATAGTTGATCAGATTTTAAGAAGAATAATTTTTGGTAATTAAAGCTGTTTAACAATCCTTTCTTACTTATTTTTCTTGTTTACTCTCGATCTGGTCAAGATCGGGAAGGCATTGGATGCGAGCAGCGCAGGACCGATCGTCGTGGAGATCTTTGGGGGAGGCCTATGTCCAGCAGTGGACGTCTTCCAGACTGAGATGATCATTATGACTCTCGATCCTTCGATAGATTGCAGTATTTTTTTTTAGGTTTTGGGCTATTAACAATAGCTAAGTCCTGTAGGGCTGCGACTTGCATATTCAAAGTTCGCTACCTAGACCCGTCAGAGACAAGAATTGAAGGATATTCTTAAGAAAGATGTTTTATCTCCTCAGGACAGAGTGTAAACTTTCCATAGGAAATATTTCGTTTAGGTATGAATGGGCTACAACCACATTACATTGCACTAGTGTATCCCACTTATACACATTGCACCAGCCGTGGTCACGAGACCTGATTTATGATTTATTATATTAATAATGTGTATTAAATAAGTTTAATTTACATACGTGTGTATTTGTATTTCTTTCTTTTATATAAAAAAACAAACAAAGAAGAAAATACAAATTGATATTGAATTGATTTTTGTACAGGTCATGGCAACTTTGTGGTTGGTGGTTCAGGCAGTGGAGAGACCTACTATACTCCAACTAAAGTTAATGGATTCTACCGAGGAGGCATGTCTTGGCCTGATAGAGGTACTCGTGCTCTTCTTTTTGATATACTTTAGAAGATAGATATATAGAATGTACTTTATTAATGAACTGGAAACAATCCTGATAAATTATTGGTGAATTTACCACGATCTCATAACTTCCTTGACTTCATGCTCATCTTATCATCCGCCACTGATGCTCCGACAGTGTAAACCGTTAGTGCAGGGTGTCATCATCATCATCGCAGCCCGGAAGACGTCCACTGCTGGACATAGGCCTCCCCCAAAGATCTCCACGACGATCGGTCCTGCGCTGCTCGCATCCAATGCCTTCCAGCGATCTTGACCAGATCGTCGGTCCACCTTGCTGGAGGCCTTCCCACGCTGCGGGGTGCAGGGTGTACCATTACATTATTATCCATAAGACAAAGTAATGAAAAGATATATATAATATATATATTAAATTGCTTGCATCTAATTCCAAACTTAGCAGAGTTTGTATTATGGGTACTAGACAACTGATATTTTTTTTTGTGAATATATATTTAATGTAAATAGACAACACCCAGAGCAATACAAACATTCATACTCACAAATATACATGCATCGCGCGAGGAATAGATCTCGGGAAGTAAAGCGGAGTGGTAAAGAATAGAATAGAATAGAAAATCGTTTATTTAAATAAACTTACATTGAAGCACTTTTTAATCTGCCGCTCATTCGGAAAGCTGTCTCATCACAAGAAGAACGAGCAAGAAATTTGTGTGTTGCTCTTTTAAATGATTTGATTCTTACTTTACAATTTAAGTTTAAGTGTGTGAATAGAAATAAACTTCTAGAACACCGAGTCCATCCACCTCTTATCAATCTCTTAATCTGTACCACATAGAGGAGAATATACTCTTGATTCCAGGATCAGTCTGCAGTCCAAGACCGTCGCGGGAACCTGATGCTTTTGCTAATTCCCTGAGGAAATATCCGTCCATATCTCCAGAGAGGTCTACGGAAATTATGGAGAGACTTATCACGTACACTCAAGCCAAAAACTGTAAGGTTTTTTTAGACAATTAAATGATATATAAGACAGTTATAACTCTAGAATATTTCTATTATATAAATAACAATGGAATGGCGTACCCGCCTGCGCTAACGGTTTACGCAGGTGATACACCAGTGGAGAATGATAAGAGCATGAGGTCAGGTCAGTTACATCGGGACAAATTCACCAAGAATTTATCATGATGGTTTTCAGGAGGAACCGCTAGGAGGTAAACCTGACATGGTACATTGCTAGCAATAAGATCATCAGTTCACATTACTAACAATCCCCTTTCACCCTCCAGAATAAATTAGAACTTCCTTCCTCGCATTGTCCTCAATTGTCAATGACGATCTCAATGATTATGGTGACAGTATTAAAAACCTGGGATTCACTTTGAGCGAACACAATCAAATAACGAGAACTCAGTATAAGGGTTTAAGGACTAAATGGCGTTATGTGAATTATCCAGAGTGATTTCACCGCATCATCATCATCATTATCATTTCAGGCAGAAGTCCACTACTGAACAAAGACTTCCCCCAAAAATTTCTATGACGATCGTTTGCATCCAACGCCTTCCAACGGTCTTGACGAAATCGTCGGTCCAGCTTGCTAGAGGTCTTCCCACTCTGCGTCTTCCGGTCCGCGGTCGCCACTTGAGGACTTTACTGCCCCAACGACCATTTGTCCTACGATCTATGTGCACTGCCCATTGCCACTTCTGTTTCGCAATTCTTCGGGCTATGTCAGTCACTTTGGTTCTTCTGCGAATCTCCCCATTTCTGATACGATCACGTAGAGAAACTCAGAGCATAGCCGTCTCTATTGCCCTCTGAGTACTCTAAGCTTATTTATGAAGGCCATAGTTAGTGATCACGTCTCTGCGCCGTAAGTCATCACTGTGATTATATAATAATAATAATCTCAGGACAATTCACACAGCGCCATCTAGACCCAATTTAAGCTAGCTAAACCTTGTGTTATATTTCACCGCGCAAACTTTGAAATATTCTTTCAGTGACCAAATCCCAGGGAAGATGTGTATCTCCGACTCGAAACCTCATTGATTCTGACACATCAAATCTGGTTGTATCTCAAAGGAATTGTAAAAACATATCATCAAGTAATCTTAGGAACTATGAAGATGTTAAGCCTACCTACAAATCTCAAAGGAATGAAGATATTACTAGTAAATTGTCACCAAGGGAAGCACCAACAAAAGAGAATACAAATAAAAGAGGTATGAATGAGTGTGGCAACGATTACAGAAGAAATGTTGGAAAGACAAACGACGTTAAACATGATGATGAAACGTCTAAACGAGCTGGTGATGAAATGAGAAACATGTTTTATGTTAGTATACAATTTTCTTTTCTTTATACCATGTCAAGTGATGGCATACGCCCATTAGTTGATGTAATCATCATCGCAGCCCGGAAGACGTCCACTGCTGGACATAGGCCTCCCCCAAAGATCTCCACGACGATCGGTCCTGCGTTGCATCCAATGCCTTCCAGCGATCTTGACCAGATCGTCGGTCCACCTTGCTGGAGGCCTTCCCACGCTGCGTCTTTCGGTCCGTGCAATATAATTGATGTAGTGCAATATAGAATTAAAATTAAATAACAATTTGAATTTATATATGTCTATATATTAATACGTGAATGTGTGTATGATTATCATTGTTTGAATACCACATGTTGTTTTTAAATGAATTTATAATAACAATAATAATAATTTCTATAAATAATTAAGTTAGTCTATACATATATATAAAATTGGAGTGTCTGTTTGTAATATTGTTATATATACACCAAAATATCATTTTTTACAATTTTTATTTGTTTGTCTGTTAGTTCCGGCTAACCTTTGAAATGGCTGGACCGATTTTGACGGGAGTTTTTTTGGCAGGTAGCTGATGTAATAAGGAGTAACTTAGGCTACCCGTGCGCAGCCGGGGCGAGTAGCTAGTAAATTATAACATAAAAAAAAATACGTTTACAAGCGGCTAATATGTCCTACAATACTATAAATTATTTTTTAATTTCAATTCATTAAATCTTGATATATAATTTGGGGGAGGCCTATGTCCAGCAGTGGACGTCTTCCGGGCTGCGATGATGATGATGATGATGATATATTTTGTTATGTTTCTTATCACTACGACTGATTTAATCTTATAGCATATTTATATTTGACCCAAAAAATTAGTGCTTGTTGGTAGTTTGTATTCACACGTTTCGACTTGTAAATGTAAACTTAAACGTAAATAATCCTTGTAGGATTATTTAAAAGAGCAACACACAAGTTTCTTGCTCGTTCTTCTTGTGATGAGACAGCTTTCCGAACGAGTGGTAGATAAAAAACAAATTGTTATGACTATTCACAAGTGCTTAAATTAAGTTTATTTGAATAAATGATTTTCTATTCTATTCTATTCTATTCTACCTTAAATTGCCTTAGATAACACGAGTGATGTAAAAATGAATGTGATTTCAGCCATATTCTGCACACTGTTATCCTGCCACTTATGCTGCATTCGACAGTTTTAAGCAGCAACGAAAACATAAGGCGAGTGTAAGTAACTATACTCATTTAAATCTACCACTAGGAGGAATGGTATTGTTAGTAATATGGGCTAATAACCCCATTATTAGCAATGTACCATCAGGTTGACCTCCACGCGGTTTCCCCTGGAAACCATCGTGATAAATTCCCGGTGAATTAACCACGATGGGCTGACTGACCTGACCTCATGCGCATTTTATCATCCTCCACTGGTGCCCTGCCAGGGTAAACCATTTTTTTAAATTATGATAATGAAATGGTACACCTGTGTGCTAACGGTTTACGCTGGCGGGGCACCAGTGAAGGATGCTAAGATGAGCATGAGGTCAGGTCAGTTACCACATCGTGACAAATTCACTAAGAATTTATTACAAGGGTACCGCGTGGAGGTCAGCTTGACATGGTACATTGCTAGCAATAAGATCATCAATCGACATTACTAACAATCACCGTTATCATCCATAAAAAAAACACAATTGTAGGGCAGAGTATTGTCAGTAATATGGGTTAATAACCCTATTGCTGCCAATGTACCACCCATGCCACTGTTTTAGGTTGACTGGAAGAGATCTCTTCTAGTGATAAGTCCACCTTTGCTCACATTATCTCTAAATTATAATATCATTGTATTATCTGTGCAATAAAGAATATAATCTAAATATATATAACTCAAAGGTGACTGACATAGTGATCTATCAACGCACAGCCCAAACCACTGGACGGATCGGGCTGAAATTTGGTATGCAGGTCATGACGTAGGCATCCGCTAAGAAAGGATTTTGATTAATTCTACCCCTGAGGGGAGAAATTAGGGGATGAAAGTTTATATGAAATTTTAAACCGATCGGGCTGAGACTTTTACTTGCGTAAAGCTACTATGACGTAGGCGTCCCCTAAGAAAGAATTTTGATTAATTCCACCCCTAAGGGGATAAATTAACGCGAGTGAAGCCGCGGGCAAAAGCTAGTACTTGATAAATATAATTTCTAAACTTGAATTGTTTCAGAATAGTAATTCTGTGAACATAGAAATACAAGGTAATTGTTACAAGGAGTAAGTTTTCTTTATTTATATTATGATTTTGTTTTTATGAATAATATTGATGGTCCTGCAGGTTGACTTCCAATGGTCAACTTCAACTTTAAATTCAAAAATCATTTATTTGTAGGACATTTTAGCCGCTTATGAAAGTAAATTTTTTTTATATTATATACAAATTTAAATTACGAAATCATTTATTCATGTAGGACATTTTTTTTATATTTTTTTTATATATAAATTTAAATTACAAAATTATTTATTCATGAATTATTCATTGTAATTATTCATTTTAGTCGCTTATGAACATAAAATTTTTTATATTGTACTTTTTTGCCCACCGCCCAGTTCGGTATAGATCCAATTAAGAAGAACTGGCATGAAACTCAATTGAATTACATGTGTGTGGATTCGTCGTGTGGAATCCTAGCACACTACAAACATATATTCATTAGTATAATTAGTGCTATTTTGAATTTGAATTGCATTTGAATAATAATAATAATAATTAAAATTAAAATTCAAAATATCTTCATTCATGTAGGTCTATTACAGACTCTTATGATATGTCAAATCTACCGTCAGTTCGGAATGATTTCGAGATGAGAAGAACTGACAAGAAACTCAGCTCGTATTCTATTCAAATGAACATCAATATATATTCATTTTTAAATTCAAATTACTGAGAATAGAGTTCAAATAACATATAATTGAATTAGTGCTAATTGGTAATTTGTATTCACACACTTAAACTCAAAAATGTAAAGTATAAAATTCTTTAAAAGAGCAACACGCAAGTTTCTTGCTCGTTCTTCTTGTGATGAGATAGCTTTCCGAATGAGCGGTAGATTAAAAAAATGTGATGACTATTCAAAAGTGCTTCAATGTAAGTTTATTTGAATAAATGATTTTCTATTCTATTCTATTCTTTCATTTGGCAGCGGCTGTGGAAATGGAGTCTAAGGAAATGGCCACAGTACCTCGAGCAGAGCCATTGAGAAGAACTGTAAGTTCTGTAATGATATTCGTTAATTCATTTCATCATCATCATCATCATCAACTCACAGCTGCAAGTATATTAATTAACACTCTGCACACCAGGCACATAACTGACGACCTAGTTTGTCTAGCGGTTTAGACACTTTACTTCTGATGGTCGCTAGTTCGATTCCTCGTGTGGGTGTTTTAGTTCCATTGAATGTTTTAATTCCATTCCTCTTTTTCGTGTATTAACACATCATACTTCAACAACATCCTTGTTATAGGTAGCTGTCCCCCTTACTCCGACATCCTCAGAAGCCATCAGAAAATCAGAAGGTGCAGTATCACATAAACTTTCCAATACGTTAATGGTTAAAAACAAATCTAAACCTGAAATAGACTATAATGCGAAGCATTTAAATTCGGCGGACACTTCCAGCTCTATAGAACTAGCAAACCATAGTTGCAATTATGAAAGTAATAGAAAAGCCAAATCTGATGAAGACTTGAGAAGAAAGAAGGATGTAGAAGAAGAGATTATTAAGTTATTGGAATATATAGCTAATGGTGAGCATAGTGACACTACAGCGAACTTACTAAGCGATGTATTAGATGATATGCAGATTAAATTTCAAAAGTTTACAAAAGATCTATCATCGACAACTCAGATAGAAAAGGTAAAGAATAAGGTTAGAAGACACGAGGATACACCTGATGGGATATCGTATAGTATTCATAATTTTAATGATGCTAAAGAAGTAGTAAAAAGACTTAAGCACAATAGATTTAAGAATCATAATGCGATGAAACTAAATAAATCTGAAATGAAATCCTTCAGGAAATCAAGTGAAAATATAGAATTAGAAGATATAGTAAAGAAATGGGTTGATGATTTACCATTTAAAGATCAAGATTTATTCGACAAACAAATAAGAAAATATAAACTTGATATATTTATGACGAGTTTATTAAAATTGATATCAAATAAGTGTAGAATAAATAGCCATTTAAAGACAGAAATATGTAGTCTGCTTAATGAAATGCCTTTTGAGATTAATGGTTGTAATAAAGGTAATTATTTATGTAAACAAGTAGATAATCTCATAAGCAGAATTAAGAATACCTCACGAAGTAATTTTGATGTAACAAATATAAAAAGAAGTAAAGAATTTGAAGATATTAAGATACCGGCTTCCAAATCCAACACACCGATACAATTAAACCATGAAATTATCAAGCAAATAGTAGTAAATGAACTTTATAGTTTCTTCCAAAAGTTTAATATTAAAATCAATACAAAACTTCTTATGGAAGTAGAATTTGTAATTACAAATATATTAATTAAAGCAATTAATAATAACGATAATATTAATAATATGAAAAAAGATCTAATGTCATATCTAAACAGCATGGAAGGAGTTTTCTTTAATAAAGGCACATATTTTATTAATTCTTTGTATGAACATTTAAAATATATTAATTATAAGGTTACTTCACAAACTACAGGAAGTAATAATAACATTCATAATTATGTGATATTACAAAACACAGTCAGTAACGCCAAGGAACAGAACACGTATACTGCTACACAATACAATAATGTAACTATGAACAAAAATTCATCTACGTCAGTCACCAATAAACATTCCAACTTAGATGCATATATGAATGAATTATGTTTCCAAATTGATGAATGGCTTACCATTTTGGATGTGCATATTCCACTAGCTAATGAAAGTATCTTTAGACAAGTCGCCGTTAAAGATTTAGCTGGTGATATAATAGATCGTTATAAATATTTAGAATTAAATCCATCAAGTCGTGTATCTGATAAAGAAGAACTAGAACAATTGAAATACCAGATATTCAAATGGATTAACAAATTGGTGGGAGAAAACAATACGGAAACAATAAAACACGCATCAGCATTAATGCAGCGAATACAGAATATACCTGTACCTGTGAATATCGTACAACTAAATTATAATGGAATTAATAACCTTAATAACAGCAAGGAGGAAGCTCCTTTCGGTAATAATGAATGTCCAAATTCAAATATTAGTAAAAGAGTTAATAAATCTGTTGATAGAGAAACAATTACACATTTGAACCAAGCAACCAGTACACATAATATAAAACCAAATCAAAAAACGGTAGGATCTGAATGTCAAAACATACAAGAAAAAAGTTATAATAATAAAACAAACCAAGCTCATGAAATTCCAGTATCTGCTTTGCAAGTACCATGTTGTCCAGATTCCAGCTCTTTACGACCTTCATCTCCATCATTGAAACAAATCAATGAGGATTATGACGTTTTTCTTAGGAACTGGATAAAAGGTATACCTGTAATAGCTTCAAGTGCCGAAGAGGCTGAGAAAGCTAAAATAGGCATATATAATGGCATTTGGAAAGCCATAACAAAACTTAAATTCGAACCAACAATATTTTATAATCAATTTTACTACGAGGATGTGTTAGAAAGGGAAATAGAAGAACTACTTAGTTGCTTGCCACAAACACCAGAGCTTTTATCTAAAAAGGAGTTACTGAAAGCAAAGCTTTTAGAAAAAACTACTAACACTAACCATTTTATTATGTCTACCGCTGCACCAAGTAGTTTTAAACAGCATCTCATAGAAAATGTGACGAATAATATTCGCGGCACTGTATCGACTAAAGATGATGATCCCAAGAAACTGTACGAGGATCTTCAAATAATAAGATTGGTTGAATACTACATACTCTGCACTAGATTCAAAGACGAAGATAAAGTGAAAACAATGGCTTACCGAAATAAGTTATTAAAGGAAGTCGAAGTATTAGTAAACAGTTTAAAGAAAACTCATGGAAAAGATCTTAAGGATATCAACCCGGACTTATATTTTAATGATATTTTGAATGCATTACTTAAAGTTTCTTTACCTAGTGATGACACAATAAAAGAAGAAGCTGACGAAATACAGTTGGGCCTTGATATTGAACAGTGGTTATCCGACTTACCCATGCAGCTAAATGATAGCTATTTGGAGCAATTGCAAAGAAAACGATTAAGAGAAGCTTTGGCAAAAAAGATTCATGAAATGCAAAAGAACACGCCAATAGATTGTTCCGCAGAAAGAGCACTTAAGCACGAGATATCAAAATTCTTGGAGAAGGTACCTTTACAGCAAGGTGAAAGTTTGAACATCAATTTCATGGTAGATGAACTTACAAATAGAATAAAGAATAGAGCAGCAGAACCAAATGTAAGAAAATCTGTGACATTTCAAGAAACGTCTTTCGCTCAGCCACAACAAAATCAGCATCATTATAATCCGTTTCCAAGTTTACAATCCAGACGACAGTCTATGTATGATAATGCAGTAACACCCAGAAATAGAAATAATTCTCAAGTTCAATTTGGCTCACATTCCAATAGTCTAATCCATGATATCCCACCATACTACGTTTTTGATAATGAAAGACCTGTTAGCTCTTCCTTCGATGTTGCCAACGACGAAGAACAGTGGTTAACATTACAAAACAGTCAGGAACCTTATAACCCATGTCTTAGAAATGAGTCACATATTCTTCCAAATTCTCAGACTTCACATTTACAGAATCGAGCACCAAATAACAAAGTTCTTAATGAAAGATCGTTTTATAATCAAAGGCCCGTACCTCAAACAAGTTCAAATCATATTACACAACACCAAAGTTTAAATCCAGAACGAAGTTCTAGAAATAATCAAATTCTTCATGACAGTACAGTTGGTAATGTAAATAACCAAGGTCGTGTTTCACAACCAGTAGTACCTGATATTCAAATTAATGAAGGAACTATATATGTTAATAAAAGTACGAAATATGAAATTCTATAATTAATTAAAAAACCAGCTATATAATTATATTTAATAATATCAGACACATATTTTATAATAACTATAATAATTTAATATTTCTAGAAAATATCAAGTATAATAAAAAATGATGGGAAATTATTAGTAAAAATGCAGACAAATCTCACAGAAACCATACATTTATTAATTTTTCAGAAAACAATGCTCAATTTCAAAGTCCTGCACCAAAAGAAATGCAATATCTAAATGCATACAACTCCTACAGACCTACAAATCAAAGACAAGTGTCTAATCAAACTGGAAATATTCCTGGTGGTATTTCTACCTACGGTCAACCACAAGGATTTTCCACACCTCAACAAGGTATTCCACAAGAATCACCTAAGGTAGCAAGAAAGAGACAACGGAGTCATAGAGCCTGCGAAAATATACAAGGTCGACGATTAGAACTTGAAGAAATGGATACAGATGAAGAGCTAGTTTGCCCGTGTATGGAATTTTTATGGCATTTCAGGGGAAGACCAATTTGTTCCTGTGAAGAAACTGAAACTGATTACCCTTGCTACTATCCTATGCGATATCCATTCTTCTATTAAAATTGTAGTTTTTTAATTGGTGACAAATATTGAATAATGGAGCAATAAGACATATGTATATTGGTTTACTTATATATTTTACAATAAAAACAACTAATGAATCAATACATTTTTTTTACTAAGTATCTTGTATCTTCTTATATTACTAAAATTTTTGCATGCCAAAACAATGGCGAAATATGTGGACAATTTTATTAATACTGATATTCTTTTAATATTAATACCATATTTCCTGCAAATAAATACATTTCATTTCATTTCATTTCATTTCATTTCATTTCATTTCATATCAATTACGATAATATTATCTATAAGCAATGCTACAGTAGCTAAGATCATCAGCATCAGTTCGCTGCAGACCATTTATTCACAATCGGTTTCTTTCAACTATAAATCAACTTTTGTTATATAATATATATTTTTTTATTATATATATTATTTGTTATTTGATATATATTAGCTTTTGCTACCGTAGTTATTGGTTCTAAATAGATTATAACAATCTACTACTTCAGTTTGGTAATTTATTCAGTTCTAGTCATTAACTAAGCAGAACTTGTGTTATGGGTACTAGACAATTGGTAGAAATACTTAAATACTATTTTATTTGTAAATACTACCCCCATGTCACTCTCTGAGAATATATCTTCATTTATAAGTAAAAGAAATTTGAAAATCAATTGTTTATTAAATTTATTCATAAGAAATATAAAATAAAATCTTCCCGCTTTACAATATTAGCTTACATTCATGAAATTAATATTATTGCTTCATTTTACAGCAACGTCGTTGGTAGCTGATGATCAATATAATTACTATGATGTGAGTTATGCAATACTCTCGTTAAAACATTGAAAATGTTAATACTTTTTCAGAAATTACTATCAAATGTTATAGAATTGTTATTCTGTTGCAGAAACCTCGTTTGTTGGAGAATACAAAACATAAACTGAATGTACATAACAATCAAGAACAAGAAAGTGCTGGAAAGTCAACCAATTTTAAATCGGTACAAACAGCATTTAGTTCAATAGATTTAAAACCAGAGAATTGTTTTCAGTGCTGTAGAACAAGCAAAACTAAATCTAATGAAATAGTAAATAAAAATGTAATAGAAACTTCAATACAAGAGGAGGTTTTAGAATGGTTTCAAGATTATTTTACAAGTAATACAAAAGCAGATGCATGGAAAGAGAAATTAAAAAGGTTAGCAGAAAAATTGTCATTTCCTGGCGGTGAAGAAAAGCTTAGAAAAAAGATAAGAAAATACTTAAACAGCCACATCTCAGAATGTAATAATATCAGAAAAGAATTTAGAGAAATATTACCCGATGATATAATAAAACAGTTAAGAAAGCTGTGCTGTAAAGCACAAAAAGGGAAACAGGCTGCTACTGTAAGAATACTTCGCATTGAAGTGCCAAAATGTTATAACCATATAGAAGAAAGTCGATTGAGAGCAGTTATAGAGAATTGGTTTGAGAGTATACCTATTAAGAAAACAGATACCTCTGGAAAAGTTATTAAAAGAGAAGATATATTAGACACAATAATATCTAAATTAGACTTTATCGTTCAAGATACAGCCAAATCTGAATACTTATATAACAATAAACTTAAATGTCATGTATTAGAAATGCTATATGATTTACCAGTTACATTAGACACAAATAATAAAGCTGCTGATTTGAATAAAATAGCCAAATCGTTAGTAGAAGCTATTATAAATATAAACGATAATGAAATATTAAATGGTATACACGATGGAAATCACGAGGAATCTTGCAAGTTTACTAGGAAATTGGTTAAAGTAGGGAATAAACATGAAACAATTGATAAAGATTGCGCTATTTTAGCAACTAAAGAGATTACTAAATTATTAGAAAATTGTAACTTAAATTTTAATGCTGAAGAAATACAGTATATTGTAAAAGAAATACTTAAAATTTTACAGAATACAACGAATTCAAAGTTTTATAATACTAATATTAAAGAGAAAATTCAAGATATATTACAAGGTATAGGTAACTTGCCAGTTTATCTGGCAATGCAAGTTGCAGACAAATTATTAATAAAGTTAAACGATTTTCTTTCTAACGAAAATATATGTACTACATCTACTAATATTTGCAAATCAGCTACAAATTTGGACTATCATAGTACATCCCAAAATGTCCTAAATTCTGGTAAAAGTGTTAGGTTAATTAATAGTAAGGAAAAGTTTGATAACGAATTTTTTGTAGTGATGTACAAATTCAGAATTATGGCAGAAATAAACGAATGGCTAATGAAAAATATTAATTCACCAATATTATCCAACCAAAATGTTCGTAACAAAGTAATTGAAGATTTCGCAGATGACATCATTGATAGAAAAAAATACTTAGATTTAATACAAATAAATAATGGTATGGAAGATGAATTGCAGCAACTCAAATATCAGATATTTAAATGGATTAATAAATTTGTTGGAGAAGATAATATTGAACCTTTAGAATATGCTTCTGAACTTTTGGAGCGAATAAATAGTCAATCCATAACGAAATTTCATACATTACCAATACTAAACACACGTCAAAACTACCAAGCAACAGGTAACGTACAAAATTTAGAAAAGGCGTCACAGTATATGATAAAACTAACTGATGTAATATCTGTTTGGTTTCATAATTTACCGAATGATCTCCACTTCTCTCAAAATAAAAATATGAGAAATATTTTGATTAATGATTTAGTGAAAGTTATTGATAAACTATTAAAAGCAAAAGGGATATCTGATGAAATAATTGACAATGAAGTTACTGCTTGGATAAATAAATCATTGCGAGGACTCCCAACAAGACCAGTAATAGAAAATTTAAAAGAGCAAATAAGAATTATTTTAAAGGAAGAAAAAATGTTAGATTGTCGAAAAGAAAGTATTTCTATCCGAAAATATGAAGATATAATCGATGAATGGATGAATAATATATCAGTAGAGCCACGAAATGGAGTTTTATATATTGACAGAAGAAATGAATGTGTACATGATTTAGCTGTCAAACTTTATAAACGGAAATTCAGATATGCACAAACACCAGAAGACATAATCACTAATGAATTGCAAGATGTCATTTCAAATTGGCTCCAGAAATTTCCATTGATTTTAGATAAAGATAAAATCACAGATCAATATACAGCAACATTTGTCAAGCGGATTCTGGATAGTAATGTTGACGAATCTATAAAAGTTATAGAAGATCTATCTTATATTGAGGCTAGACAATCAGAAATCGATTACAATATAGTTACTGATTTAACAGGTGATGAATTATTAGAAAGAAATATCAGATGCTGGATTGAAAAATTACAAATAGACAAGGAAGTTAATAATATTAGTTGTCAAAACACGTTTATTTCAAATTTGAAGCAACTTCACAGAACTGGTGAAGATGAGGAAAAGTTGAGAAATGAGATCGGTGATTTTCTTAACATGTTTACGTTATCTAGTGATAGTTTTGTGAATCAACAAAAGAAACTCTTGGAAATTCTCAGAGTTACACCGAAAGAGTACGTGCAAAAAAAATCTGGACAAAACATTAATATTATTTACGATGCCATTGAAGTCTGGAGTAAGAATTTGCCCTTGCGGTTTGAACATAGCCACAGAGATTTAAATTTCTTAATAAAACAAATGGCTACACGCCTCACAAAATTAATAACATATCCAAATCTCAATTTATGGGATGAAAATAAAATTAAATGTGAAATTATGGAATATTTACAAAAGTTTCCTTTACGGCTTGATGCTAATAATAAGAATCTCTTTAAATATGTTTTGGATCTATGGGAGATTTTAAAGAATATTGAATTTTATATGCGTAATAGTAATAATATGCCTAGTTTGGCGAACACAGGAAACGATAAAATAAGTAAACCAATAAATTTGAATGGAATTGAAAATTTAATAAATTTTAATAATAATCCAGTAATATATGCTAGTTTGAGCAATATAAAACAGAAACCAATCAATAAAAATAAATCAGATAATCAAATGTCAACTAGCAAAATGCCTATATTTGGCCCATCTGGATCAGGAGGCAGCCTGAAAGAATCACGAAAAAGAAAATCAGATAGAAAACTAAGTAGTCCAGCTGAATTAGGTGTTACTAATTCATCACAAAGTGTTGATAATTTTTGTCCAGATACTGCAGGTATTGAGCATCTACCTCAAGGTATGACAGTAAAAGAAGTATATGAATATTTTAGCAAAATTTTTAATAACAGATGTCAAGAAATACCTGTCGAAGCTTCAACGCCAGAACAAAATACATTAGCACAATTAGCGAAAAAAAGTATATATAACGGAATCTGGAAAACATTCTTTAAATTAAAATCGGATTCTGAAATTGAAAACGATTATTCATATTTTGAGTTATTATTTGAAGAACAACTTGACAAGATGTTGGACTGTTTACCACAAACATTGGAAATGCAAAAGAATAGACAATCTTGGAAAGGCAAAGTTTTAGTTGAAATTATTAACATGTTAAAGTATATACATAGTATTACTGATAGACCATCGTTTAGAGAGAAAATTTCAGAAAAAATTAATAGACAATTTATTGCACAATACTATTTAGAGGGCTCCGACATACTACAGCATTATTTTGTTACGAAAACTGCTGACGACTACATTCTTTATACAAAATATAAAGAAGAAAACCCTGTAAAATCGAACGTGTATAGACAACGTTTAATGAAAAGGTTAGAAGAATTGGTAGAGGAGATTAAGATAAAATATAATATACAATTTAGATATTTAAATCAAGCACAACTGTGCCGAATTGCTTTTGGAGTTTTAAAAAGTGTAGATCCACCTAACGATGAAACTTTAACAGAAGAAGCAAATGAAATATTACTAGACGAAGAAGTTGAAGATTGGTGCAACGCATTACCACTTAAACCAGTATTTAATGAAGCGGAGGGAATATTGAGGTGCAGAATGAGAGAACTATTAAGTAAAAAACTCTATCAAATGGAAAAAGAAATGGATCCAGAAGATTTATCTTATGAAAGAAATATGAAACATGAAGTATCTAAGTTTCTAGAAAAGTATGCAGCTTTGGATCATAATGAAGATTTAAATATAAATTTCATGGTCGAAGAACTTGCAAATAGACTAAGAAATAAAAGACAAGAGAAATATTTAGGCTATGAGTCATTTGAAAAAGACAAACCAGTGAGCTCTACTTTTATTCAAACTGATATAATTGAACCTTTGGCTGTACTAGTTGACATTGAACCTAAATATGACCTGACCGACCAAAACCTCCAAATGGTTACTCAAAACACAAGAGAAGCTCAGGATATTCCAGGTACTATACAAGAAATTCCTTCACAAAACCGCCGCCTAGGACTATTAGGGACAAGTCAAATAGCTGGACCAAGCAAACGGTCTTCACTTCTAAATAACAAAGAAGCAAATTCTCATAGTCTATCAAATTCATTTAATATGAGTGAGTTCGAATCAACAGAACAACCATATTCAAGAATTAGAAATCATGTTAACCGTAGTTGCTATTTAAGACAAGAAATCGATCAGTCTGACTCATGGAAAAATAAATTGAACTTTCAAAGAGTTCCAAAGGTTGGTGTAACACAATCTTACGCTCAAAGACTTGGTGAAAATGACATCCATATGTCCTACACCCCAGAAGTTCTTAGTACAGGATTTGCAAGAACACAATCTCCAAGTGGCAGAACAGCATCTACTGCGAGAATTGCTAATCAGGCATCGCCTCAACATGATTTAAAGTATGGAGATGAGCAAGAACAAGAGTCAGATGCAGATGAAGTGAGAATTAAATGCAGATGTATGGAACGTAAATGGAAATGTAGCAGAAGATTTCCTTGTAGACCTATTTCTGAGTGCGGACAACCTTGCTATCCCGTGCCTCCTTGCAGATATTTCTATTAAATCATTGTTTGTTAGTACTGCTTTTGTGTAAAATTGTGCATTGCTTGTTAATTTATGTGGTGTATACTTTATTTATTCATTTAAAAGTTTGACACGTATTAAAAATAATTGAATTGCATGATTTTTATTTAGATTGATAGATAAATCTTATATATAAAATTCTCGTCTCACAATGTTAGTTACTATACTCCTCCGAAACGGCTGGATGGATTTTTATATGCATATTTACTAAGTAGGTCTGAAAATCGGCTACTATTTTTCACACCCCTATGTGATAAGAATTGTACACCCTTAATATTTTTATTTAATTTTTTGATAAATTTTTATTACTTATAATGTGGCATTAAAAAGTACATACAAACCCAAATTTTCACCCTTCTACCATCAAACCCTATTTTTTAATACAATTTTAATTTATTAGGCAAAACAAACAGCAGTGGACGTCTTCCGGGCTGAGATGATGATGATGATGATGAGACAAAACAACGTTTGGGGGGTCAGCTAGTGATAGATAAATGTTTTATTACAATCAATCAATTACAAACGCATAGCATACATGAGATACAGAAATGTAGTACAAATTTAAAAGATTGAGGTGGTTTTGTGTCCCAAAGATGAAGAGAACAAACACAAACAAGCTACAGATAGATCTGCAGTGCTAATATTCCTAATCTTTGGCTCCTATAATTAAAGAAAAAAATGTATCAATCTACGTAGGTAGTTCTAGATATACTTGTAGATAAGCTACGATTATCACGCTGGTCAGATATCTCTGATGGGTTTTGTTTTGGTTTACATTTTCGCAAAAGTAGATTTGCTTTAACTTTTTTTTCACTACTTCGCATAGTGTAAAGTAAATAATGTAGAAATAAAAGACCATCCTTATGATTATTTTATAATATATTGAGACATTTACAATAACATTTTACACAGTATGATTAACGAACAGTATTATCTGAAATAAAATCCACTTGGATGCGGACAATGAATACCAGAACATTTAGTGCAACGTCTCAAATTTTCACAAGATTGGCAAGGTGTTTGCTTAACTTTTCTGCTCATGCTTTTTGTCAAAATGCGCTCTTTACAACGACACCTGACTTTTTCTTGTTTCCTCTTCCTCTCTCTTGTAAATGGATATTCTATATCTTCAGAGGGTATCTGATAGATCCTACCTCTCGATGAAGAACTGTCCCAAAATTCCACATCATCAGGAAAACGTGCAGACCATTCAGTGTTTTCATTATCATCACTTATATTAGGTACACCTTTAGATCTTTGTGTTTTATCATGATTTTTAGAACTTTTGGAATACTGGATATCTTCAAATGAATCTGGACGACTCATATGTTCTTGACGAAAAGATCTGCTGGTTCCTACCTCAGGATTTTCGATTGGAGATGAATTTTTTGACGCATCAGTTGATTTAAAACAAAGTTGACTAAAAGGTACACTTCGCTCTTTTCTCGTACAAAGTCGTTTAGGAGTAGATCGAATAGATATATCAGGTTGTTGGGCTAAGCATGCATGTTGGGACTGACATGAACTAGTTTGCTGCTGTATGGATACGCAGGGTGCTTTTGGAATTGACGGCGGTGGTAAAACAATACATGGGACAGGAGATAGAAATCGGTTTTGCCCTGTGGTCCATGAAACTTTATCAGGAATACTTGGAGGACCCTGTGAAGTGGAAGTACATGGTAGTCCATGACTTTGGAAAGAACTACATGGTTCCAAATGAGTACTACATGGAAATCTGTATTCTGAGCATTGCGTTGCTGATGTATTCCAAAAGTATTCTTTCACGATAATTTGAGGGAAAATTTCAACTTGGCTGCCAACTTCTTGAACGCAGGGTCTATCGCACGAGGTTGAGATTGTATGGGGTAATGTATTTAAAATTTTAGAGCAAGTTGGCACGATGTTCTTGGAATCTGATAACTCCGAGTTGTTTGGTCTCATTTCTGTTTGACTTCCAATATCTATAGAAAGTGGATCAACAGCTGCATCTTTACGATTGCTGCTTGCTGAAAATTCAAACCTCGATGGCGTGAAATTTCTTTCTCTTATCCTTTGCATATAGATTTTGTCTTCGGTACTTAGAGTACTGAGCGGGCATAAATGACAAATGCTCGTTTTTTGTGATGTATCTGACGATTTTTCGTTAGGGTCTGTTGTCGCCAATGATGGACCAACGTTTCTAGATAGTTCTGCACTTTGTAATTTACTTCTTAAATTATTTACCATATCTTCTATTTCCATTTTTTTATCGGAAATTAAGGGCAATTTCATTAACCATTTTTTTATTTCTTTCTGTGTTTTATCTTCGTGATTTATATCTGGGTTTACTTCCTGTTCCTTCTCAATATCGTGTAAACGTTTTGCTAAAATAGTCACAATTTTATTTCTTTTTAATAGTTCTGGACCTGAAGCTTGTAATAGAGGTAGTTCTTTAATCCAATCATTGACTACCCCTTTTAGTCTCACTTGCTGTATTTCAGACTTCATTGTTTCATCTCTGGGTATAGGAACTTTTTGCAAGGCGTTAAGTAGGTCTTGGTTTATCTTTGTTGGATCAATAGGAGTTGCTGGATGTCGTTTCAAATAATTGTTACAGAATCTATTAATTTCTTTTGCTATTCTATTTTTTAATTCCTGCTTTAGCCCGTCGCTCTCTGCAATATGGTGTAAATTGATGTAAGCATCTGCAAGACTATCTTTTAACATTTCAAAGGAAGCCTGCTCCTCTGATGAAAGGTCAAAAGACGGTAACGTATTCGATATAGCTTCACGTAGTTGATGTAAATAAGCCTTTCCTGCTAACTCTTCTAGAGTTTTTTCGCGTGCTTCTGTAATTTTTTCTAATAAATTTCTATTTATTTCTGATTTGGTATTTTCTAACTCTTGACTTGGCGGTAGAGTACTAAGTAAATTATCTATTTCATCTTGAATTACATCTTCATAGAGCATACTGTTATTAAATATTTCAGGGTTTATATTTATTTCGCCTACTTTATTAATTAATTTACTCGCAATATGTTGTTTTAATGTTTTAGTTCTTTCTTTATCTTCCAGGGTATTACCATTAGGAATGGGTAGATATTCACACCAATTCGCTATACTGTCATATAAAATATCAGCTGCTTTTTTGGGAACTTGTTTATTACTTGCACTACTACCGGGTTCACTAATTGAAGATAGTTGATGGATATTTGATGCTATATCTAACAATAGCTTCAGAAGCTCATCTACTTTATCGGATACAAATTTCTGATTCCTTTTCATTGATGCATCTATTGGAAACTTTAATAAATTGTTTTTAATTTCTTCCTTAATAATTAATGTATTTATATCATATTGTTGCCACAGGACTTTCAAGCGTGCGATTAATTCTTTTTTTAACCTATTGAACTCGATCTTTTCTGTAATTGTTATCTTTTTATTCATTGGAAGTGAATTAATCCAGTTATCGACAGTGGTTAAAAAAATATCTGTGCGTCTAAGGTCCATATCTGAAATATTACAAAATAATTCTAAATCTTTTAAATGGTGTAAAAGTTTTTCTGCTATATTACGTATGTATTCTTCATTTGTTTTATAATCCTGTTCCATAGGAAATTTCTGTAAATGTTTCATTATTTCTTTAAGAAGTCTTGTATTGACACCTTCTTTTAGTGAATCAACAGATTCAAGAATGTCTTTCAGTCCCTTAACAAGTTCCGAAGTCAAATTTTCTTGAATACGTTTCTCTTGAGAATTTCTATTTTGATATAGTGATTGTCCCTTTAACCAATCTAAGATACTACCGAGTAAATTTTCTTGAATAAATTGGCTGTTATCTTGTTTTAATATCCAACTATTGTCATGTATAAATCCTTTATTATTGAGTCTATTTTTTAATAAAGTTGTAATTTTCTTTAAATTTTCTTCGTCTATTTCATTTCCTATCACTTTGTTTACCCATTTAGAAATTTCATTATCAATTTTTCCTTCAATATTTTCTTGTCTAAGAAGTTGTGCTAAATTCTCGACTAGTTCTTCTATCAATTGTTTATGAAGACTGTCAGTTGACATAGGCAAACTTGATGATACATCTCCAAACCATAATGAAATCTCGTCTTGAAGGGCATCTAAATAGTTGGGAATCATTCCTTCCGCCAATTTTATTTCTTGGCGTTTTCCGAGTGATTTTACTAATTGAGGTACAGGAACATTATTTATAAGTCTTAAAAGATTACTTGTTTTAGTAATTATATCTGATAATGTAATAACATTTATTATTTTATTTAACCACCTAAACACTTGGTACTTTAGATGTTCTAACTCCTCTTTTTCCGATACTTTAGCTTCTGGATTCAGTTGTATATACTTTTGCCTATCAATTACGTCGTCGACTAAATTTTTTACCACAGTTTCTATAAAATAGTTTTTTCCATCTAAATTAATTTCAAGTCCACGTATCCACTTTCTTACAATATTGGTGAGCTCAGATTTGTATTGTTTTTCGTCATTGGTTTGTAGTTTTGCTGATAAAAAACTCTTTTCTGCGCTATCGTTGTTAACCGAAGATAAACTAGCTGTGTCACGTTTTGGAAATAATGATATTTCTCTCCTCACGGAAGCTCGAGGTGTGGATGTCGTGAAACCAACATTTTGTAAACGATTTCTAAGTTTATTAGCCAGTGCCTGTGGTGTTTTTGATATTATTGGTAAATTCTCTAAGAACTTAGAAACTTCACTTCTTACAACGTTATTGTTTCCATCCGGAGTTCTCTTTGAATCAGATACCATACCACAAATTTTTTTACTTAATTGTTCGATGGCTACTTTATTTTTCTTTGTGATATTATGGCTGTTACCAGTTATTTCTTCGATTAAATCAATTATTTGTTTCTTAATGCTATCTTCATATACTTCGTTTTGTAAAGGTGTTATTTCTTTTGGTGAAAAAGTTTCTTGAGTAAAACTAGAACCACTTTTAGTAGAATCGGACTTTGGAAAACTTAGTGGAAGTTCCTTTGCATATTCTATAAGCCTTTTAGATATATCATCGACTTCTTCTTTCGATAATTTTCCATCATGCAGAGTTTGATATATATGTTCTCTAGTGTTATCTTTCCCTCGCATTATTTCATTTGCCAAAATGTTTGCTAGACGCGATTCTATTTTATCTCTATTGGGCATAAAAATGCTGTATTCATCAAATATATCACTTATGTCTTCCTTAATAGATTCTTTTAGGTCGTTTTCTGATGATTTTGAATTCAATGATATTGGACTTCTTTTAGAACTTTTAGGTAGTTCCACAGCTTTAGTTTTATCTAAATCCATAAACATTTTTGATATACCAGAAATTCCAGATGGTGGTTCTTGTTTTGTTGTACCGTCTTTCACTTTATCTATGTTTTTTGCTATAACGTTGGATGTTTTATTTTCTACATCCTTTTTATTACTGTTGCCATTTTTTATATCATGTTCATTAAAAATTGCAGAAATTTCATTAATTTTGGATTGCTCACCATTGTCGAGTACTTTATTCCAACGTTTACGTCCTTTAGGAGTAGCTTTGATTCTGGACATAATATTGCCAATGAGATAATGTTTATTCGATATATTCACATCATTTATATCAGAGATATTATCTAAAAAATATCTTATTTGATCATGTACCTTTTTTTTACCATTATCAATTTCTGCCTGTGACTGTAATTTGGATATTTTTTTAGCTAATTGCTCCACCATATTTTTATTTTCAACATTGTTTTCTGTTTTCAAAATGTCTTTGAGTGAGCTCCAAATGTCTTCAGTTATTTGTTCCTCATAATCCGAGGTACTTTTGCTCTGTTTTGGTGTTTCTATAGATTTAATTTTATTCACATATTTATCTTCTAGGTTCATAAGATTCTTTGGGTTATTGCTTTGAGCCGCCGAATTTAACCATTCAGTTATTTCATTTTGTAGTAAATCTGGATCATTTATATCTTTCAGTTTACGAACTAAACTTTCTATCATTCCATTAGTATCATCATTATTCATTAGTTCTGGTATATCCTCCAACCACTCACCTATTTGTTTTCTTAAATTATTTTGGGAGTCATCTATATAAATATTTTTTTTACTTATCTTCTCTGGTAAAGATATTTCTAAACCATCTAACTTTTCCATCAACTTTTTTAATAATTGATTTCTGCTTTCTGTATCTACGTAACTACGGTTCGTATTTGTAAAAAATTCCAACCAATCTCTAATTTCATCTTGCATTTTTTGTTGTATTGCTTTATTGTCGGTCCCTTGCATCTGTAATTTATGAAGTTTCTCAGCAAGCTTCCCCACCATCTTTTTATTTTCTTCAATATTGGACGCACTACCACTAGATTCTGGAATATCCTTAAGCCAATCAAAAATTTGCATTTGCAATTCATCTTCTACGGACTTACTAGGTTGCGCTCTCTTAGTTTCACTAACCGGAATATTTTTTAGTTTCTCAGCTAGCTTATCCGCCAAATTGTCAATAAACACAGTTTTATTTCCATCTATTTTAAGAGGTAATTCGCCAAGGATATCAGTTATTTCATTTTTTAGAACATCATGATAATCATTGTTATTTGAATGTCGACCCAAAACTACAGATTTTAATCTTTTCGTAAGTATATCCTTAATTTTTCTTATATCGATAACTTGTCCTTGACTATCTTTACTTTCAAATTCGATTTTATCAAGCACCTTAATTATTTCTTTATCAAAATTATCGCTATCCCTGTCAAATTCATTCTTTTTACATTTTTCATAACTTTTTACATTTAAACTACGTAATTTATCAAACAGATTGTCAGCAAGTCTTTCTTTAAATTTATGGACCTCATGCTCATCCTCAGGGCTCCACATGGGAAGGCTATCCATACATTTTCTAATCTCATACCTAATTTTATCATCGACATCATCTGAATGGGATTCCTTCAATTGTTTTATTGTGTTTACTAAATTTTCCAGTATTTCTTCTCTTTTCATTTTAGCTTCTAAACTCATACTGGCGTAAACTGGTACACTTTGTAACCATTCGTTGACGATTCGTTTTAATTTTCCATCAATATTATCGAATGACTCTTGTGTATCAGTATTTGGTACTAATTCAGTTGTCACTTTATCACAGGGTTTGCAGCAATAACTTGATTTGTGTGACGATGGATCAATAGCTATTCCCTTCTGTAACAAAAAACAAGTATTACAAAAGTGCATAAATTTAAGTTTATTTGAATAATGAAATAGAAATAGAAATAATCTTTATCCAAATAAACTTAATATAAGCACTTTTGAATAGTCAAATTTTAATTCTACCGCTCATTCGGAATGCAGACTCATTATAAGAAGAATGAGTAAGAAACATGCGTATTGCTCTTTTTAATAAATATTTATTTAATTATATTTACATTACACACAAGGATTAGGCATGCGACAATCAACACAGAAACCGCTACGCACTTAATCTCTGTTCAATCAGATAACATTGTCAGCGCTATGAATTTTAAGTTTGATATTTTCTACAAAAACATTATTATCATTAATTTTTAATGGATTTTCTATTCTAATCTTATTCTTACTTAGAATCGGACTTAAAAGACTGAAAAGAAACTTATGAAATGAATTGTAACTCACCGCTTCTTGAGATACATGCTTTTTGTAGTGCATTCTCTGGTGGTGACTGTATCGACTTTGGATTTGGGGACATACCTGTAAACACAACAAAACAATTACTATATGTTCTTGTTAGGGAAAATACTCTCTGCTACCAAAATGTTAGGGAATTTACTATGTAAATTAAAATATGTGGAAGCGTCGGTCACGTACCTGTATGGTTCTGCGGATTTCTTGGGCTTCAGGGTCTCGAAGATATCTTCGCTAGCTTTCCAGTTTCACAGTAGGTTTCACAGTTCTAATTTATTTTAATTCACAACACAATGCGCGCGCGTCATGGCCGCCGTACAGTCGGTTCAGTACTGGGTAAGGGAGGGGAACGAAAGGCGCGGGAACAGAAAACTAACGGACTCTAATATAATAATCTGTGCTTACGATGATACAGGGTAGATTTTGAACATTCTTATTAGTTGACCCGCGCAACTTCGTCTGCGTTTCATTTCCCCACCTTTTGTAATATTTTTCATTGCAGCTCGGCTCCTATTGGTCGTAGCGTAATGTTATATAGCTTAAAGCCTTCCTCGACAAATGGACTATCCACAAAAAGAATTTTTCAATTTGAACCATTACAAGTGAAAGTTGAAAAGTTCAAACAAACAAACATAGGATATATTTTTTATTGAAATTTATACATTTAAGGGCAGAAGTAGTAATAAATAATTCGATAATATTTTCATTCAGGTTATATAAAAAAACAAACTTACAACTGATCTATCTTCGCAGATCTGCCGTATTGTCTCCTTCAGGCATTTGGTGACGTCACTCAAATATCTTACTTCAGCAGACCTCGTGTACTGATGAGAAGATGCCGACCTCAAATAGTCGTAAGTTTCGTTCAATTTATTGTCTTTATACCTAAATAAAGAAAATTATAATCTTATTTATTTACTAGCTGTTCTCGCGACTTCGTCCGCGTGGAATTTAACTTTATTTTTCTAAATTAAAAGTATCCTAAGTTACTCCCTATTACATCAGCTACCTGCCAATAAAAGTCCGGTCAAAATCGGTCCAGCCATTTCAGAGATTAGCCGGAACAAATAGACAAGCAGACAGACAGACAAAAATTGTAAAAAGTGGTTTTTTGGTGTATGTACCGTACTTATATTCATATGCATGTAGTAAAAAACGGTTATTTCAATATTAAAGTCCGGATCGCTGTCTGTCCGTCCCTAGGTACCTATGCTTAAATCTTTAAAACTACGCAACGGATTTTGAACCGGTTTTTTTAATAGATAGAGTGATTCAAGAGGAAGGTTTATATAATACGTGTACACCCGGGCGAAGACTGGGCGAGTAGCTATTAAAATGTAATTTATAAAATTCCTACATTGTCGTCCGTCTTTGGGGCCGAAGGGGAGGGGAGGGGGGGAGGGGTTTGACAAAAGTAACGAAATATCACAAGGGGAGAGGGGGGTCTAGTACGACATCACGTGTATTTATTTTATGCCAATTAAAGACAATCTGCAACCTTTCTTTTGTGATTTTTATTTGTTAGCATTTATATAATAAAACTAAAATTATGTAATTTTTTATATAATAAAACTGAAATTATGTAATTTGTGGAGATGAAATAAAAAATTTATTATTATTATTATTATTATTATTTATTTTTTCTCAGCTATTGCTGGTTTTCTCCACACTTACGGGCCGAAACCAAGTAAGTGCAGTGTGTGTGTATGTGTGTGTGCGCGTGTGTGTATGTGTGAGTGTGTGTGTACTAATATTATTATTATTATTATATTTCTGTCTAGACATTTTCATCATGTCCTTTCCTTTATTTCGTCCATGCCGTCCTTCATTTCGGAATAAAATAAGATTATTCTTTTTTATTCATTTTATTATACGTATACCTTATACGTATTTAAATATAATATTCTCAACATTTTAAGATTCTTTGTGTTCTAAAAATATACGTTATGTTGGGTGGGTGAGGGGGGGGGGGGTAGTTTAAAACCTCACCACGAATCACCAAGGGGGAGGGGGGTCCAAAAATGCTTAAAAAAAGATCACGTGATTCATGGACGGTCCCTTTGTGGCTGTCGTATTCGTGTCTCGTCAATTCTTCTGTCTGTGCTAGTTACGTCTTATAATGCTACGTTTACATTCAGCCGCTTCCCCTGCCACTCGCGCTGCCGGAAATTTTGCCGGGCGACAACTGAGCGAGAGGGGGGGAAAGGGAATTGCTAGTAATGTGGATTGATAACCCCATTGCCCCCAGCAATTGAAGGGGATTGTTAGCAATGGGAACTAGTAACTCCCATTGCTAACAATGTACCATATTAGGTCGACCTCCACGTGGTTCCCCCTCGCAACCATCGTGATAAATTCTTAGTGAATTTGTCACGATGGGCTACCTGACCTGACCTCATGCTCATCTTATCATCCTCCACTGGTGCCCCGCCAGCGGATACCGTTAGCGCAGGCGGGTGCACCATTCCATTATCATAAAAAAAACTGCGCGAGAGGGCTGAATGTAAAAACACGCTGTCACTCGCGCTGCCAGTCCTTTGACTCGCACGAAAAACCGACAATCGAGGGAGCGTCGGGCAGCGCGAGTGGCAGCGCCAATGGCATGGGAAGTGTTTCCACTCGTGTTTCCACTCTCGCGCTGCTCACTTCCCTGCCCACTCGGGCTGAGTGTAAATTGAGCATTATAAACGGCCAGCAAGCAGTCCTGTCAAACGATACCGCAACACATACCTCACACTCCTTTCCTTTAACGGAGATCTCTTCTTACTTCTAGATATTTGCTGTCCACATTTATCAACAGCAGGAACCTGTTCCTTCATCTCTTTCACTCTCATGTAAGTCTGTACACCTTTAGATACTCTATATTGTACATTGGTTGGTTTTGGATTCACTTTATCTCGAAGCTTGTGCATACTTTTTGCACGACCGGATGTTTTGATGGCTATAATTGATATGAAATTAGTGCTAGCTGGTAACTTGTGTTCACACATTGTAACGACATCATTACATAGTATAAAAAAAAGTCGCTGTCGCTGTCCGTCCGTCCCTGTGTATGCTTAAAAAGGTCAATAAAAAAGTCCGCGATGGTATATATATGTCTATCTCCTAATGATAACTCAACATAACAATTTTGAGATATATTTATGTACAAATGTATTTGTATATATTTATGTTCATTACATGTACCACCTACCCCTGTCTTATCTTAATGTTACTTTCTCTACCCAAGGGTAGTTTGGAAGAGATTGTTTAGCGATAACACCGTCTTTTGTATCAGTTTATGTAATGTAATGTAATGTAGACGACCTCGGTGGTCCAGCGGTCTAGTACACCGCTTTACGACCGATGGTCGCGGGTTCAAAAAAAAAAAAAAATCTATGTATTTCTATCAGTTACCTAGTACCCATAACACAAGCTTTAGCTAGCTTAACTTGGGTCTAGGTGGCGCTGTGTGAATTGTCCTAAGATTATTATTATTATTATTATTAATACATCATTTTGTGTGTTTTCTTTGTCTGGTGCAATAAAGAGTTTAAATAAATAAATAAATTTTTTATCCTTTGCATTGTACGGGAAAAAATGGTTTATTTACGAAGTGATTTTAAGCAAGCGTTACATACATTGTCCATTTAATATAGATCGATATGGCAATTACAGCATGTAATTTAAATGGATATTTCCGAAGATATTACAGATTTAAAATGCAACTCTCAACAAAACATGTTTGTACTGTCTAATGACAAAAAAGCTGAAAATGTTGTTTAAAAGGACATTCTGCAGTAGGTTAGTTAGTATTTAGTATCAGCATTGTACCTGAGCGAAGCTGGGGCGGGTCGTATAAATCGGTCGGTATAAATATATAATCTTTATTAAACTTACACTTAAATACATTTACAGACCAAACCATTTTAATCTTCCATTATTATAATTCAATTTTATTTTTGAACAATATAAAGATTTATATTTATAACAACGTCTGTTCATTACACGGCACTCTGATCAACCAGCAGCGCGACCAGCGGGGTCCGTCCGGAGGACACCGACAATACCCGAACGGAGCCGACCGCCACTTGTACGGCGGCAAAGTTACACTTTATTTTATAATCTTGTAAAGAATCAGCAATTAAACTATTTATCATATCAACATTTGTATTATTGGAGCTGCTGAAGCTCCAACAACGTCTGTTTGTATTTCTCTGACTGTTCTATGTATTTAGGGTATAAAAGTATTTAGGTATATTAATTAGTAATAATGTTAATAAAGGAGTGCTTATCTCTAAAAGAGATCTCTCTCATTTCTGTGTACACATCATAATTATTTAATATTTTGTTTTATTTTACAATGACCCTGAACATAAGGTTCCAAGTTTGTAACAACTTTTGAATAAATGCTACCAGTGCAATAAAGTATATAAAATTAATTAGTTTTAATTTGATTTTTTAATATATTAACCATTCTTGGCTTCCGTGTAGGCTATCAGCTTGCAGACCAGGTCAGACGAAGGTGTTCCAACGGGAGACAGGCTCGGGTACCTCCGCAGCGAGTGTACAAACGCGTCAGTACTTCGAGAACAGCTGGCCACCTCTATACAATTATGAGAAGATTATATATATTATTAATTATATTACTAGCTGTACATGCGACTTCGTCCGTGTGGAATTAAACTTTATTTTTCTAAAATAAAAGTAACCTAAGTTACTCTTTATTACATCTGCTCCCTGCCAATAAAGGTCTCGTCAAAATCGGTTCAATCATTGAGATTAGCCGGAACAAACAGACAGATAGACAAAAATTGTAAAAAATGTTATTTTGGTGTATGTACCGTATTTATATTCATATGCATGTAGTAAAAAACGGTTATTTCAATATTACAAACATACACTCCAATTTTATTTATATGTATGGATTATGTTTCATTCTCATTAATAAATATATAAATAAAAAATGTCCCTCAAAATTAAAAATGGGTTAAAAATACCTTGATTGGTATATGTGAAACTATTTCTGGGTAGTTGTGTTGTTTTCAGTCTGTGAGGATATTCTTGAACAGTTTGCCAGCGGACATCGAAGTTGCCGTGATCTGAAAAATACAAAAAACAAGGCAAAAATACAAATCAAATGTCAAAACAAAAATATTCCACGTCTTATTTCATAATTGTTTGTTGTTGTCTCAAGTATAACAACAACAAATAAGGCAAAGATACAAATCAAATATCAAAATAATAATACAAAAATATTCCAGGTCTTATTTCAAAAGTTTTTGTTGTCACAAATATAACAACAAAAAAACAAATCAATGATCAAAATAATAATACAAAAATATTCCCGGTCTTATTTCAAAAGATTTTGTTGTCTCAAATATAACAACAAAAAATACAAATCAATGATCAAAATAATAATACAAAAATATTCCCGGTCTTATTTCAAAAGTTTTTGTTGTCTCAAATATACAAATCAATGATCAAAATAATAATAAGTCTTATTTCATAAATTTTTGTTGTCTCAAATATAACAACAAAAAATAAGACAAAAATCAAATATAACAAAACAAAAATATTCCACGTGTTATTTAAAGTGTTTGTTATTATATATAAAAAAAGTACCTAATTCAATTGAGTTTCTTGTCAGTTGTTCAATTTCATACCGAACTGGACGGTAAAAAAATAAAATTATAATGTTTGACGTTCATAAGCGGCTAAAATGTCCTACATGAATAAATGATTTTTGAATTTGAATTTGAATTTGAATTAAAATCAAATATCACAAATTTATATGCACACTAACTAATCAGGCAAACGTTGTTTTGTCATACAAATTATTTCTATTTATTATATTCTATTAGAAAAAACTGTACTTCACGAGCAAGTGTGTTGAAAATATAAAAATAACTAGCATTTGTCCGCGGCTTCGCTCGCGTTAATTTATCCCCTTAGGGGTGGAAATTATCAAAACCCTTTCTTAGGCGATGCCTACGTCATAGTAGCTTTATGTATGCAAAGTCTCAGCCCGATCCGTTTAAAATTGACAAAGTTCCATACAAACTTTCATCCCCTATTTTATCCCCTTGGGGGTAGAATTAATCAAAAGCCTTTCTTAGCGGATGCCTACGTCATAACATCTACCTGCATGCCAAATTTCAGCGCGATCCGTCCAGTGGTTTGGGCTGTGCGTTGATAGATCACTATGTCAGTCACCTTTGAGTTATATATATTTAGATATGGATACTAACTTATATAACGTTCTTGTTTCTGCAGAGGAAACTCTGGTAGGTGTACAGCAGGAGAGGTAGGCTTCATGCTGCAGTGTGCCAACTGCAGAGAAATGGTACAGTGTGGTGTATTTTACAAACATACTAGGTGACAAGCGCAACTTTGTCTGCATCACACTTACATAAATAAGTAATTAACCATTAGTAATCATTACTAATATTATAAATGCAAAAGTAATTCTCTTTTTCTGTCTGTCTGTCTCGCTTTCACGCCAAAACTACTTAACAGATTTAAATGAAATTTAGTATACAGATAGTCTAGACCCTGAGAAGGCTACTTTTGACGAAAAAAGGGTTGTAGGGGGTTGAAAGAGGAGATGAAATGTTGTATGGAATAATCATTTTTTACGATTGAAAATTTTTTTTTTATACTACGATGGTGGCAATTAAGCATACGGTCCATCTGATGGTAAATGGTTACGTAGCCTATGAGCGCCTTAAAAACTTATTTTTAGGCTGTTGATTAAATATAAATAAATATGATATTCAAAGTTATATAAATTTCATCCTTACTAGGGTAAAATAAAATGGGGGATGAAATGGAAATAGTTAAGGAAGTGGACCTAATAGGTTATCTATACATATAAATAAAATTGGAGCGTCTGTTTGTAAGATTGAAATAATTTTTTACTACATGCATATGAATATAAAAACGATACATACACCAAAATAACATTTTTTTTTAATTTTGTCTGTCCGTCTGTCTGTTTGTTCCGGCTAATCTCTGAATTGGCTGGACCGATTTTGACGGGACTTTTATTGGCAGGTAGCTGATGTAATAAGGAGTAACTTAGGCTACCTTTATTTTAGAAGAATAAAGTTATATTCCACGCGAACCAACACGCGGGCACAGCTAGTCATCCATAAATTATGTTGACACGGTCGCTGGTTACCACTTGCATCATTGCACTCATCATTGCCTTGCCTTTATCCCATTATTTGTGGTCAGCGCAGTATGTCATTCTCTTCCACTGCTCTCTATCGGTCGTCATATCTGAACATACTCTTCTTTTATTCATATCATCTTTCACACAATCCATCCATCTTTTCTTAGGGCGTCCCCTCCCTTTACATCCATCCACATTCATATTATACACTTTCCTTAAGATATGGTCCTCGTTCCTCCACATAACATGACCATACCAGCTTAATCTGTTACCTCGCAACTCGTCTATAACTGGCGCAACTTTCAAACTTCCTCGTATATACACATTCCTTATACTCGTATATACCTGATGGTAAGTGATTACCTCCGCCCATGAGCACCCGCAACACCAACGGTGGTGCGGCGGTGGCTATGATCTAGCCTTCTTCGATGGACTATATTGTTGTATAGGAAACTGGCTGGTCGTATATGAATGACTTACCCTACTTCAATGTGCTTGTTCTTCAGTGGGCCCACACGGTTACGGGAATCTCAGGAATTCACTCAGGTTGATTACAACTATTAAACATGCGTGCGATATTCGTGCGCGCGCGGCGAAAGCTATGACATCACTGATTATTGAATTAGCCGGGAGGGGTGTCAATGCACATCAACAAACCTGGTACGCATCGCGTTTGGCGTAACCATGCCCCCCGCCTTGACATAATGTCAAAGTAAAATTAACAAAAAAAATAAAGGAACTACATAATTGAACCTTATTGCGAATGCGACAAATACAAAAAACAAGAAAGAAAAAATACAAAAAATATCAAATGCGGAATTTACTAAATAAGAAAAATGCAAAGGATTTTAACTTAACTTATTAACCTATTATAAATGCGTACTACCTATCTTATAGAATACATATTATTGCAAAGGCAATGGACATATGCGGTGCGTTAGGAGGGATAAGGATCCATTTAATTCCATTGTTAGCTAATTCTTTATCCCAAACAGATCTACATTCTTGCGATAAAAACAAATAAAGTTCACGTAGGTAGGATCGTGCCCCTATAAAATTAGTACCATGATCCGTATACATGCATTGAATAGGACCGCGGCGAGCGAGAAAACGTTTTAACGCGGCGAGAAAACAAACTGTACTCAATTCACTTGCGAGCTCAATATGAACAGCCCGAGTGGTTAAGCACGTGAATAAGCAAACGTATGCTTTGCGAGTGGTTATACCACGACCGCGATAAGGGGTTACAAAAAACGGACCTGCGAAATCACAGCCACAATGGACAAAGGCTTTAGGAACTTCCTTCACCCTTAGTGCAGGCAGATCACCCATCGGTGGGAATGTAGGACGCGGTTTATTGCGGAAACAAATATTACAATTAGCTACGACCATACGTTGCGAGAATCCAATATTTAGTTATATATATGTATGCAGGTTTTTACGATGAAAGTGTGTTACAATTAATTGAACTATATGATCTCTGCCCGGAAGTAATATAGGGTGTTTATAATCGAAATCTTCATCAGAATGAGTCAGACGACCACCAACTCTTAAGAGATTGTCTGATAAAAATGGATTTAATTTAATTATTGATGCGGTACAAGGTTTTTTATTATTTAACTTGCTAATATCGTTTTTAAAATGTGTGTGTGCAGCGGGCACAGCGCGAATAATTATACGTTCGGCGAAATCCAAATCGGAACTGGATATGACGCCGCGTGGAAGAATATTAGCGAACTTATAAATATAACAAATTACACGAAGTAATTTCATCCATGACGAAAATTTGCGAGCGAGCGAATATAAATAAGGTTCCATAGAATCTTCAATGGTAACCAGTGCGATAGGGTTTTTATTTCCTTCATGCTAACTGAGATACAATACGTAACGCTAAGTGTGCAACGTAAGCCAAATGCAACTTTATTAAATTCAAAGACTTGGAGCGGTTTATTAGGACTAAATCTATATACAATACGTTGAAAACAACGATCTTGCGGGCGAACTTTTATTCGTAAATACATTTGTCGCACATCAGCTGAGATGGCGACTGCGAACAATCTCATATTCAAGAGAATAATAAATAAATCCTGTTGTAAGGAAGGACCTGTATGTAGAATATCATTAAGCGAAAATCCAGTACTAGACTTCGCGCTTGCGTCTAGTACCGGCCTTATTTTCGTGGACACTTTGTCTCACGTAAGACTGCGTGATGCGGTATAAAATAACTAGGGCTGTTATTTTCAATTACGTCTACGGGAGAAATATATTGTTTTTCTATATATTCATGAATTACCTCATCATAAAGGTATTTCAGTTGCGGTTTCGATGCGAATTTACGTTCCAAATGATAAAATCTGCGTTTAGCGATATCGAAAGAGGTCCCTAAAGACTTAGAACTATACTTAAATGGTAAAGCGACTTCGTAGTGACCTGATTCGTTACGAGTGGTCGTTGTGGTAAAAATCTTCACAGTATTTATCGTCTATACTTGTTATTGGTTTGCGATCTACTTCTTCAATCTCCCAAAATTTGCGAATTAATACTGAACCCTCGCACGAAGTGGTGGAACAGAACGAGAATGAAGAAGACGTAGAAGTTAAGGTGGGAGCTTCACCTAAAATAAGATAACCGAGAACAGTCTCCAACGCGTTTGGAGTACCAGGTGAATTTATAATTTTACCTCCAGACAAAAGGGTCGCGAATAGATTGACACCAATCAAAAGGTCAATTTCTGATGGTGTTCCCCACGTATCATCTGCGAGCGGAATATTAGTTAAGTAACTGAGCGCGCCAACATCAATTTGACATGTTGGTAAGTTACCTGTTATTTTATTCAAAACTAAAGCGCGAATATTATAATATTGCTCATGATTAAATCTCGATCGGAAAGAGAGATCAACTGCACCCTTAACTGGTTCAGTGGCGCCACCTATACCCTTAACGGTGGTATGTGCGTCCGGCTGCATGGTTAAACCCAATTTTAAACAACACTTAGAAGTAATATAATGCTTTTGTGACCCGGGGTCCAATAAGCAGCGAATGACAACATCACTCCCATTACGAGCAGTAGCAAATACCTTGGCAGTAGCAAGTACTTCAGTCACATACGGCTGCTCATGAATGGACGATGAAAGCGTGCATAACGACTCCTTGTCTCCTGTTGATTAAATATAAATACCAGTGGTGGTTCCAATAGGAACGGGAGTTGGTTCTAATCGTGTCTGTTGTGTGGGTTGTGTGTGCGCAAGCGGAGGCAATTGCGACGAAGAAGATGGTGGTAATTGGCGACCGTGCGTAGAAGATGTCTGTGCGTTTTTCGTATGAGATACTTGCGTAGGTGCGGAATTATTATTTTTAAAACAAAGCAACGTATGATGTCTCGGATTGTTACAATTTCGACAGGCGGAAGTTGATTGACAACTGAAAGAGTTATGTTGACTACTTAGACATCTAGTACACATACGGTTAGTTTTAATATAATTAAATCGATCATTAATTGTGAAAGTTGAAAATTGTTTACATTTATATAATTGAGAATGTGAATCACCTTTACATAAGGAACAATAAATGCGTTGCGTAGGATTAGTACCTAAAAATGTACGTGGCGATCGAGCGATCGATCGTTGATGCGACTGTGCACGTCCACTGGCGGACGCGGCGGCGGGACCGTCCAACTTGGTGGCGGCAGCGGCGCCGGCGGTGCGGTTACACGTGCGTTGTAATATTTTTACGTGTTGACGTATAAATTTTATAAAATTTTCAAACTGCGGTATGTCATCTTCTCTAATTGATGACTCATACGAAATAGCCTGATCTAATGTCTTTAATCCCATATAAATAAATATAAAATCATCCAGCTTTTCAATTTTAAGTTGCTTTAATGCTGCGATAGTCGACGAGAAAGTATCAATAAATTTTTCTAAGTTTATTGCCGAAGGACCGTTAATTGATTTTAAAGAAAATAATTTATCTAAATATGACGTTGCAAGAGAGCGTTTATCTTGATACTTGTCGATTAAAGCTTGCCACAATATAGGATAATTTTCGGCTGCTGGTACTAAGCCAGCACACAGATTTCTAGCCTTTCCTGACAGGTGACTCATAAGACAATGAAAACGTTCTGAGTCCGAAAAGGATTCATTGTCATGAATAACCTGTTTGAATGTTTCGTAAAAGAAAGGAAATTCTAAAATATCACCTGAGAAGACTGGTAACACAATTTGGGGGATCCTTACTGATCCCTGTTTGTTGTCTGGTAAAGCAGACTGACAAGCGGGAGCTGGAGTTCGCGAAGATTGAGGTTGTAACGAGACCGCCATCATCTTTATAGAATAAAACATTTCGTCAAAAGCGGTGAGAGATTGATAATTAACTACATAATCAGGGTTTAGTTCCAAATTAAGGAGAATAATTTCATCGACAATTTTAACATACTCGGTGCGCATTTGATCGATCAGGCTAACTTTTGCAATAAAAACATTACGATGTTTCTCCATTTTAGTTTTCGAAGATAATTCATAAATAGACTGAAGTTGCGAAAAATATTGTGCACGTTTTGCTTCATACATTTTTAATTTTGCGTTTGTGTTAGCCATTATTATTATTTATATATATACTTCTTAAAAAATAACAACGGAAAACCAATTAAATGCGATATATAAAACTATGTGCGGTAATAACGTACAACTATACCTGTACTACCGTAAAAGGGCGAGCGATAAACAAATAATAAAGTATAATAGGTATTTAATGTACTAAATACCTACAAGACAGACAGATGTACTTGTAGCGAAAATAAAGTACACAAATGCGAGAAATGATGCGCGATATAAACTAGCATACATAAAAAATATATGCTTACTATGCTATAAAACTACTAATTAATAATGCGAAAAATAGGTACAACTATTATCTATATATACCTATATGCGAGAAAAATAAAATAATGCATAAAGCAATATTTTAAATATGCGGTGCGAGAAGTAAATCACAATAACGTTTTAAACACTAAAGCGCGTGACAAATAAATTTATATATACCTACTCATAAGCGGTAGTATGTAGGTACATAAGTGCGACAATACGGAATGTAGGTATCGACCATACATCTACAAAAAAAATATGCGAGCGAAACATAAACTATACATAAAGCGAAATCGAAGTGAGTGATGTCATAGAAAATCAGATAATATATCTATAACTATAACTAAAAAGATATAAAATAACTATGTTCACAACTATTATTTTACGCGGGAGTAGTCTAAAGCGTTGTTGTTAGTCACTGTGTCGATACACCACGTATAACTTAATCATAGGTACGTAGGGCACGATCTTTAACCGACATGTATTGTATAAAACAGCTATGCGAACGAATACTCAAACAATTTACAATAACCAGCGTATTATACGGCGAGTACTGCAAGGAAATAAAATATCTATTACGAACAGAAATAAAATCGCTGCTTATCAATAATTATTCAGATTAAATAGTGTGCTTTCCCTGCTCACTTTCTTGTGTAAAGACTACGGTAACCAACACTAACAATCTTAACATTCAAACACTACAATCATCATACATAATATTCGACAGGTAATATTGTTTCGTCAAATAGTATAACGACAACTATAATATTTCTAGAAGCTTCGATCGATCGAACAATATCGATATAATGCGGGTGAATGTGAAATTAAATGAACGAAACAACGCAAACAGATATAAAGCGAAATTGAAGAATTGAGCTGCGAGTTATGAACAATTCATAAGCGACATAAATATAAACTTATTTATTAACGAAAATACCAATGTATCGTTATATTTGTGCAACCGTGGTATGCAATTTGAATAGATCCTATTACATGCGCAATAAGGTTCAATATTACATGCGAGTCATTCACTCGACTTTCACAATAGGAAAAAATTAAAACAAATTTTAAATAAATAAATTGCGATTCCTATTGTGATCCGGCTACGGAAGGCCAAAAAATGGTGCGGCGGTGGCTATGATCTAGCCTTCTTCGATGGACTATATTGTTGTATAGGAAACTGGCTGGTCGTATATGAATGACTTATCCTACTTCAATGTGCTTGTTCTTCAGTGGGCCCACACGGTTACGGGAATCTCAGGAATTCACTCAGGTTGATTACAACTATTAAGACATGCGTGCGATATGAGTGCGACGTGCGCGCGCGGCGAAAGCTATGACATCACTGATTATTGAATTAGCCGGGAGGGGTGTCAATGCACATCAACAAACCAGGTACGCATCGCGTTTGGCGTAACCAAACGGAATTGCAGATAACATTGTGGTTTGGTAAATACCATTGATGAATGGTAATTCTACAGTTACCACTGTACCTGGTAACTACTGGTATATTGCTCATCACAGATCTGAGCACCAGCGTGACTCCTAATTGCATCAGTGCTGGTCTCCACTGAAGACTTCGCTTGAGGAAGCCAGGTGTCTCTGCAAGCTGGAATAAATTAATAATCCATGCATGCATCCTTATGTAAAGTGCGAATACTGTAACTACCATATAGTAATTTTTATAGCTGTGACGTGGTCGTGTGGAATGAGTAGTCATGCTCACTAAAATGTCCAGACATGTGGCGGCGTGGTGGGCCGGGTCAATGGGCTCCCTAAAATATGGTCGAGCGCAGTGATGGCTGGCTCATCCGTCATACTCGTGAACGAGTGCTGCTTGTAGGGACTGGTCTGCTCTTATCACTACGACTGATTTAATCTTATTGCATATTTATATTTGACCCAAAAATTAGTGCTTGTTGGTAGTTTGTATTCACACGTTTCGACTTGTAAATGTAAACTTACAAGGATTATTTAAAAGAGCAACACACAAGTTTCTTGCTCGTTCTTCTTGTGATGAGACAGCTTTCCGAACGAGTGGTAGATAAAAAACAAATTGTTATGACTATTCAAAAGTGCTTAAATTAAGTTTATTTGAATAAATGATTTTCTATTCTATTCTATTCTAATCTTGGACAATTAACACAGCGCCATCTAGTCCCACGGTAAGCAGAGCTTGTGTTATGGGTATTACATTGATACATTATTTTTGTAAATTATTTATTTGGTACATAGCAATAATAAAAATAACTTTTAAATTTTAAGTTACATTATATAGGTTTATATTAATTACACAGTACCAAATATGTCTCCGCTCAGCATATGTCGTGACGGGTGCCACGACGGTGGTTTTCTGCGGATACCTTCATATATAATAAATATAATAATAATAATAATAATAATACACATACATACATACATTGATCTACGTGGATAACACAGAGTAAACATTTACAACATACTACCATATATTTGACAGCCTCGGTGTTCTAGCGGTCTAGCACACCGCTTTACGTCCGATGGTCGCGGGTTCGATTGCTCGCACGTCACAAAATTTGTATTCATGAGTATGATTGTTTGTATCGGTCTGGGTGTTTCAGATATAAATACTTATATATTTTTTAATATATACGTATTTATATCAGTTAGCAATAATTTCATGAATATAAATGTTTGCACCATGCGAGGAATCGAACCCGCGAGCATTAGAAGAAAGGCGGTCTTCCAAACCAGAACACCTTGGCCGTCAATTTCATGATGACCTGACCTGACATCTTATCCTCACCTTTATTATCGATAAAAAAAAATATACTTTCTTAATTCTTTAATCTTTATATATAAAAACTACGTGTCACGTTGTTTGTCCGCGATGGACTCCTAAACTACTGAACCGATTGCAAATCTGATTTGCACATTGTGTGCAATTTGATCCAACTTGAAAGATAGGATAGCTTACATCCCAATTTATAGTCACAATATTATTTTATTCAAGAATCTTAGACACAGCAACGCGTGGCCGGGTCTGATAGTATATATATAGCATAAATTTATTAAGTAATAATTTTTTATTCAAATTCAAATTCAAAAATCATTTATTCATGTAGGACATTTTAGCCGCTTATGAACGTCACGTTTTTACATTTTTTTATGTATTTTTTCCCTAATAAAATTTAATTGTATTTAGTTAATAATGCAATAATTTACTTCTAGCGGATGCAAGTCGAGTTGGCTGGTCATATCGGCCGTCCACGAGCGTGACGGTAAGGCCGGCGTCCTTCAGGCCCTGGACAATGGCCACCATCCCCTCACCACCTCCCTCCATCTATTCCTAATTTCTAGGTAGGGGTATATGCTGTAAAAGGGTAGGTATGAAAATATACTACATGTAATTTATTTTATACAGTAAAAAATAACTCCGATCGGATTAAAAAATCGTAGTGATCAGAGCAGACCAGTACCTACAAGCAGCACTCGTTCACGAATATGACGCATGAGCCAGTTATCACTGCGCTTGACCATATATTAGGGAGCCTAATGACCAATTCAGAGGCGAAATGTATGTTACAATACTGGTGTAAATCCAATAACAATCGGAATTTGATCACCAATAGAGAAGGTCATACTCTTCTAGTAACGGTGGTCATGGGACACACTCACCTAGATACATAAAATAATAATTGCATTTAATAATGTCTAGTAAGACAAATTCAATATTGTCTACTAGGCACTGCTGTATCTAAACTGTGTCACCCCACCTTACATTTTCCTATTTTTATTTAGTATATAAGATCATTATTTCTATGTACATATTGTCAGTTTATCATCATCTGTAATATACATCGTCTCGACCAACAACATAGTATCATTTACCCGCAACAGTGGTCAGGTTTCCGCGCTCAATATTTGTGGTGTGGGACCACAAATATTGAGTGCGGAAACCTGACCATGAAGAGACCTGAACATGCTAATGTTAGCCGAATTTAATAAAATTATATAAATCTAATAAATTTATATGAAATATGCCCCGGCTTCGCACGGGTGTACATGTATTATACATATAAACCTTCCTCTTGAATCACTCTATCTATTAAAAAAGACCGCTTCAAAATCTGTTGCGTAGTTTTAAAGATTTAAGCATAGATAGGGACGGACAGACAGCGACAGCGACTTGGTTTTATATTATGTAATGAAGAGAGATACTAACGGTCATTTTCAGGAGTCGTAGCACAGAATAGCAGATATCAGGACTGTAACAGCCCTGCCAATCGTCGCCGTGAGGGACGGGCCTAGAGGCAAAGAAACAAAAAACTCAACCTCGATGGAATTTATTCATATTGAACCTTTCAGACTTTTGTGTCATATAGGATCTTTTGTCCTCTTATACACGTCTTATTTTATTACTAATCGTAACGTCCAATTCAGATAGACACTTCAGTTGAGAAGAATTGTCAAGAAACTCAACTGGTAATTTTTTCCAACCTTCAATCGAAGATGCCATATCTCTTATCCTGTAATTTCACTGCCTAATCTGCACCCTACAACCGAAACAGCTTATGAAGCAAGCTGCTTGGCTGAAATAGGTGAGACTGAGGTACACCTGCAAAAGATTTCATATAAAAGAAATATTCGAAAGTAATAGTGAGACGAACTTCTTAGCATTCCATGGATTCAAGAGGGTGCCGGGTCCATTGTGTGGCAGAGAGGGAACCTCCGAGCAGTTCCCGGGACTTGACCCGGGTGTAGGTTTAAGTGGTGCCGGGTCCATCGTGTGGCAGAGAGGGAACCTCCGAGCAGTTTACGGGACTTGTGACCCGGGTGTAGGTTTAAGTGGTGCCGGGTCCATCGAGTGGCAGAGAGGGAAACTCCGAGCAGTTCCCGGGACTTGTGACCCGGGCGTAGGTATAAGGGGTGCCGGGTCCATCATGTGGCAGAGAGGGAAACACCGAGCAGTTCCCGGGACTTTTGACCCGGGTGTAGGTTTAAGTGGTGCCGGGTCCATCGAGTGGCAGAGAGGGAAACTCCGAGCAGTTCCCGGGACTTGTGACCCGGGTGTAGGTATAAGGGGTGCCGGGTCCATCATGTGGCAGAGAGGGAAACACCGAGCAGTTCCCGGGACTTTTGACCCGGGTGTAGGTTTAAGTGGTGCCGGGTCCATCGAGTGGCAGAGAGGGAACCTCCGAGCAGTTCACGGGACTTGACCTGGGTGTAGGTTTAAGTGGTGCCGAGTCCATCGAGTGGCAGAGAGCGAAACTTTGCTTATTTTGGATGACATGTGGGGTAGGGGTGTCTAGATGATGATTACGTCATCGGTAGTAGTTTACTTTTTTACACGAATGGCAACCCTCACATTGTCTTTGCTAAAAAAAATACATTAATTGAAAAATGTTTAAGTAAGCATGGAGGGAGGGGATAAGAGATTTGCTTACTTTTGCTGACAAGGGGGGGATGAGGGGGTAAATAATTGTAATAAATCTGCTTACGTGATACTTGAACGGTCCCTAATTTAGAAAGAGAGAAATAAACACATGCAAACAGCGAGTTTATACATATAGATATATTGATTTTGTCTACTTCGGTATCAAGACCCTTGGTCCGTGGGGTCCTAGCGTTATAAGACTTTTTAAGGAAATAGCAAAAGGGTTAGTCGACATCACAGAAGACCGAAGAGCTGGCAGCTACCTCGGACAAAGAATTAGTGTAGCCATTCAAAGTGGGAACGCTGCCAGTATCTTCGGAACTTCGCCTAAAGGGACTCCTTTTGATAATATAACTTAGTTGTAATATTATATTTTTTAAGGTAATATAATTAATTATAATATAATTAATTTTAAAATAATATAATCTAAAATAATATAATTTTAGGTTCTTAGTTGTACAATTAAGTTATGTTGACACCATTCAATGTCGTTGCCATCTTTAATACCCAATTTATATTTTTAAGGTTTTTAATTTGAGTTCTTAGCGAGTACACTTAAGTTATGTTCACTATTTGTGTTTACACACACGAGTGGAAACACTTCCCATGCTATTGGCGCTGCCAATCGCGCTGCCCGGCGCTCCCACGATTGTCGGTTTTTCGTGCGCGAGTCAAAGGACTGGCAGCGCGAGTGGCAGCGTGTTTTTACATTCAGCCCTCTCGCTCAGTTGTCGCCCGGAAATATTTCCGGCAGCGCGAGTGGCAGGGGAAGCGACTGAATGTAAACGTAGCATAAAGTTTGCGATATATTGAAATGTACTTACATTATATTAAAATGAATTAAATTACAATGAAATTATAAGAGTAATATAAAATTTTAACTAATTTGGAATTTTGACTTCTGCATTACGTGACATTTGACAGAACTAGTGTTATTTTTAAATTCTATTCTACAATTCTGTCAAGAAATAGTTACAGATCTACATTGCCGGCCTCGGTGGTCTAGCGGTTTAGCACATCGCCTTACTTTCGATGGCCTTCGGTTCGATTCCTCGCACGGTACAAATTAGTATTAATTAGTATGGTTAGTCCTATTTTTCTGTTTTCTATGTTTATTAAGTAAGAAGAAATATTTAAGTGAAAAAAAAGTATTTGTTGTCTTGTATCCAAAAAAACTCTGCTTTTGGGACTAGATGGCAGTGTGTGAAATGTGTTGTGCGAGTGTGAATTGAAATTAAAAAAGTATATAAGTACCTATGTAATAACCCTGTTACATCCTTACTAATATTATACACTTGAAACTCTGTTTGTCTGTCTGCCTGTCTCGCTTTCACGCCAAAACTACTAAACCGATTTAAATAAAATTTGCTACACAAATAAACTAGACCCTGAGAAAGGACATAGACTAATTTTTAATGCGAATAAGGGGTTGTAAGGGGTTGTAATGGGTTGAAAGGGCAGATGAAAGGTTGTATGGATGTATCGTCATTTTAGAATGTACAAAACTTATTTTTTAGGCTGTTCATTAAATACTATAAATAAATATGACTAAGTTTGTAAAATTGTTACCCTAAAGGGGGTAAAAATAGGGGATGAAAGTTTGTATACAAAATCGTCATGTTTAAAACTATAACAAGAAATCTTTTTTCATTGCATTTTTGGGTTGGATTATTAAATGTTATTTCTATATTTGGTCAAGGTCACTAGAACACGCGGACGAAGTCACAGGCACAGCTAGTATTTATATACTTTTTTAATTTGTTAAGTATTTCGTGCAAATATTTTACATTATATTTGTTGACGGCGTCCATCACACGTGAAGACATCACGAGTTCACGATTCCATTTCGCGCCAATCGGCACTATCGCCGCCATGTTGCAACGATCTGTCATGGCGGCCTGTCACGCGTGATTGAGTGAAGTAATTACATTATCAAATTTTTTTTTTAATGCCATGATGGTGGTAACAAGCAATATGCCTATCTGATGGTAAACGGTTATTGTAGCTTATGGGCGCCTGAAACACTAGGGGTGTCATGCGCGTTGCCAACCCTTAAGAAACCTTAATATACCCTTTTTAAACTCATGCTATAGTCTTATCGCTGTTCAGCGATAAGGCCGCCCATTGTTACCTCTGTATCTTATTGTAATCTATACATATAAATAAAATTGGTGTGTCTGTTTGTAATATTGAAATAACCGTCTTTTACTACAGGCATATGAATATAAATACGGTACATACACCAAAATAACATTTTTTATAATTTTTGTCTATCTGTTTGTTCTGGTTAATCTCTGAAATGGCCGGACCCATTTTGACGGGACTTGCCGACCTCGGTGGTCTAGCGGTCAAGTACACCGCTTTACGACCGATGGTCGCGGGTTCGATTCCTCGCACGGCACAAACATTTGTATTCATGAGTATGATTGTTTGTATCGGTCTAGTGTTTTCTATGTATAATATGTATGTATTTACAAAAAAAAATATCTATGTATATGTATCAGTTATCTAGTACCCATAACACAAGCTTCAGCTAGCTTAACTTGGGTCTAGATGGCTCTGTGTGAATTGTCCTAAGATTATTATTATTATTACTTTTATTGGCAGATAGCTGACGTAACACAAAAACAACATTCTTTACAATTTTTGCCGGTCTGTCTGTCTGTTTGTTTCGGCTAATCTCTGAAATGGCTGGACCTATTTTAACGGGACTTTTTTGGCAGGTAGCTGATGTAATAAGGAGTAACTTAGGCTACTTTTATTTTAGAAAAATAAAGTTAAATTCCACGCGGTCAAAGTCGCGGTTGTAGTTAGTAATATAATATTATATTATCTGTGGTAATACATATATAAATTCCGCCCAAGGCAATCGTCATTGTGCCCACAAGGTCAGACGATTCTCACGTTTTTCTTAATTACAGCATCAGTTACCTCGCCTCTTCGAACCTATATGTTAAACTAACTGATGCTCTCGACTTCGTCTACGTTACTTGTTTATTTATTGTACTGCGTTATTTATATAGTGTATTGCTGTAGCACACACATGCAGGTTTACCCTTTATTGAATTGTTATATTATAGGTACTTGTCATTTGATGTTGTAATTAAGCCTGTATGTGTGTACTAAGATACAAATAAAAACTATTATCTATCTATCTATCTATTATTAACCGAGTGTTAACACAAATAATTTTATGGCAAACTAGCTGTACTCGCGACTTCGTCCGCGTGGAATTTAACTTTATTTTTCTAAAATACAAGTAGTCTGAGTCACTCCTTATTACAAAAAAAATGTTGTTTTGTATGTACCGTATTTATATTCATATGCATGTAGCATAAAACGGTTATTTCAATATTACAAACAGACACTCTTCGCTTAATTTATCCCCTTGGGGGTGGAATTAATCAAAATCCTGTCTTAGGGGATGCCTACGTCATAGTAGATTTATGCATGCAAAGTCTCAGCCCGATTAGTTTAAAATTGACAAAGTTTCATATAAACTGTCATCCCCTATTTTATCCCCTTGGGGGTATAATTAATCAAAATCCTTTCTTAGCGGATGCCTACGTCATAACATCTACCTGCATGCCAAATTTCAGCCCGATCCGTCCAGTGGTTTGGGCTGTGCGTTGATAGATCACTATGTCAGTCACCTTTGAGTTATATATATTTAGATAAAGGTATTTACCTCTCTCGACGTTTCGACTAGGTTGCATTAGCCGTGGTCACGAGCTGACTGGAGTAACAGCGATGTCAATGTAGATAGGTGACAGCAGTTTTTTCATCTACCGTCGCTCTAGTGACGGTAAGTGTTCAACGAAAGTCTTCTAATAAATAAATTCAATTAGGAGTGTCACAAAGTTAAAAATTATATATTAAAAAAATAATTGTTACTTAAATGACGAGCGTGCATGGCAATAGTTGATCATGCACGGGATTTTCATTGAATAATAATAATCTCAGGACAATTCACACAGCGCCATCTAGAAACTATAAACCACGATCCAGGTTTCATGTTTGGGGATCGTTCTTACCTGTGTTGGGGACACACATACAAGAACTTTCACATTTACTAATAAGACGTAAGTTTGGCCGTCGTGGGCTCTTGAGCTATAAGTAATTATAATTTTTATTATGTAAATAAAAAAACAATCTATTCTATTCTATTGAGAGATGTACGTTTTTAAAGTGGGTTGAAAATACCGATCTTTCCTTGTTAGAATACGAGTTTAAATATCGGTTTCCGTTACACCTACTACTTGCATAACAACGTTTATTCACAAACAAAACGGTCAATCGAGCAATTTTCACGGCCGATTGTAATATGACCGTTACATATTAGTGTCAACCGGTCATAGGTCACAGACACACTTTGATAGCCGTGTAACGGACGCCATTTTGTTTTGAATATAACCGCCCGCCGCCGCGCCGCTCTGTGTCAAACCGACCACAGATTTTTTTTTTTCCATATTCGTCCATCTCCTTTTCAGTGATGGAACAGGCAAAGATCCTTAGACCGTACAGCCTAGTCTACGTTTATACTTCTTCATATTTGAACAAGCGATGAGGCCAAAGGCCAATTCTTATGTATGTTTATAATAGTCTAGCTATTTAAAGAGGGAACGCTGCCAGTATCTACGGAACGTTGCCTAAAGGGACCCCTTTTAATAATATATTTTAATTTATTTTATAATATGATAATTATATATTTTTTAAGCTTTTTAATTTTAGGTTCTAAGTTGTACAATTAGGTTATGTAAATACTAGTAATAAATATATTTACTTTTATTCAATACATAATATTACATAGTTTAAACTATAATCTGAACTACAGATTAAATATTATGTTTTTAAACTATTTTTTTATGTAACAATGAATATTAGTCGCTCGATAGTCGAAATTTGAAAAAAGTTCAAAAAGATCTCTGAAACAGCTTAAGAAATATATATTGTTAAATGCATATGATTATGTTTGTCATCCAATAAGACTATAGACAATTAATAATAAATATTTATTCGAATTAAATCCATCGAGTAGTAATAAATAAAAAACTCAAACTATATTAATGTATTCTCAATTTGACCACAGACATTTTCTTGTTTCACACACAAGTTTCTTGCTTATTCTTCTTGTGATGAATCTGCATTCCGAATAAGCGGTAGAATAAAAAAAACTTGACTATTCAAAAGTGCTTATATTAAGTTTATTTGAATAAAGATTATTTCTTCAAGATTATTAAAAACTTTAAATCCATAGCACTGACAATATTATCTGATTACACTAATAATGAGTACGTAGCGATTTCTATGTTGATTATCGCATGCCTCTTACTTGTTATACTGTAATTATTTATATAAAAAAACAAAAATTAAAAAGAGCAACACACAAGTTTGTTGCCCGTTCTTCTTGTGATGAATCTGCTTTCCGAATGAGTGGTAGAATCAAAATATGACTATTCAAAAGTGCTTGTAATGAGTTTATTTGAATAAAGATTATTTCTATTTCTATTTCTATTTCATTAACAATAAACAAAAGAGTATATACGGGTGTGTGTCAAATATACAGTAATGTATTTTGATGATTTTAATGTTATTGATTTAATATATTATTTATGGATAATTAAAAAAAATATTCATATCATTCTCTCATCCGTTCGTGTAATTTTCTTAAAAAGTAGTTGTACTCACGGACGTTTTCATCTTAATTGGATCTTAATGAAATCTGGCTTGCTTAATGAAAATTACATAACAGATTGGTAATCTATGATTTTAAAAATCTATGACCTTAGAAAATCGCGCGAAATCTTTTTGATTGTAACAGTTTCTAAAAAAATATTATAAGAGTATTAATGTAAATTAGTTACACTATTTAAAGCTCCGCCAACAACTAAAAAAAAAAGAACACGCCATAAACAAATATTGATTCACGTACAGTTTTAAAATTTGACGCGATCAATATTTATACTTACATCTAGCTGTGCCTGCGACTTCGTCCGCGTGGAATTTAACTTTATTTTTCTAAAATAAAAGTAGCCTAAGTTACTCCTTATAACGTCAGCTACCTGTAAAAAAAGTCCCGTCAACATCGGTCCAGCCATTTCAGAGATTAGCCGAAACAAACAGACAGACAGACAGACAGATAGCCAAAAATTGTAAAAAATGTTATTTTGGTGTATGTACTGTATTTATGTATATTCATAAGCATTTAGTAAAAAACGGTTATTTCTATATTACAAGCAGACACTTCAATTTTATTTATATGTACCTATAGATATAAATAAAACATGGTAAGATCCCGTGATTTTTCTTACACTTATTATTGATTCTACATCAAGTCTTGCATACTATTAATTATTGCAAATCCATACAAAAATCTTGTGGTACGCGCTTTCCTTCTTTAACAATGTACTTACACAGTTACGACCGTGCAGATAAACAAACATAAAGAACAAAGAAAACCACAAAATTATTTCAATTGAATATTGAATTAAACGTAAAGAAACAGTAGTGTGTAGGTATCCATATATCATTACATAGTATAAAACAAAGTCGCTGTCGCTGTCTGTCCGTCCCTATGTATGCTTAAATCTTTATAACTACACGACGAATTTTGAAGTGGTTTTTTCAATAGATAGAGTGATTCAAGAGGAAGGTTTATATGTATAATACATGTATAATTGTACACCCGTGCGAAGTCATTACATTACGTTGTATAAATACGGTACATACACCAAAATAACATTTTTTACAATTTTCGTTTATATATATAGATTTTCTTTATTTGGTAAAGTCACTATTCCAGACCAAGTCGCAGGCACAGCTAGTAGGCTATAAATGTAATAGGTAACTATGACTATTCTATGACAAAATACTCTATATACAGTACAAGTACCTACACTTTCATTTTTTTTCAATGATGGAACAGGCAAAGATCCTTAGACCGTACGGTCTAGTCTACGTCTTAGAGATGTGTCAACTCAAGTTAACTCGAGTTGGGCGTAATTCGAGTTAACTCGAGTTGAATTCTGCCAACTCGAGTTGGAAGAATTCAACTGGTAACTGAATGAATCGAGTTAAAGAGCGAGAGCATGATTCTATCATCGAACTGACAATGACATGAAATTTTCCGATCATTTCATATCATACAATTTTCACTCGTCACAAATATTTGAATATTGATTTGAGTTATTATTTTTTTTTTCGCATATTCGTCCGATTTTTTTTTTTGACAATTCACACAGCGCCATCTAGACCCAAGTTAAGCTAGCTAGAGCTTGTGTTATGTAGTACTAGATGACTGATACATATACATAGATATTTTTTTTTTGTAAATACATACATATTATACATAGAAAACACGCAGACCGTTACAAACAATCATACTCATGAATACAAATGTTTGTGCCGTGCGAGGAATCGAACCCGCGACCATCGGTCGTAAAGCGGTGTGCTTGACCGCTAGACCACCGAGGTCGTCATTATTTGTTATGAATAAAATGACTATGCATTCCATAAGTCCTTGCTCGGTTTTAAAGTGCCATTTCTACTCCTCCCCCCTCTAGGGGGCGAGTAGAAATGGCATTTTAAAAATGAAATTGAGATTTGAATTGATTTGATTGAGAATTAAAATGAAAATGACACTTTCGGTGAAGCTTTCAAGGCTAGCTGCGCCCAAAAACATTAGAATTGTTCGAAAAAAAAAACTTTTATTCCAGGTAACACGAGTCAACTCGAGTTAACTCGAGTTAACTCGAGTCATGTTTATTACGAGTTGGCACATCTCTACTACGCCTATACTTTCAATAAATTCTCAGTTCTAAGCAAAGCAGATACTCAACAATTTCAATTCATACTTTGCACGAAATGCATTATGCATAATATTATATAAACACATTCAAATATAACCCGTATCCCGTTGTAATAAGATTGAAACGTGTAAACGTTTTAATTAACCCTGAACATAGCTGCATACCACAGCACCAAATCTGTTGTTTAACGAAGTGTTGCCACCTAGATGATTTCACCATAAATTTTATAATGTTAATTGAATTTGGTAGATTTTGCGTTGCGCCGGTTATAAGTTTTTTTTTTTAATAGTGACAAACATCATTTTAATTATTTTGTTTTTTACGCGTCGCTTACAAGTGCTTTTATAAAAATAATATTTTTCCACTGGAAATAGTGGTTTTTAATATACGAGTTTAATCTTTTAAAAAATAATTAAAAATAGAAAAAAAATATTACACAGAAAAGATTACACTGAATAAATTACTCATCATTACATAGTATAAAACAAAGTCGCTGTCGCTGTCTATCCGTCCCTATGTATGCTTAAATCTTTAAAACTACGCAACGGATTTTGAATCGGTTTTTTTTAATAGATAGAGTGATTCAAGAGGAAGCTTTATATACATAATACATGTAAACCCGTGCGAAGCCGGGGCAAAAAAATATAGTACTTTCAACGACATTTAATTCCAATATTTTTGATAAAAAATAATATTATTTTTTTAACTAAAATATTGCATATATTTCCAATATATATGTAACATGTTTTTTTAATGATTGATAATGGAATGGTGCGTTCGCATGCATAACGGTAAACGCTGGCAGGGTACCAGTGGAGGATGAACAATTCGATAGGAATTTACAAAGATGGTTTCCAATGGGAACCGCGAGGAGGTCAACCTGGGCTCATTAGTCCACACTATTTACAGTTCCTTTCCCCCGAATATAGTAATATGCGCTTCATTCTTAGAGCTTAAACAACTTGATGACTTTTTATTGTAATTATTAATAGACAACAAGGCTACTTGACTGGCTCAAACTTTATTAGCTTAGAAAAGAGTATATTCTAATGCAAAATTGTAATTCAGTGGTAGTTCTATTGAGTTTAATATAGGTTCAAACTTTATTTTTAATGTCAATGTCAAAAGAATATATAAAATATTTCTGTCACTATGCGCACTATATAATTTGGTATTCGAAATATAAAGCTTTATAAATATAACATACTAGCTGTTCCCGCGGTTTCTCCCGTGTTAAATATCAATATAAAATATAGCCTATGTTTTATTCTGATGCATATACTATATTGTTAAATATTATTTTATTTAAATTATAATTTTTAGTTTATATTGCTAAGTTTTTGCTGTGTTGTTATGTGTTGATAAATGTTATTCTATTCTATTATATTCTAAATCTAAAAATCTGTTCAGTAATTTTTACGTGAACGAGTAACAAACATCCATACTTACAAACGTTTATAATTTTATTAAGATACTAAGTGGCCAGTATTCCACAAATACTATGATGATTTTATAAACTCCAACTAGTGGGATTATTTAAAATTTGTTGGCAACACTTTAAAGAACTCATTACATTCAGTTGACTCCCACATTTCGCGCGCACCGCCCGCGCATCGTCCGTTAAAAAACGTTGCAACGTAAAACATTTAAAAATCAAATCCCAAGTGACAATCAATCATGAATATCTATGTGAATTGTGTATTTACAATTGCAACTTCATTATATTATCATAAATAACACTACAAGGACACCTATTGTGTATTTCGGACCGTTAAAAGTTAACCTATAAGCGTTTTGCGATGGAGGACGTTTACACGATCAAAGTGAAGAGTAAACCTGACACCAGAAACTTATATCCTTCGGAGAGGAGGTACTCTGCGTCCACTGTCTCTGGTTTGGCGTGGGTCCACATAGCTTTGGCTGCAACGTCATTATTACTGGCCTGTTTAGCCATTATAAGTCCTAACACGGAACTGAAACTTTCAAACAACAATACAGACGTTAATGATACAGAATTGTTATTAAATACTACAGATAATATAGACAATGTAACAGATTATGTTAAGGATAATTGTAATAATGATAATAGTTATATTCTCGTGTTAGCCCCGACTTTAATAGCTGTTTTTGCTCTCGCCGCCGGTATAGCGTCCATTCTGGCTTCTGTAAAATGGTATATGGACAATAATATAACTTGGTTGTTTGTTATATCTGTAATATCCACTATAGCATCATTTTCCTCGTTTATAATGATACTCGTTTGGTTCATAACGACCGCTGAAGGCGATATATCGGAGTTTTATAAGGAGAAAATTCCGTTTAAAGATTATATTGTTGTAAAACACACAGATGTTTTAGATAGAAATGAATCACACATCCTCGTGACCTTAAACTCAAACTCGGGAGGTAACAATACATATTTGTTTACCAAACGTGTGCTATCAATAAATATACTAATTGCAGCGGCTCTTGAACTGCTGTGGTCGTTGTTGAGTGTCAAAATATCGTATAAAGGCATGAGAAGTAATTACAAAGATGATAATAATCAAAGGAGGGGCAATTGTATTTCCGTAGTGACAACTATCAAAGGGAACGACCCTAAGAACATGCCGAGGAACGGTAAACTGGTCCCGCAAAAACCAGATTTGATAGAACACTATCCGAGCAAAAAGATCAAAAGGATTTTCCTCGCGCAGAGCGACAACGAGTTTTACTTGAAATCTCAGAATAATAAAGCGAAACAGAACACAGAAACAAGCTCCGAGTTCTATAAAGAGCGTATGTTGAATTTTCTGAACAGATGCGCATCACTAGAGATGTCTGACACAGAAATGAGAACGCCAAGTGTACAATCTGAAGCGGTTCTAAATCCTATACCTGAAATAAATAGCGTTGATATTAATAATGAAAATAAAGCAGAAAATGAAGTCAAGGACCGTAGTACACCGGTCAGTTGGGGCGACACACCCGATCACACGATTTACAATCAGAACACAATAAATTTCGAGAAAATCTTCAAGTTTGGTAAAAAGAATGAGGTGGACAGTGAAAAGATAAATGAGATAAGTGAAAATGCTGAATAATATGGCGTGACTGGAGTAACTTGCTCAATGAATGGACTAGAAAGTGTGTATTGCACGCAGAACTGCAAAACTGTTGTTTTATCGAAACGACCTTAAGTTATTGGGGTCGATTAATTGGGCAAATTGGTCGTGTATAGAGCAAGAAAATAGTCAAGAGGGAGCAATAACTATGTAGCTATAAGTAACAACACAATATGTATAATAACTAACTTGTGTATAATAATATAGCAAGAAAATAGTCAAGAGTTGACGGCCTTGGTCTAGCGGTTTAGCACACCGCCTTACTTCCGATGGTCGCGGGTTCGAGTCCTCGCACGACACAAACATTTGTATTCATGAGTATGATTGTTTGTATCGGTCTGGGTTTTTGCTATGTATAATATGTACGAAAAAAACATATCTATATATTTGTATCAGTTGTCTAGTACCCATAACACAAGCTTTAGGTAGTTTAATTTGGGTCTAGATGGCGCTGTGTGAATTGTCCTGAGATTATTATTATTATTATTATTATAATAACTACCTTGTGTATAATAATAGAGCAAGAAAATAGTCAAGAGGGAGCAATAAATAAATAGCTATTGTTACTGGCGGCTTGTCTACCATTCTTTTTATAAATTTTATATTTTTTATATCTATTTTTTATACGTCACTTTTGACAAACTATATATTGTTTTGTTACTTCTCACTGTGAGCCCTTTTGGGAAGAATACACATTTTTACTAGTATTTGGTTTTTATTAAAATAGTAAAAAAAAAAATGTCTTAAAAAACAGTGTTGCCTCTAGACTTCTATATTGCTCTGTGCCTTGAACTAGCCCTAGGACCAAAAAAAATATGTCTTTAAAACAGTGTTGCCTCTAGACTTCTATATTGCTCTGTGCCTTGAGCTAGCCCTATGACCAAAAAAAGATATTAAAAAACAGTGTTGCCTCTAAACTTGTATCTTACTCTGTGCCTTGAGCTAGCCCTATGACCAAAAAAAATGTCTTAAAAAACAGTGTTGCCTCTAGACTTCTATCTTGCTCTGTGCCTTGAGCTAGCCCTATGACCAAAAAAAGATATTAAAAAACAGTGTTTTCTAAACTTGTATCTTACTCTGTGCCTTGACAGACTATGACCAAAAAAAATGTTTTAAAAAACAGTGTTGCCTCTAGACTTCTATCTTGCTCTGTGCCTTGAGCTAGCCCTATGAATAAAAAATTCTTATTAAAAATATATATCAAATGTAGATTTTTATCTTGCTCTGTGCCTTTGCCCTATGACCAAAAAAAGATGTTAAAAACAGTGTTGCCTCTAAACTTGTATCTTACTCTGTGCCTTGAGCTAGCCCTATGACCAAAAAAAGATATTAAAAACAGTGTTGCCTCTAAACTTGTATCTTACTCTGTGATTTTGAAGCGGTTTCTATGACCAAAAAAAATGTCTTAAAAAACAGTGTTGCCTCTAGACTTCTATCTTGCTCTGTGCCTTGAGCTAGCCCTATGACCAAAAAAAGATATTAAAAAACAGTGTTGCCTCTAAACTTGTATCTTACTCTGTGCCTTGAGCTAGCCCTATGACCAAAAAAAATGTCTTAAAAAACAGTGTTGCCTCTAGACTTCTATCTTGCTCTGTGCCTTGAACTAGCCCTAGGACCAAAAAAATATGTCTTTAAAACAGTGTTGCCTCTAGATTTCTATCTTGCTCTGTGCCTTGAGCTAGCCCTATGACCAAAAAAAGATATTAAAAACAGTGTTGCCTCTAAACTTGTATCTTACTCTGTGCCTTGAGCTAGCCCTATGACCAAAAAAAGATATTAAAAAACAGTGTTGCCTCTAACCTTGTGTCTTACTCTGTATTGCTACTATGACGAAAAAAAATGTCTTAAAAAACAGTGATTTGCCTCTAATTATACTTATAAATAATGCCCTCGTCAAACTTAAAAAAGGTATTCAAAAAACAGTGTTGTCTCTAGATTTTATCTTGCTCTGTTCTTGATAGAAAGCCCTAATGAGAAAAAAGGTATTAAAAAACAGTGTTGCCTCTAGATTTCTATCTTGCTCTGTGCCTTGAGCTAGCCCTATGACCAAAAAAAGATATTAAAAACAGTGTTGCCTCTAAACTTGTATCTTACTCTGTGCCTTGAGCTAGCCCTATGACCAAAAAAAGATATTAAAAACAGTGTTGCCTCTAGACTTCTATCTTGCTCTGTGCCTTGAGCTAGCCCTATGACCAAAAAAAGGTATTAAAAAACAGTGTTGCCTCTAGATTTCTATCTTGCTCTGTGCCTTGAACTAGCTCTAAATATATATATTAAAGTTATTAAAGATCTAGAATAGATTTAGCAATGAATTTAATAAACCGTTGATTATTGTCTGTATATATAGAATAGAATAGAATAGAAAATCATTTATTCAAATAAAGTTACATTGAAGCACTTTTGAATAGTCATTACATTTTTTAATCTACCACTCGTTCGGAAAGCTGTCTCATCACAAGAAGAACGAGCAAGAAACTTGCGTGTTGCTCTTTTAAATAATTTTATTATTACTTTACATTTTTAAGTTTAAGTGTGTGAATACAAACCACATATGTTCTTAGTATTATTAGAAACTAGTAGTCCGACACGGTTTCGTTCGGGCGTTCATAACTTTAAGTTTTGTAAATATTCTAGAATAATATTTTGAAATATTTTCAATTATGTTTATATATAGTTTAAGTGTAAAATAGTAATTTTAAAAACTCTGCTTGTGTAATGAATTAACTCGCCCCGGCTTCGCACGGGTGTACATGTATTATACATATAAACCTTCCTCTTGAATCACTCTATCTATTAAAAAAACCGCTTCAAGGTCCGTTGCGTAGTTTTAAAGATTTAAGCATACATAGGGACAGACAGCGATAACGATTGCTTTATACTGTAACTAGCTACTCGCCCTGGCTTCGCATGGGTGTACATGTATTATACATATAAACCTTCCTCTTGAATCACTCTATCTATTAAAAAACCGCTTCAAAATCCGTTGCGTAGTTTAAAAGGTCTAAGTGAACAGACAGCGGAACATATTTTATTTTATACTATGTAAAGATTACGTACTAATGACTGGACGAATTGCGATGAATTTTTTATAAAAAACTAATCCTCGCAAACGTTGTTTTGCTATATAAATTAAAATCACTATTAAAAAATAGGGGTTGGTGATAGAAAGTGAAAATTTAGGGTTGTATATATTTTATAATGTTACATTATAAAAAAAAATTGTCCAAAAAATAAATGATAGGGCAACTCTTATCACTTAGGGGTATGAAAAATAGATAGTACCTTATTTTAAGACCTACTGAATATGAATATAAAATTTCATAAAAATCTGTCAATCCGTTTCGGAGGAGTATGGTAACTACTTAACATTGTGACACGAGAATTTTGTATATAAGATTAAGGTAAGATTATTAATTCCAGTCAGTAAAATGACATTTCCAGTGTTGCAGGTTTTTAGTCTGGAATTAATTTTTTTATTTATTTATTTATTTAATTCAGGCTACATATAAATCCCAAATAAATAGTAGAATAGAATAGAATAGAAAATCATTTATTCAAATAAACTTAATGTAAGCACTTTTGAATAGTCATAACAATTTGTTTTTTGTCTACCACTCGTTCAGAAAGCTGTCTCATCACAAGAAGAACGAGCAAGAAACTTGTGTGTTGCTCTTAGTGATGTGGTAGAATCGAGTTTTTACAATTAAAAGTTAGTCGAGATTATATTTTTTTTTTCAAAATAAAAAAAAATGTTCAACGTATACGCTAAAGAAACTTACAAAAATAGGGAGTATAGTAAATGGAGATATAATTTTGTAACTATAATTACGTCACATACAGTTATATTAATCAACTAGCTGTACACGCGACCACGCCCGCGTGGAATTAAACTTTATTTTTCTAAAATAAAGGTAGCCTAAGTTACTCCTTATTACATCAGTTTCCTGCCAATAAAAGTCCCGTCAAAATCGGTCCAGCCATTTCAGAGATTACTCGGAACAAAAATTGTAAAATGTGTTATTTTGGTGTATGTTCCATATTTATATTCATATGCATGTAGTAGAAACGGTTATTTCAATATTACAAACAGACACTCCAATTTTATTTATATGTATAGATTAATTTAGTAATAATAATAATTTCATTTATTGTTAACGTTTGACCACCATCAACAGATGGCGCTATATCTGTACATATAATAAAAAATATTCAGAAAATGCATTTTAAAGTTTGTAATAATAATGTTTTATTGAGATTATAGATTATAATGAATTAATTGTAAATACTAATTATTATATGATAAATATATCTGTATTTTAAGACAGTAAATAGGTATTATCATAACCGAATTGTTTTTTAAAGAAATAAACATTTTACATTTTTCTTGTTCATTTTCAAATGACTAATATTTTTATATTTATAACTAGCTTTTGCCCGCGGCTTCGCTCGCGTTAATTTATCCCCTTAGGGGTGGAATTTATCAAAATCCTGTCTTAGGGGATGCCTACGTCATAGTAGATTTATGCATGCAAAGTCTCAGCCCGATCGGTTTAAAATTGACAGTTTCATATAAATTTCATCCCCTATTTTATCCCCTTGGGGGTAGAATTAATCACAATCCTTTCTTAGCGGATGCCTACGTCATGACATCTACCTGCATGCCAAATTTCAGCCCTATCCGTCCAGTGTTTGGGCTGTGCGTTGATAGATCACTATGTCAGTCATCTTTGAGTTTTATATATATATATATATATATATATAGATTTTCATATATTTTTATGTGACTGGAATACCATATGGGCGATTTTTTTTGATGATAATGAAATGGTGCACCCGTCTGCGCTAATGGTATACGCTGGCGGGGCACCAGTGGAGGTTGATAAGATGAACATGAGGTCAGGTCAATTAGCCCATCGTGGCAAATGTACCAGGAGTTTAACATGATGATTTCCTGGTTAACCTGACTAACCTGAAACAGTCATGCTCGCTATAAAGTTCAAACTTGTGGCGGTGTGGTGGGCCGGGTCGATCTGCTCCCTCTAATATGGTTGAGAGGGGGGAAGGGGGGGAGGGGGATTGTTAGTAATGTGGATTGATAACCCCATTGCTAGCAATGTACCATGTCAGGTCGACCTCCACGCGGTTCCCCCTGGAAACCATCGTGTTAATTTCCTGGTGAATTTGTCACGATGGGCTAACTGACCTGATCTCATGCTCATCTTATCATCCTCCACTGGTGCCTCGCCAGCGTAAACCGTTAGCGCAGGCGGGTGCACCATTTCATTATCATCCACAAAAAAAAAAAAAATATGGTTGAGAGGGGGGAAAGGGGATTGTT